AAATCTCTAATCTGTCATTTATGTTATTATATATAATCAATGCCTTTTTGTAATTTTATCTTTTTCATGTACCTTCACATTCGCATTCGTATGTATTTAACTATCTGTGTCTGAGTGGACATTTTATTTTGATGCAGAGTTGAACCTTTAAAGGTGGGAACCACCGATCTTCAGCCTGCTGGAATATTGTCTGCAGAAGAAGATGTCGTATCAACTGCGCATGCGTGTCTCATTCAATATGTCTGCGCCCTACAGCAAGGTGGTAAAGGAACAACTTCATAACTTTATAGCAAGACTTAACAACAATTACTGGGCGGTCTTTAGACAGTGTATGACTGAAACCTGATTCGTTAGAGTCAGCAATGTTTGACATAAGTGGGAAACCAAAAGAAGGAATTCGTTTGTTATTTGATTTCAAGTTTAATCCCAGTGAGTTCTCAGATGCTCTTACTTTGTATTTGTAGGTTGGAATACAACCCTTAATCACAACAGCGAGGTTGGGTTATGACTTTCTCTCTGAATATAGTCATTGTATCGCCGTATATCTTAGCTAGAAATAAAAACATAAGATTTTTGAATGAAATTTGGCTGAATGGTCTTTCCGAACTAGAAAGGAGCATCTGCCAGAGCCAGATCACACAGTGAGTCAAATCTGCTCATACAATGGCTTACAGAAGAGCTTTTAACCTTCTTCTGAGACGAAAGGAGTGTGTCTTTAGTCTGCAGATACCTGGTTTTCAAAAATCACCAAATGTCACCAGACAAACTGTCAGATTTCATGAACTTGCCAACCAGCACTGTGGTGGAACTACAAGAACTCTTCACACTGGTACACCATTGATGGTGGACAAGTTACTGTCGTTGGATGAGCTTTTTGCCAAGAAGTCTCTGCAGGAATATCTGAAGAAGGTTGAGACGGAGTACAGTGAATGTGACAGCATTGAGACGGAGGAGCAGTGCAGTGAGGATGAGCTGAGGGTCAAAAGGACTAAAGTGTCCCTGCTGGGTCCTCTCATCAGGAGCATCAGAGAGCTGGACAGCAAACGCAAAGAGATCGCTGAGGCCGAGCTGCTCCTGAAAGGTGACGTTGATCTGCTGCTGCCACACAAAGACAAGAAACACTTTGAATGAGGGTATCTGATGGTTTACGAAGCCACAGTCCCATTTATTTTCTGCTAGTTTTTGTTTTTTGAGGATTTCCCTCATCGAAGGGTACTGAAGTCAAGTGTGTGTACACCTTGTACTTAATTCAAGGTTCTGTTTCAAAGCTAGTTTGGAGGCACAGTGGTCAATCTGTCTGGAAAATCTATTGAAAAAACAAAATAAGATGAGAATAGCTGTTGTAGACTAACCCAGTGGTCGAAGTACCTGACAAATGAAGGTACTTGATGCCAAAATCCAGTATTTCTACAAAGTAGTCTAATACAATAACGGATGACTGCATGAACATTTTGACCACATTTCTGAAATTAGGAAATTGTCTCGATATTGTCTCGATGTATGAATCGGCATATGTCGCATCCTTAGTTCACTGTATGTTTTTGTTTTTCCTCAAAGATGAAGACCCAGCCCTGCGAGAACTGGCAGAGCTAGAAAGAGAAGGCTGTTTGCAAGATATTCAAGATCTTAGTCAAAAGGTAGAACTGTGACAACAAGCCACTGCAGTACAAAATCACACAGCAGAAGAAGAAATGAAGGCTTTATGATAGCACTTTAACTAATGTTAAAGAACAAGCTAACTGCAGATGTTTCCATCAACCTGCTTTACCAATCAGATCCTGGAAATGTTGATTCCTGAAGAGGACGCAGATCTGAGCGACCTCATCCTGGAGGTTACAGCTGGTATTGGTGGTCAGGAGGCGATGCTGTTCACTGCTGAGGTCTGGAAGTTACTTATTTATTATGTTATTAATTATGTTTGTGTTCTGGTTGAGATTATGGACTTTTTAAAAATAATATGTGCACAAGAAAGTAGTGGCATACCTATTTAGAGAGTAGAAAATTAATACTTTTCATAATAAGTTAGACACAAATACAAATTTTGGCACAAACCACATTACTACTACCTATTCACAGAAATAGCATATGATTTTACATCAGGACACAATCTTCTGTGTATTTAAATGCTGGCTTGTACCGTCTCCTCCCCTCTCAAGGTGTTTGACATGTACAAGGGCTACGCTCAGCACCACGGCTGGTCCTTTGACATCCTGGAGAACACGACCAGTGAAATAGGTCAGATTAAAGAGTTCACCCAAAGCATATTTCACCTCTATTGTATTTAAAGTATTGCATTGTATTACTCTGTCATGTAAACATCTGAACTGGGTTATAGTCTCATTAAGGACAAAGTTGGACTCAGGGTAAGGATAATATTAAGAGGGCTGTATTACTCGCTATTCTTCGGAATTATCTGGTCATATACACACTTTCGATTTCCTGTTGATCTGACTCCCTGCACATGCCAGAAACATCACAGAGGGAATTAGATGTAACCTGGTGTTTATTTATAAGAAGGATGGTGAGTTATAGTGGAGAAACACATTTTTGTGTTTAAACTAGGAATGAGATGATAGAAGATATAACTAATGTATATCAACAAAACCCCTTTACAGTGAAACCACTATTGCAATACCTGACACCAAACACAAGGGGGAGTCCTTCCTATACCACAGACGTTGAGTGGCCACTGAGGTGTGCCTGCACATAATGTCAGAGAAAGAAACAGCGGAAAAGGCTGCACATTTGTTTTTTGAGTAAAGGTTACATATTTAAACAGACACTTACAGTAAATAGACATTATTATTAAGACTGATTTGAACATTTAATATAACTACATGTTATTGCCACCTGTTTCACAGGGAGACCACAGAGACTAATTTGATACTTATTGCTCACCTATGACCAGGTGGACTACGTCACGCCTTGGCCAGCATCAGCGGTCCTCAGAGTTACAAGAGAATGAAGTTTGAGGCTGGAGTCCATCGAGTTCAGAGGGTTCCCAAGACTGAAAATAAGGGCCGAATGCACACCAGCACCATTACTGTGTCTGTACTGCCCCAACCCACTGAGGTACAGTTTTACATGATGAACGGATGACACAAACCCAAACAGCGTGTTCATCTGTGTTGTTTTCCTTCTTGCTATTTAAAACAACCCAGTTTTCCTGCAGGAATCATTACAGATTGAGTAAAGAAACACTTGGAGAGCATCTAGTTTCCTTAATATGATGCATTTCCTGTTGAAATAGGATGTTGGATGGAAGTTATTCCAAAGTTGCAGACTAATGGGATATCACATAAGGCATTTTGATATGAAAAGTATTTTATTTTGGCGTGACTTTGTAAAGTTTTACCTCATCTATTCTAACTTTAGAAGTCTTGTTTCTCCATTTCTCGTGGATTTATAACAGGTGGAATGTATAGGATGAGGTCTGTTCTTTTGCTCACCTGCTGTTAAATTAGGTGCAAGTAAACTATGAGTGTCTGTGTGTTCCTGTCAGATCTCATTAACGATAAACCCAAAGGACCTGAAGATGGAGACCACGAGAGCGAGTGGAGCTGGAGGTCAACATGTCAACACCACAAACAGTGCAGTCAGAATAGTCCATCTGCCTACAGGTAGCTTCACAAAAAGTGACCACAGTATCCACTGACACTGCTGTTAATAAATGTACTTGACAGAATGTTAAAAAGTTCCACTTAACACAACAAAGACCATATTTTTACATATTTGTAACAATCAAAGTTAGTTTAGGTAGGGTTTTAGTGCTGTCTGTTTACATGTGTCTGTCTTTCTCTTAAGAGTAATTATGAAATGAGTAGAAGTTAAGTGGGACGCCCAAAAAAGAATAGCACTTTAATACTTGTTGGTGTTTGTTAGGTGTGTCTGCAGAGTGCCAGCAGGAACGGTCCCAGTTAAAGAACAAAGAGAAGGCCATGAAGAGTCTGAGAGCAAAACTGTACAGCATGAAGCTAGAGGCGGAAAACAGCAAACGCTACAACCAGCGTAAAATACAGGTGAGATATATACAGTATAGTTTAATATACAGGTGGAGACATTCAAATATAATGGAATAATACTATTCTACTAATAATAATAGGTGTGACAAGTGACGGTTTCTTTCCAACATATTGATAGCATTTATTTTTTAAGATGTCAAAATTAAATATAATGTAACTAACCCGACAAAAAAGTAAATGAATACATTATAAAAAGCTCCACACATTTTCATGTTTTTCTGGTGATTTTGTATATTGTTTGCTAAAAAGAGGTTGTTTTTAAAAAAAAATTTTTTCTACCTTTTCTTTCTCCAGATTGGCACCAAAGGCCGATCAGAGAAGATTCGAACCTACAACTTTGCCCAGGACCGTGTAACAGACCACCGGATCAGCATGACGGTGCACGACATCAAGAGCTTCATGCTGGGAGAGGACCTGCTGGACGAGATGAACTCAACGCTACAGGAGTTCTCCTACCAGGAGATACTAATGGAACTGCTGGGAGAAAACAACCAGGAGGGCTTTTGATGAACATGCATGATTATGCAGGAATGGAAACTTTGTGCTGTAATTTTGGTCAGTCCTACATTGCTACCGCTTCAGATTCTGCAACCGAGGAAAAGGACCTTGATGGATTGTAAGGACGACCAAGTCTTAATGTTTCTGCCCATCCAATACAAAAAAAACAAAGCAAAAAAGACATTATTTCCATACTCATGTCCAGGTTTTGCAGACAATGTCAGAACAAACACAAAACTGGCAAATAAAATGACTAAACTGATTCCAAACAGTAAGTCAGTAACAATATGTGTTTTTATTCATTGAATTATTCATTTATCAGCAGTAGTGTGTGTGTGTGTGTGTGTGTGTGTGTACACTCAACTACAACTTATGTGTGAAGCTGGAACCAGTGAGTTTTTTTGCTTTGAAAAAATACCCCTGATTATTGATTTATGAAAATGTTTGCTGATATTTGTTTTTGTTAAGTGAGTAACTGATTGATTCAACCAGAACAGACCAAATGCACACTAACGTTTGTCCACATACTTTTGGCTACAAATTGAAGTTTCTCCCCTTTTTTAGTTCAGTTTCAGGCGCAGGGACGTGTTTATGTGAGCCATTTAATTGAAGAACTTCAATACCCACAATGCCCCTGCTCAAAGGTTGACTAATCGAGCGTAGACCCATCGTTCCGCTCTGCCTCCTCGCCCACTCTCACCGGCCACTTTTCTCCCAACAGTCGCATCCTGACTGCGAGCTCCGGCGCTACCGTTAGCTAGCTAATAAGGGAGTAGCAAGCCCTTCTTACTGAGGAAATTCTGTTTTTACACCTCAGCATTATGTCATTCTGCTGAGTAATTCGTTTGGGAAAATGAATATGCGATTTTTCCGCACTAACACGCCTCCTAGAAAACAAAATTCCCTCCGTAAAGTCCGCTTTTTCACTTCGACCTCGGTAGCTGAACGGGTTTAGCAGTCAGTTCGTTTTGACAAGCGAGTGGCTCATCTGTCCGCCGCTGCTGCTGCTCTGTGACGGGGTGGGGGGGCGTTTGGACAAAGCCAGTCAGATGTTGGACGGTAGAAATATCTACCGGGTTGTGAAATTGAATTATCAAGCTGATTATCTGTCGTCAAAGTGCCAGGAATAAAGGGAGGAGTAAGGTCTATTTTTGGAGGGCGAGAGTTTGGATCTCGCACCGAAGGAAGGGGTAGGGGGTGTGCGGAGGAGGAGGACCCGCAGAGAAGAAGGGACGTAGGGGGGAGAAAATCCTGATGCCAGTGATGGCAAACGAGCCGATCATCCTAAACGTCTATGATATGGTAAGTGGAGCCAGGGGGATTGATGTTTTATTACTTCTTTGCTACTTTGTGGAAGGACTATGCTCCAGTCTTGTATTTATTTCGGCATGTCAACAACGTCAGGACGCAACGCCAAACTCTACTATAAAAAAGGCGATTTAATGTTGCGTTAGCCGTCAGCAATTATGCAAAGATGAGAGTGAAAGACTGAAAGATCTTTATTAAAATTATGAACCACTCTTCAATTCGGCATGTATTCACAACACCCAGCTCCGTTATTTCTAATACAATTTCACCTTTAGGAATTGGTTCAGCTGTTAGATTCCTCCGTTATTTTCTAGCACATGAGAACACGACAGCGAGAGGCAGATGAAGCTGTATAAAGTTTTCTTGACAAAGTGCTTTTGGAAAGGCTTTTCATTATTCAGATAATGTTTAAAACCAGAGCTTTGTTGTTTAGTGCAACACACTTTTCTGTAATAGAAGACATTGTAAAAAAAAAAAAAACAGTGTTTTCCAATGGGGCAAGGTAAAGCATCTCAGAATGTTTAAAGGATTAAAAAAATATCTAATTCAGAAACACACACTGGTTCAAGTGTAATGTTGGCAATATTGGGATTCCTTTTATCAGGAGTGGAGCAAAATTGTCCTCTTTGGGCTTTCTAAGCTGCTGTTATCGAGACAGAAGTTCACAGTAGTCAGTTAAACATGGCGAACAAGGAGTCAACCCTTTCTTTAAGTGTGTCCTTCTATACTAGTTCACTTGTGTCCGTCCATTAACAAACCCTTCTCAAGGATTTCAGTTCACTCAAGACGAAAACAGGAAAGCATTGAGCTCCACGTGGATGTGAAAGTAAACTGACAATTTCTCCCAGTCTGCATTTCTACTGGGGGGGGGGTGTTTCTTTGTTACAGAATGAGGCTGAGGTTGAATTTGAGTCACTATGTTGTCACCCTGCAGGAGTGAGTCAGTGAGGAGGGGGGCTGGAAATTGACTGATGAATCATTGATTGATATGGATTCCCTGCAGTGGACAAATTAAACTTAAAATGGGAATTGAATTTGGGGTTATAAAACAGGCAGAGGCAGTGTTTTTGGGGATAATATGCATGGACGCTTTGCTCGGAAAGCACAACTTGCCATAAATGTTCACTAGGCTTTTGTGCCTCATTGCAATCCACTTGTTTTTGTTCCCATTTCCATTCCCCATACCTTGTCAGAGGACATCAAGAGATGTCACAAAGTGTTTTTTCTTTTTAACTCCTGACTTATTATGAAGGTCCTCTCTCTCGAGGGAGACATTTTTCCCTTTCTCCTGCCCTGGTTTTACCTCTGTTTTTAACCTGATTTATTGCTGTTGTTTCCTTTTAGCTGGTGGTCAATATGTCATCACAGCCATGAGGTCAGAAGGTTGGAGACAGTTTTATATGGATATGAGTCCTTTGAGAATCTGTACATAATAAAGACGTTTTACAGTACAGTGTATTATCTACAGTAGCACTACACACCATGTGAACTCAGGACTTGGCTTTACTCATACAGTATGTATCCATATAACAAGTGTATTTGTTCCATCCCGTCTTTCTTCCTTCACCCCTTCCTTATTGATTCACATGCTTCTTTATTTTCCTTCACATCTCCCCTACCTCTTTCTATCATTCGGCCATTCCCTTGTCTTCTCTCATATCCTCTCTTTCTTCTCTCCTCCCCCTCTTTCTTTCACTTCCTCTTCCTCTTCTGAAGAGCTTTTATCTCCGTCTCAGTTCCATTCATGTGAACGGCTGCAGGGGCCTTGGCACACGCAAAGCCTTACAAACACTACATATCTCACACACACCCATGCAGAACTTGTTTTTACAGTTACAGACACTCATGTGCTTTCTGTTCATTTATTTGTTAGTTTTTTCTACCTGATGCTAAAGTTGTTATCTATATTGAGGTTTAGATCTGTACTGTGTGTATATACACGTGTGAGAGACAGAATGAGAGTGCACATTTTGAAAAATTTTGTGGTTTGTGCTTGCGCATGCAGACTGACTCACGGCCATACATATTTTTGTTGTTAGTATTTTTGCGTGTGCTACTGTGAGAAGAAGAGTTTGGCTTGCTTGCAGTAGGGTTCAAGCACTCAAAGAAAACAATGTGACGATGGCTGCTAGCCATTTATTCATTCCTCTACTTCAAACACTTCCTCTGTCTATTGATCAGGGTGTTCTGACCTGAGTACTGTAGGAAGAGTGACTGACTGACTGACTGCTGGGGATTACGGCTGGTGCACTGGCTGCATGCTCGCTGACTGACTGGTAGACTTGCAGTCTTCTTTTTGGGTAACTGACTTACAGAAAAACAAACAAGCAGGGGTTGATGGTGCCCAAATGTTATTCAGTTGACTGCTGCGTTATGTACTCACTGACTAGTTGGGTCACTTAGTGGCGGATTTACAGTATGTAGACTGACTCACTGTTTGCAAGCCGACAGACGGATTGGTCCTCACTGACTCTTGATTGACAAGGGCAGTGGTTAGGTGTCAAGAACCCCCACGCTGATACACATCAGGCTGCGGACCCATATTTGATAAGATGTAACCTCAGAGATCCCCATCTGATTAGATTTAGTTATTCCATAACTGTCTATGCTGTAGATTAACAGTGAAGATTGTCAAAGCTTTGAACAGAATTGTGATACAGTCTCTCATTGGACTAACTTCTAGTCCATGATATAATAGTGAAAACCGATGAGAAGATTGATGCCATTTTCATGTCCTGTTTTCTGCTCTCTTCATTTTGGTGAGACCCAGGCTAAGAGCTATTTCCCCCTACTTTCAGTCTTTGTGCTAAGCTAGGCTAATCATCTCCTGGCTTTAGCTTCATAAATCCTACTTCATACTTGATACTTCATACATTTTCTGCAGTAAATGACAATAGAAAATAACCTAGAATACTTAAAGCACAGACTAAGAAGTGGCATCAATCTTCTAATTTAACCCTCGGCAAGAAAGTGAATCAGGAGCCTGGTTTCTTTTTAATGCAGCGCTGTTTGACGGCCTGAAAAGGGCCTTATTTTTTGGCTTAATGACCGTCTGAGTGACTGGTTAGGTGACAGGCTGTCGAAGAGAAAGTCAGGAAACAGTGAAGATCAGATAATGGCAGAGGTCAAAACAGTGGCGTCACAGACGGCAGTGGGGAACCGCCATCTCAGATGTTCACACCATATAATGAACAGTGGCAGCAGAAAGTGCAGGCTGGTTGGGGGCAGAGAGGCAGCATGGTGAGAGCACCTGTCATTTTGGGCAACATGTAAATCTGCCTGCCCTCTAGTGTAAGTAAGACACTTAACATTTGCTCCAAAAAAAATCCATTTAAAGATCAATACTGTCACATGACTTTCTGGAATATCAGAGCGGACTCAAGTACGGACACCCGCCCGCCCGCCACCACTACTCTTTCTCCTTCCACAACTCCCTTTCTGTCAGGTCCTCCCCGCCGTCCTGCGCCCATCTCTGCTAAGTGGATTTCCTGACCAGCTCTGAGTGCTTTAGTACGCTGCTCTAATGAGACAGCATTATCTGCACACCACCTGTCTGCCTGCCAGCCAGCACAGTGGTCTACTGTGTCTGTCAGTGTGTGTTACTGTGGGAGAACGTGTTAGGGTATTAGGTTTAACAGCGTCACGTAGCCAGATACTCCTGTGTTATTGTGTCATGAATACTGCTCTGGATCAATAAGGGACATGCAGCGGTCATGATTTCAATTCTTCTTTTCCACCATCTAGTTTACAAGGTAACGAGTTCCAGGAGAAGTACGTTAGTAGTGTAGCAGTGCTTGTTCTGGGACACCACAGCATCCTCTGCCAGTGGTGTGTCATGGCAGCAAAATGTTCGGAGCCATTGCCTTGTCTAATGTCATAAATCTTGCACAATAAAGAAACCCATAAGTCCACTAGAAACTCAAACAGAACTTTAGGTTATATACTGTATATACTAAAGTGTTTGGTGATAAGACAGTATATACCTTGAGATGATAGCGATTGTCAACGTTTTTGTGCTGTGTATATACTGAGGTTCTTATCCTGCTCATATCTTTGTCAAATTTATAGGACTTTTGCATCGATGTGATCAAGTTTCTTGGTCTTTCAGATATTAAATTTACACAATTAGCTAAAAACAGCCATTAGATTTTAGTCGCTATATCACAATATACGCTCAGTGGCTTTGTTTTGGATTACATTAGATTGTACAGGTGTACCTAAAGTGGTGACTAAGTGTATATCAATATATAAGAATATACAGACTTTGGTAGAGGACTTCCATATCACCAGCCTCTACGATAAGGTTATGTTATGCCTAGAGCTGAAATGATAATAAAATATGGCATAAAATCAGCAACTATGTTGATAATCAAATAATTGTCTTTTTTTTAAGCTTAAATATCAAACATTACCTAGTTGCAGCTTTCAAAAATGAGAGTTTTCTGCTCTCCTTTATATAAAATTTAAATTAAATGATTAATAAAGAGACATTAATTAATGAGTTGCAGTCCCAGTTATGGCCTTTAGTTATAAATGCTTAACCAAACTTAAAAAATCATTAAGAACTCATCCTCTTAAACTACGCAAAGACTAAAGACATTTTAAGTGTGTAAATTATTATTTGTTAGTTAGTTTAACACTATTAGAGATTATAATGCTTAACAGAAAAAAATTACAACATGGAGCGGGATGATTAAGTATATAGGCATTAACTGGAGCATTTAGTTGCTCTTCATTCATCCATCTCTTTCATTCATAAACACACATTTACTGTCATACACACTCAGCCTGCACTGTGGAGGAGGCAGGTTTTAACGAGCTTTGAAGTAATGAGGGCTAAGATAAGAGTCTTATTTCACCACTGGGGGGGCGGGGGGGTAGCGTACTAAACTAGCAGATTAGCTTACTTAAAATATTTTCACACACACACACACACAGACTCATCCAGCGGCTGATTTTGCAATTATGTGTTTGGACATCTCACTGACTCTACTCAGAGGGATTTAGAGTTCGTGCAAGGGCATAATAAGCTTATATTTATGTTTAAGGTGTTCCCTTTGTATAAAGTCAGTTGTGGCTCTGTGGAGTTGTGGCTTCCAGGGTATCTGGTAGCTGTGGGTTTATTTTGCAACTTAAATGCTTTTGTGGATTCTTAAAGTTGTCAGTTTTTTTAACAGGATCCACCTTAAGCTCTCTCTTTTTTGGAAAAGCCCTGGATAGAGAATAGAAGCAGGGAGGAAAAAGCTGATACACTTGGTTGCTAAACTTCCGAGCAGACAGTTTAAAGCCAGCAGACTATAGCAGCCAAAGCTTCTCCTCAGTCTTTGAGAGCCAGCTGTTGTAGACAGAGACGCCGGTTATTCCTGGGCTCAGAGAAACAACCACAAAACTGAAACAGGATTTCAGCGTTGCTGTTTTTGCTCAAATCTTTTAAGAGATGAGATCAGCTGATGTTAGAAACTCTCTGTGCTGGAAAAACCCTACCAATGGCAATGCTGGAAATTATATATCCAAGGAATTAAGTCATTCCTAATTTCAAAAGATCAGTCGGATGAAGAGAGCTGAAAAGGCAACTCAGCAGACTTACGTTTACCTACTTTGATTCCAAGTCGTGCTTGTTTGTTTTGCTCACTGAAATGACTTGCAGGTAAGTGTCAGTTGACTATCAAAGGTCCAGTGTGTAGGATTTAGTGGCATCTACCGGTGTAGTTGCAGATTGCAATTCGCTTGCTTCACCCTCGGCTTTCAAGCGTGAATGAGAAACTACGGTGATACGCGTGGAAAAATGCAAACACCCCTATCCAGAGCTTGTCTTCTGGGCCTTCTGGGCTACTGTAGGAACAAGGCAATTCAACATGGCACCATGAAAGGGGACCCATTTAAAAAAAAAAAAAAAAAAAAGAGCCTCCTAAATGTTACACACTGGACCTTTAAGTCAGAAAAGTGACTTTTTTGTCAGCATTTCTTACAGTCAGTCCAACAGCATAAACATGAAGACCTATTTATTATTACCTGAAATTATGTGATAGAAGTAGTTACGAGCTCACAAGTCACTTCAGTGCCCTGAAGTTAAGATAAACCTTTATTAATCCCCAGCTTACAAAATGCTTGGATGGAAACTCTTTCCTTAACTCACTTGTAATACCTGCTCTGTAACACAAATAGCCAGATACAGTGTCTCATCACATTTATGATCATAGTTTGTGTTTAAACTGATACTATTTGCAGAGGGCATTTGCAATGCAGATATGTGGCACAGACCGCCAAGACTGCCACCACTGATCGTGTACTGCTACCTACTGTATTTGCATAAAAATAGACAGGAAGTATGAGAATAGTTTTTACTAGCTTGCTGTGGTTATCAGGCCATTATCAGGCTGTTATCAGGCTGCTTGATCTGTTTTGCAAATTGTATCTGCTTATCATGGAGGAGAGTTTGCCTTTGCACAGTGCATGACACCCACTACGGCCTGATATTGCTCCGGTGTTGGAACAAAAACACAAAGTTGTAATTTGTGATCAGTTTGGTGTTAAATATTCTCTATTAGGATCATTTTATGGAAACTCTGGTTTTCAATGGTGGAATGAAATTAGAAAAGGATTGACCCGTCTCTTGCCCATCACAGTTAGCTAATGCTTAATCTGAAGTCATCAAATGTCTTGTTTTGTCTGACCAAGAGTCCAAAACCCAGAGATATTCACTTTACTATCACGTAAATCAAATGGAAGTAGCAAATCGTCATAACTGAGAAGCTGGAACTTGATCATGTTTGGTATTTTTGCTTGAAAACTGTACTAATCACAGGTGGTTTAAAGTTGTAAGAATTACCACAGGAAGTGAATTTGACTCAAAAATCATACTCCTCCTTCGCAGACTTATAAATTAACACATGGACATATTTGTAGATTCGGTGTGACAGAGGTATCATTGTAAAACAATCCTTAGAAGTCTAGTCTGTTTTTTTAGCATCAAAGTACTCCAGTGATAGTACATTATGGGTACATTGCAAACAGGAACTGTTAATAGCCAGTTAAGTAATTTAATCATTTAATTTTCAACTCTATTTGCTTGTTCCAGTCTCTCAAATGTTAGAATTTGGCCTTTGTATTATATAATTATAATATATGGTTGGTTTGGGATCCGGCAAAACAGGAAATTTGAAGACGTCACCTTGCATTCTGGGAAATAGTGTTGGGCAATTTTTGCTTTTTATTTTTTACATTTTATAGATATAATTGTGAATAGATCATCAAAAAAAAAAATACTTGAAAGATTTCTCAATTCTAAAAATTATTAATAGTAGCAGCCCTACTCACCACTTTGCTGCTTTTCACAACATGGATACATGTTGGGGTCATATTACATGTGTTCAACTTGCTTTTACCTACATGCAAGCATTAGAGCTTTTTTGCACCAAAATGGAGTATCCACAATATTTCCACATCAAGTCATTGATATGTTTGTCAAACATTGGACATGGGTCTGGCACTTCTGTTTGTGTGCAGCTTGTGTGGAAAAGCAGCTGACCCAAACACTGTTTATGTGTTTGTCACATTTGTTTGTTCGAGTGATTTTGGTGACTGTGCTGAACGTGTAAATGAATGTGTTATATACTTCCTTTGTATTTAGCACCCTGAAATGTGGAATCAAGTTCATTCACATTCCCCTGCTCCATCCTCTGTGATAAAAGATCTTTTTCACATAAGCGAACTCTGCCTAGCAACATCCTGGCCAATCTTCTGGTAGCCTCAGGATGTTAGACAGACACATGACTGAAAAGATGAACCATATTGTCAGAGATCACAGCTGCCACAATTATTGATTTGATTTATGCTCTTTCTTGTGTGTGGGCTTGTCTTGTGTTGTCTGTGTGTGTGTGTGTGTGTGTGTGTGTGTGTGTGTGTGTGTAAGAGATCTTGTGTTAATATCAGGCCTCACAGACCTCAGCTAGGATCATGGGATGGCAGTGTGTTGCTAAGACAGTTGAGGTTAATCCAGTCTATTCTAATACATTTATTTGCATTCGGTCTATTTATGTGATTCTTGCAATGACTCACTACCTTTGTAGTAAAGTTTGCATTGCAGCTTTTGCAGCCAGTTTTGACACAGTGAGCCATGATGGCTTTTTCGAGCTTGATTCAAATATGCATACATTGCCTCTACAGCTACCATCTGTGGTGTGATTGCAGTGATAAAGTTTTCAAGTAAAGGTTTCATTATGTACAGAAAATTAAGAACATGAAATGTCAACAATTTCAATAATCAAGTCATTTATCAAACAGGAAACAAAATGCTGGTTCAAGCTTCTCAATGTGAGGATTTGCTGCTCTTTTTTCTTATAAAGATCCAGTTTGAGTTCTGTTGGGAAGAAATTCCACATTTTGATCCCCAAATGAGGATTTACTTGGCGCTTGGTTGAATCAATGGGGTTTCAGTTGATTGCAATGGGCGCTCACTGCCAGATGCCACTAAATCCTACACAGTGGTCCTTTAATTACCAGCAGATATCACTCCAAATCAGGGGACATTGTAAATAGTGGCCTGTACTAGAGCAAGTGTAATAAATATACAAGAGTTTATGTTGGCATGTTGGTTTATATGGTACATTTCATGAAGACTACATACGGTATTATATGTCCAGTAGTAGGGTTGGGTAACCTTACCTAATATTTACAAATACATTATTTAATCTCTGTCTGTTTTTGTCTCTTCCTGTGTTCAGTACTGGATCAATGAGTTTACCAGCTCTTTGGGTATCGGAGTCTTTCACTCAGGGATTGAGGTCTATGGAAGAGGTAAGATTACCCAGAAATATGACACCACATATATCCATTGACTTCCTGTAGATGGTGTTTCAGGAAGGCTTCCATCCAATTGTTATCTGGCTAAGAAAGACTATTTGCATGAGAATGGTTGGTACTCAAATGTGTGTTTTTCATGTTGTTTGTGCGCTTAGAGTTTGCCTATGGCGGACACCCGTACCCATTCTCAGGGATCTTTGAGATTACACCAGGTGATGCAACCGAACTTGGCGATACCTTTAAGTTCAAGTAAGTATGGGATTTTTGGTGTTAATGTGTGCAGAATCACAGGTATACATGTGTTCTATGTTTTCTAACTGTGCATCTAACAGCTTGCCAGCTCAGCCAGTCAACCAGTCTGTCAGCAACAGGTCAGACAGCCCAAAACCAGCCAGTCAGTCTATTTTACTGTGAGTCAATGTGTTTTAGGTGTGGTGGTCAGGCAGTTAGTTGAATGTTTTGGCAGTTTAGTAGCTATTAGCAGTGATCTAGTTAATTAACCCATTCACTCTCAAGTCTGTCTGTCATACAACCTCTAGCTGGGTTTATTGAAAGTCAAATAGTCACTGTCCATCCAGTCAGTTCATCAGTGAGACAGTCTGTTCACAGTTCACAAGTTAGTCAGTCTGTCAGCTCAATAGTCCTCCACTAAAAACATCAGTCAGCATTTGCACTTAAGTAACCATGTTACAATCTGCTTTCTCCACAAAGGTGATTTTGTTAACATCACAAAAACAAGACACCCATTTCCTCCTGGAGAACTCAGATTTCTTGACTTGTATACGCACAACTTGGATTCCAGTGGGGTGTTTACATGTTCATGTGTACGAGAGCAACTTCACACAGCGATCCTTCTGACAGCAGAAGAGTTGGATGAAAGGACAGATAACTACTCGCAGAGATGCATGGTTGTGTTTAAAATAAAAGCAAGACTTTAGTCTATGTTCTCCAGTTATTTACGTAACTTGGTTTCTCTGAATAACTCTCAGGTAAACTAGCCCCGCTGAAAGTCACCTCAGCTTGACAACAATACATAGACATATTGATGCCAAGCACCACAAACATTTATTGTTGTTCGGATCATGAGTTACTCACTGAACTAAACAGGACCAGTCTTACAATCATCGTCCAACAGTCACTCTGTTAGCGAATGATTAATTTGTTCACTATGCCAGCTTGAGATTCCAGACCTATTCTGTGTATCCAGTCAACCAGTCAGTCAGTCTGTGAGCTGGTATGTTCCTTACTGCTGCTACAGGACAGAGAGATACAATAAAATACATGGGTGTAGAGCAGAGAGACCACAGCATGTGACCGAAATTTTAGGATTTTCCTCATGGTTTGTGGCAGCTGACTCGTTTTAGACAGAGAGAGTGAGAGAAAACAGAGAAGATTGAGCCGAAAAAGTCTTTTTAAATGGAAAAAAAAGAGCAAAAAAGCGTAATAAAGAGTGCATAAAAGAGTGTGCCGTTAAAGTTAACAGTGTAAAACAGTGTTTAAAGCGAATAATGTTCTTTTTATGTTGTCATAGAGGTTTTGAACTCTAATTTTAAAGGCTGTGGTCTGTGGTGTATTGAACTGCAGTAGATTGTACAATGTTTCTGATTATGTTTTGATCATATAAATAATATAAGTAAATGAAGAGGGAGAGAACAAGTTGTACAATCTTTAGGCCCAACGGTATAAAACCCACAAATCAAGGTTTTGAGCTGAAAATAAGTGGATTTAGCTGAACTGCAAAAATTAAACAGCTTGTGAATGTGTGATATTTCTCTCACATCAGTGCTGTGTTGGCCCACGTTGTCAGATTTTTACTGCAGTCTGCTGTGGTGGTGAGACAGTGGAGCGCCCAGTCAGTTCAATACGTTTTTGCATTCCCAGAATCAGCCGTCTGTGTGTGTGTCTCTCTGTGTGTGTGTGTGTGTGTGTGTGTGTGTGTGTGTGTGTGTGTCTGTGTCTACCCGGAGCTACTGTGCTGCTGTGTATTACTTCTGCTCTAGTTGATCTGCCCTGTGGCTTTAGTCTGACTCTGCCTGGCACACACATACACACACACACACACACACACACACACACACACACACACTCCATGCAGACCACTAGACCATAAGTATGGATCATCTGGTACAAATGCCTACATGTCACCCACTGGGAAGTCTCTTTGCCGAATGCTAACCCAATCTAGTGCTTTCCCAGAGCAAAACATTTGATTCTTTACTTTAAACTGTAAAGAAACCAACCAGGTGAAAGTCTTATTGTGTTAGCAATGCTGACATTAGCATTTAGCTCAAAGCACTGCTAAATCTCCAAATTCATTCAAAAAGGCATAATGATTCCTAAGCCTGTGGACAAAATATTTGTAAATGACTTGCTCAACAGGCCTGGACCACTCGCAAATTTCGTCAAGTATGGGGAAATCAGTGAATGCCTCATGATGTGCCGGTTACAACAAATCTGTTTGTATGAGTTGTTCATTCTTGCATGAGGCCCATTGATTGTGCAAAAAAAAATTTGAAACAAAATGCCTAGAAGTAATTTTGAATGTATCATCAGTGAGTAATAATATCTACTAACACCTGCCTCTACATCCTTTCCCCACTTGTAGAGAAGCCATAGTCTTAGGCAGCACAGACTTCACAGAGGAGGATGTGGAGCGGATCGTGGAGGAGATGGGGAAGGAGTACAAAGGCAACGCCTACCACCTCATGCACAAGAATTGCAACCACTTCTCCTCAGCACTGTCAGAGGTAGGTACACACACACACACACACACACACACACACACACACACACACACACACACACACACACACACACACACATACACACACACAAATGCACACAAATATACTTTACAGCCCTGCACCATAGCTGAGAGCTTAGCTGATATGAGGTAGGTAGAAATAAACTACACGGTCACTTAAATAAGCATGTCTTGATTGTGTCTTTCCTGTTCTGAATGTAAGCACTTGAAGTGTGTGTGTGTGTGTGTGTGTGTGTGTGTGTGTGTGTGTGTGTGTGTGTGTGTGTGTGTGTGTGTGTGTAAATGAGTGTGTACTTTCAATCAGCTTATCCTGGTGTGACTAATGAGCAGGGACTCTTACAGTTAGCATCTAGCACTGAGATGGGGATTAAGACACTCATGCAAGCCTAGACATGCAGAGCCAGCTGGCAAACACACACCCACACACACACCAAAGATACAATGAAAACACACACACACACACACACACACACGTACATACTACATCTAAAGATACTCTTTAAGAGAAATACACAGTTTAAAATGCAGACATATATAAACACAAAAAGGCATCAGATCAATATAATACACACAGATTTAAACATACACATATACACAAGACTACAGAGAGACAAACACACAGCTGACACCACAGGGAAGCAGTCTGGCCCTAAGGATTTGATTCTCATGTTTACTGTATCCTCGTTAATATGAGAGGCTGACTTAAAGAGAGATAGAGGAGAAAATGATTGGACACAGGGATGGTTGTTGCAGCTTTGAAAGACAAAGCATAACAATTCATTCTCCAGAGAGAACGTTTGACGTGTGTGACTCTGATGTCAGTCCTCTTCTTGAGAAGCAAATCAACATACGGTACCCTGTTAACACTTTGGCTCATTGTGTAAGTGGATTATCTTTACATGGCACTGTTGTTCATCTAAGAGACAGACAGGCAGTAGAGCAGGTTGGTGGTTTGATCCCCACATGTGTCCTTGTGCAAGTTACTGAACCCCATAAAGATTCCTATATTCCGCTGATTAGACACTAATGAAAACATATATATGAATATTATATTCAATTTCTGCCTCTAAATCTTTCACACTGGACCTTTTTTAGAATAGATCAAATGGTGTGTTGTGTGAAAGGAGTTGCTGGTAGTGACAAACCCAAAGAGAATTATCACTTGACTTGCTGAGAGTTTTAGAGCACATTTGAGCTCATTGTTTTGTCACATTGGTGTCGTTATTGGCCATTATGAAATGGCAGACACAGATAGCAACTAGCTGGTGAACGTAGTGAAGCATTTAGCAGCTAAAGAGATGGATATTTTTCTCAGGAGTTGATGCGAGCAAAACAGATCTACAAGGAGAGTTAAATATTGGTGCTGGCCAGAAATGTGTCTTCAAATGAATACAAATGTTTCTCTGTCTGCTGTATGTATATATGAGCTACTGTTTACCAGACCAACTTTGTAATGTGATATAATTGAAATCTTGTGTTTGCAGCTTGTTGCAGTGGCCAAGTAAAGTCAATGAATGCAGATTTAAGGAGGGCATCTGCATGGAGGAAGGGTTTAAACAGATTGAAGAAGAGCCTTATTTGTCTTGTGCCTCTTGCATGCTATTTGGTTATTTTTATCAGGAATCATACTTCAAAACATGTTGGCAATCTGAAAGCTTGCTTTGTGAGTATAAGTGGGTATTTCTGAAAACAAATGACTGCAGTGTGAATCTCGCAGCTCCAGCTTTTTTTATGTCAGCCAAACACTACGCCTGGTGATTTGTACGGATTGGCTGTTTCTCTCTATTAAATGTAGGTTGCCAACTCTTAGTTGAGGCTGTGCTCCTCTGTGAGATCATCTGTGGAGTCATTTGCATTTTAGAGAGTCTGTGTTTCATCCTGTCAAAACACACTCATCTCTGAAGGAGGTGAACAAGCCTGTAAACAGTTGCTGCTGCAGAAACAAAGAATACAATGTAGTATCATCCGCTGGCTGCATATGACATGGCACAACATGCTGAATCCACTGCTCTGTAAGACATTTTTGTGGTTAGAGGCAAATCCACTGTCCCCGTCTCATGCAAATTAAAAAGCAGCCTATCAGCAGCTTTGGTAAATGTTTTGATAAAAGCACAATTAAGGCCTTTGACTGGGAAACACTTTGAGCCTCTTGGAAGCCACTCGCCTATAATGCTGTAATAGCAATGATAGAGCTAAGATGAGGAAGGAGGCGAGAGAGAAAGGTCTTCCCCCAAGCAGACCTATTCATGTATGAGCAGTAGGTTAGTTACAGCGGAGCAGATGAGCACATCGCTACCACAGAGGCACATTTTACTCTGTCTGGGTTTCCAAAGGTCATGGAGTTTCTGGAAGGTCCCGTGATTTATAGAAAGCCAGGAAATGTAATACGGTTTCCTGGAAGTTTCAGAAATGAAATCACTTGGGTCACCTCCAAAGAAAATGGCAGGGTGTATTTTCCGGTTATGCTTTCATTGTTTCAGATTTTCTTTCTTCCGCAGCAAGCTCAGCTATAGTCGAGAAGACTCTGATTACCCCTTCAGATGTCTTCTGACTCTAAAAACAGTAACAAACCAAAAGAAGTAAACTTTTGTAGATCATGAAAGTGTTTCTGTTCACACTGAAATACAAATTATGTTTCAAGTTGATTATAACATTGATTTAGACTCACACTGGAAGCTTTCTTACACCAGTGTAACTTTATTAGAATGAACTGTTATTAGAAACAGGTTGCCTCTACAATGCAGCATTTTATTACTGATGTTACTGCTCTCAAGCTTTGCTTAGCGTTGGTGTTTTATTGGACCCGACAAACTTTATTATTATTAAATTATTAACATACATTCCTGCTGCCAAACTGTGGTGAAATTGTCTTTGTTGAAACCAGTGTAGACCTTTTTCACAGCAGCCATTTGGACATGAAATAGTAAGGTAAACACAGGTGTTACCAATGACATTATTTAAGGTTCTGTTCCATTTGCTGCTGTGAAATGGGTCTATTGTTAGTGTGAGAAATAATATACAGTCAAAGGAGTAAAAATATTGATTTTGTGCATTACATTGTAAAAAAAAAAATACAAACTACAAGTAAAATAAAACAAAGTGTGTTCAGAATGTATTCAGACCCCTTTACTTTTTCTCTCTTCCACTCCTCCCTCACCCTTTCTCTTCTCCTCAGATCCTGTGTGGCAGGGAGATCCCTCGCTGGGTCAACCGCCTGGCCTACTTCAGCTCCTGCGTGCCATTCCTCCAGAGCTGCCTGCCCAAAGAGTGGCTGACCCCGGCTGCCTTACAGTCCAGCGTCAGCCAGGAGCTCCACGGAGGGGGGGAGCTGGAGGAGGCCGAGGACGCCGCTGCAACAGCCTCCCTGGCATCCATGTCGCCCTGCTCCCCATCATCCTCCTCCAGCCCTTCCTCCTTGCCTCGCCATTCCCGACACCAGCCCCGCCGGTAGAAGCTGCACGTTCTGTTGGGAAACTTGGGGCTGGACTTGTGGTCTCCAGAGACTGTCAGGGAACGGAATACCTGCAGCAGCTGATGAGTCCAGTCAGACTGGCCTCGAGCAAGGCACTGGACTGCTAGCTGCTCTCGGTAAGAATGTCAGCCAAATCTCTGCAGTGATTTAGAGCGGTGGAAGGGTTTTTCCTCGCAGGGGGAACAAACTCTTGTTGCTGACAAAGGCAGGACCATCTCTCACACGGCTGATGGATTCTAACATCCCATCCAAACCTCAAATGTCTTTTATTATATTTTTATTATTTTACCAGCCAAGTTGCAGTGCAGAATGGAAGCAAGGCCAGCTGTGTTTCATAATTTAGGAAAAATTTACCAGCCATGCCCAGATTCTACCAGCAGTTAGTCAGTGGACGGTGCTAATACCCACCTTTTTTTGTAGTGGAAACCAGGGGATGCTGAAAAAGAAGTGTGGTTTGACTTAGTTTATAATCATGAGGCCAAGCTGCATGAGTGACCTTTTAATAACCTGATTTGGCAGATTAGGTATCGAGTAATCCTGATCCTGTTTCCAATTTGACCATCCAACAGGCACTTGTGATGGAGTATATTTGTACTTTTAGGGGTTACCAGTTGCAAATATTTCTGTTACCTGAAGAAAAGTATTATTATTCTGGACTTTTCTCAAATTTTTGCTTCATTTTCTTGTGAAATACGGGACTGATTTACCTCTTCAGGCTAGCAGGTTTGTTCAAAAAACACTGTTTGTGTCTGAAACCTACTCAGCTCTACTGCTAGCAACATCAGCATTGTAGCTAAGTTGTTTTTCTGCTGTAATGTGAATACGCCTTAATGGGTCTTTATATATTTATATAGCGGATGTTAAAGCTGTATTGGTCTCAACACCCAGCTAATCCTGAACATCTGCAGTCTGACGCCATCTGAAGAGAAACTGATTCAAACATTTCTAGACTGGAACTTTTGATTGTTATTATAGTATAAATTACCACAAGGCAAAAGCAGGTATTGTTTGATCTGTGGCTGTTAAATTTTTTAATATGTTGTAAATATTTGGCTGGTAAAATTTTAAGAAACAGCAGGTAGAGTTTGGAACCTATACACTTGCCTCAAATCGCTGTGTGTGCATCAGGACCTCAGCCTTTTTGTTATTTTTCTCTCACAGCAGGCTGGACTAGCCTCACTCTCCTCAAACGCCACATAGACACGAATAAACTGATCCAGCACCAGTGTCTAAATGGCTGAAAATAATTTCAAAAATCATAAGATGGGTTCAGTTCCAGGTACTTTTTGCTTCCCAAGCAAATCAGCCGTTGTCAGATATCTGTAGCAGCTCTTTAAATCCTTCCTACCCATCATGGATAACCCACTTGTGATTTGAGGAAGACTTAACCCAATGAAGCTGATTTTTTAAATGTATCAGCCTGTAATGTAATGCAAATACAAAAGTAATATTGTCAGTAATTTAAGGATTAGTTTACACGTCAGGCAGTGACTTATAGGTTAGTGAAGATTGTTTTTGTTACCAGAAGGTTTTGGGTTTAAATCGTAGAGTAAAAGAGTGAATTCTTTCTCAGTAGCAACTGCCATGGTGCCTTTTGAGCAAGGCACTTAACCCACAAGTGTTCCAGTGGCCAACAGTAGAAGGCTGTGGTTGTACTGGACTGCTCACAGTTGTCAGTGTCTCTTCATCTGTTAGCGTAAGGCAAAATGTTTCGTCTTCACCCGAGTAATTCAAGGTTCAAGTTTACATCTGAAGAAGGCTCTTGAAGCAAAGGAAGGGAATTTGAATTTGAGGAAGAGTGTGTCTTCAGTGGAACTGAAACCGTCGTTAACTGACCCGCCATCCGCCTGCACTCCTGACAGTCCGTTTCCTCACATCTGTGTCCAGTTAGGGATGAAGCACATTGGTGTTAATTCGGAGCATCACAAATGCATTTTTAAGTTTCATTTTTCGAGAGATTATGGCTTTCACTTTCTGTGTCAGAAAAACCCACTGAAATCATCAAGTACTATCATTTACTTGGACAAGTTCTTAAACTTCTTCAATCACCTTAAAAATGTGTAAATTATAGTTTCACGCTTTACATGAAGATGCTGCTCATTTGAAGCTCTATACGTGCTGTCAACAACAACACATATGCTGCATAATGTGTATTGTCCCGAACAAGAGCCATGGATGTGTTGAAAACTTATTTCTCAATCAGTTTTGCCTGTTGTGCTGGACGTCTGATAACAAGCAGGAAAATTGTCAAATCTTTTTTTGTTTTGTTTTGTTTTGTTTATTCTTTAATGTATTTCTATGATATATGGACTCTGGCCTTTTTGTCTGTTTTGTTTATGTTTGATAAACTCAGGACTCCAAAAGGCTTTGTAATATAATCCTTTAAACTTTTTTATCCCACATTTTTGCGTTAATGTTGCTTTTTCTAATGCAGTAGTCACTCAAGAGCTTTTCAAGAACGCACTGTGGCAGTGCAGTTTTATACTCCTCTCTTTGATAAAAAAAAAAGAGCTTTTGTTTACAACCTGGATATTTGTATGTGAGCCTGTGCTGCTCTCCTGTCTGTGCATGAATGTGTGAGTGTGTATGCACACTTGTATTATAAATGGTTAGTATCAACACGCTGCCAACTGGGCCAAATTTCCCTGCATCAGACACACACAGATATTCTTTAAAAGAGGTCCATCTTAACAAATGTAGCAAATTTGTTTTTTTGTTGTTGTCTTTTTTTTGTTCTTTTTTACAGAATATTGCTGCAAGAGATTGGATTTCTTTAAACCAAGTAAACTGTTTGTCTTCATGTGCAATTTTTCAGTAACATTATTTCGGTGCAGTGGCAGATCATTTTGCAGATTTCAACTACAGGTAGAAAGATTATTTTCAGGACCTTGCTTTCTAACAAATAAGCAGTGTTAAAGCAAGACACACAGTGACAACAATGACATTTCTCATGAAACCAGCATATTTTTTTTCAAGGTTTCAAGTCAGTGTATTATGAAGTTAATTTGAAATGTTCCTTTTTACGTTTTAGTAAGTCTGAATAAGAAAACGAGTAAACTTTATTTTTAATGCACACAGACTGACACACACATACTGCTCATGTCAGCTCCCTCTGCTGGCTGTTACCTGAACTGTTACTTGTCTGTGTTTCCACAAACAGACACTGAGGTTTCCCTTAACCTTCATAGCTTCATAGTTTTAATTATTTCTAATGGCAAATTAACAATATCTCAAACACTAATTATCTATTTATTAGCTAAATTGGATTAACTAAAAATGCAGCCTTCTTTTTCAAAATGCTAAAGGAGAAAACAACTTCCTTTTACTTACTTTTATGTTCATTTCTCAACATTTAACATTTAAAGTACCACAAATAACCATTACTGAGGCCAAAGATAGCTATAACCTCACCAGTCTTCACTCACACTGTTGAATTGTCATCACACCATGTATCCAACTTTCTTATAAATGTCTCATTTTGGAATGAAACCCTCATTCTTTGAGTAAATGTAGTGATTAAATGATTATTTGTGGGACATTTGCACCACTTGTGTGAGCTATGAATGTAGATTGGAAAACCTCAGTCATTCCTCAGTCACTCGTACCACACAAAAACTGACTTCAGCTGTTTTACAGTGACCTTTCTCAGAGCCTTCAGAGGAGTGGACCCGGTTTGTACCCTGTTGTAAAGTTATTAAAGAAAAGTATACAATCTGTGACTCCTATTCTGTGTCATGACTGCTTTAGTTTACTTACTGTGCTCTAAATTTACTCCCAAAATTTTTGCATTAAATGGGTAGACTTTGGCATCAAACTCTTCTGTATTGACAAATTTGTAAAAAAAATTACTGGCATGGTGTTAAAAAAAGAAGAAAGACAAAACAAATGCAAAAAGAGATGAAACACTGATGCTCGGATGAATTTATTGTACGTTCTCTAATCCGCCTCTTACAAAAATGTAATATGTTTGAGTTGTGAAGGTTCTGTAGGAACTGAACCATAAAAAGATAAGATATTATAGAACATTAAAATTTGCCCAGTTTGAGGCACAGTTAATCAAGTGCTGAGTATATGAGTTGCAGTAGTATACACGTTATTTAAGCTTGCGTTTGCTTTTGATTCAGAAGCAAGGTGTATTTTCTCCCTCTTAGACTACTGTTGTCTGGGAACAAACTTGAGTTTTATTGGTTTTGTTGGCTGCAGCTTCCAGTCAAACTCCAACGGAATCTAAAGAAAGGAATTAATATGAAATTAGGGACATGATCACTGAGTGGTACAACACTCTGAACGCACATGAACAAGTGCACATGTGTGTTGCTGTGAGTGGAGTGTTATTCTTACCATGGTCTCTTTGCATGTTTCCAAAGTGTAACTCTGCAGGAGACGAACAATAACCACCTTCATGACGAGGATAGCAAAGCGCATCCCAATGCAGTTACGAGGGCCGAGCCCAAACGGCATGTACGCATACGGGTTCACCTCCTCTCCGCTATCTTTACTGAACCTGCACATACAGACAGAACATAAACATCACACCCAGTATTACTTAAGGTAGTATTTTAAGTCAGGCACTTTCACTAAGGCTGCACAATATTGCAGTTTTGTCTTATGGGAACAATGGGGGTTGCAATCTCCAACTTCACCGCTAGATGCCACTGAATCCTACACACTGGTCCTTACATTTCACAGTAATTACATTTTCTTGTGGAGGAACAAAAGGTTCTTGCTCATAGATTAAGTGTGAAAGCTTAGCAAAGTGTACATTTACCTCTCTGGTTTGAAAAGCCCAGGTGAGCTCCAAAAGCGTGGGTCCTTGTGTAAAACGTGCACAGGAATCCCAACCAGGGTTCCTTCTGGGATGGTGATGCCGCCGACCTGGACAGTTTTTTTGCACATCCTCTCAAGCCGAGGAGCAGTGGGTATCAAACGCTGTGACTCACAAAGAACCTGGTCAAGGTACTGTAGACCGGCCAGATCCTCGTATGAAATGGGAGCCTAGAGGCAAAAGTAACACACAAAAAAAACAAAGATTAGAACAAGAAAAGTTAGTAAACTGCAATGAATCACATGCAAAATTACTGTACATCTCTCGGTAGTCTGGCATCAATTTCTTCATGCAAGGTCTGCATCGCCTCAGGGTTGGTCGCCAGGTTGTAAAGGATGTACGTGAGAGTGACACTGGTGGTCTCATACCCACCAAAGATGAAAACCACAGCCTGGGAAAGGATCTCGTGTTCAGTCAAACCTGCAAGAAAATAAAGCGGAAGAAATTTGTCAAAAATTGTTCAGACATAGAAATGTATTTCTTACTTTTGACATTATCAAAGTAGGGCTGTAACTAACAATTGTTTTAGTTATCACTTAATCTGACAACAATTTAGTTGTTTGATCTATAAAATGTCAGCAAATAGTGAAAAATGCCCATCACAATTTCCTAAAGTTGAATTTGAGCAGATTTTTTATCTGACCAATAACCTAAAACACAAATATATTCAGTTTATAATGATATTAAACAGAAAAAAAGCAGCAAATCCTCGAATTTGAGGAGCAAGAACCGGACAATGTTTTACTTGAGAAGTGACTTTAATGATTAGCCAGTTATCAGAATAGTTACCAGAGATTTTCTTTCATTCGGGCTAAAGGATTTATCACCTAATCCTTTGAGCTCTAATAATCAGTAGATACATTAAAGTTTGTTACCCTTTATGGTGTAGCGTAGTCAGATCATCTATCATGGCCAATTTGAAGCAAATGGCAATTTCAGTCACAATATTTACAGGTGTAAATAGAAAAAACACTGATGCTCATATGGGAGGATCTGTGTAACTTTTTTTAAAATATGTGGAAAACCATCGATCTTCAGTTATCTTGTCTAGTGAAGAAGAATCGCCTCATAAACAGGAATGATAGAAAAAATATGCATTTTTCCTGAGCTGAATGAGTGCTGAAGCTGAGGAAGTTGAAGAACAATTTAAATGTAAATTGATGAATTTTAAGAGTAAAACTATTAGTGTACCTCGACTTGCAAACATACCTTTACTTGGCTGATCTTGTTCACTCTTTATGTCTGATTCTGGTATCTCGTTCTGAATCATCACCTGCAGGAAGTCGGCTTGAATCTGGATCAGCACAGGGAGCATTCAGCATTGACACAAAATGCATAAAATGTATTACGTATATTTGTGAGATGCACTTCTCCCACCCCACAGTCCCTATGGGTTTAAAGAAGTAGATCTACATTCTAGGAAATCTGCGTATTCATTACCTTGGGGAGAGTTACATGAGGAGATTGACACCAATTTCATGTCTGCCCATTAGACCAGGAGGGTTAGCTTAGCTTAGCATAAAAACTGAGAGTAGAGGGAAACAGCTAGCCTGGCTCTAACCAATGGTAAAGCTATTTAACAACTAATATCGTGTTTGTTTAATCGGTATTAATGACAAGTGGTTTCACAGGAGGTTGTTGGATTACTTCTTAGCTGGTATTACACCACAAACTGTGATCTGATTAGGAAGTTCAGCTAGGCTTTACAGCCACTACAAACATGTATTTTGATGGCTGATAATCATGGTGCCTCCATATTATTTAGACAGGGGCACAGACTCAACTTTTGTACTTTGTACTGTTTTTGCATTAATAAAACAAACCAGATGTAACATGTTAACTCACAAGCTTTAGACGTGCTGGACAGCCGGATTTTGTTACCTTTTAGACAGATCCAGACAAGTTGATTCCCCATGTTTCCAGTTTTCATGCTAAGCTAAGCTAACTGACTGCTGACCCTAGCTTCATATTTAGCATACAGACATGAGAGTAGTATCTATCAATCAATCAATCATCTAAATGCAGATGAAATGCTTACAGATTCATCTGCACGATGCTGGTCTTTAAATCTCAAGATGATGTTGTGGAAATATTCCAAGCTGGGTTTGGACACTATGCTGATATGCAGGAGCTCCAGCAGACGGGCCCCAAAGGGAAATATCACTGAAAGGAGAACAAAGGCTTGTTGCCAAAAATGTGCACACTAATGTTCACAAGGTGCTTGTATGATCAAAAGATCTCCATCTAAAACAGAAGTGAAAGGAGAACGTACTTAGTAAAAAAACAATCCAAAATCGGAAATTAAGGAGCTCCTTGATATTAACAGTATTTGGGTCATCAGGATTGTTTATAGAGTTTGCTTCAACACTGAAAGACGCACTGGTCACAACATCCAAACTGTAAGGTCCCATAAATCTGCAGCAGAAGAAAAGAGAGGTGGTTTTCTTTTAGGAACTAAAATGGACTAATGATGTATGTAATGATATGATGCCACATAACAGATTAACAACATACTGTTTGACATCGACGGGTTCATCCAAATTTGTTGTTCCAAGTTTTTCAACAAGCCGGTCTGCATACCGAGCAATGATGGGATAAACCTTCAAAAAAAGTTGCACATGTAGACATATTTGTTTGTATCGCTGCACGAGATAACAGGAAGCAGATTGCAGAAGTTAACTCTGGTATGATGCCGACCTGTTTCAGTTTTCCACTGGTGAAGCATGGTGACAACGTGCTACGAATTCTTCTCCATCTTTCATCTTTGACTACTGTAATTGCATCGCTAAATGCCTCCATTACATTATCCTGTGAACATGAGTACAGTTAAAAGGGAAACTACACTCAGTGTTTACATTCTTGTACAGAAGAGTTATATAGTTACAGTATGCTCCGTCATTTCTCCTTCCTTGACCATTCAATATGTCCACTTCGAGCTGAATCATCACACTGTACATTACAATGTAAAGAAATCCTTGGGTAGAACGATTTGTCTTGGGGATGATCATAATGTTTTGTATTAGAGCCCGACTGATATGGGATTTTTAAAACTGAAATCAATTTTAGAGGGAAAATTTTCACAGATTACCGATATTGCGTATTTTTGAGCCAGAAAGAAAATAGACCAATTTTGCACCGATATGACTTTGCAAAGATACGCAGAAGGCTGCTGTCTTAGAAAAATAACTTTAAAGAATATTTGAGTAAAATTTGTTTAACAATTGCAGAAATTAACAAAGAGAATTAAAAAAACATCAGTTAAACATCAGTACTCAGTACATAAGCATTTTGTTTGTATATTGCCGAATACTGGATAACATATAACATAACAATGCGATACCGATGCGATACCAATATGTCTGTGATAGAGCTCTCTTTTGTATATTTGGTATCTATGGTGATTCTGACAAATAAATGAATTGTATATAAAGAAACCAGAAACACCACCTAGATAAAAGCAAGATAAAAACTGTTTGGGGGATGCAGCATGGCGTAATGAAGAAGAGTTGTGCATTGTTTTTTTCAATTTTATTGGATTTTGTTACCTTTGGTCAGAGCCAGGCCAATCCTTATGCTAAGCTAAGTTAGACCTGCAGCTCTGTGGCACCAATATAAAAAAAATTGAGCTTCTGGCAATAGTATTACTTTGAGGTTCTACACATGAGCACACATTAACCCTGATGTTACAGGCTGATGTGTTTCACAATATGAGTCTGAAGAGATTCATTCAATAAATACAAAATACTGTTATATTGCACCACCTACAATTTCAAGTTTAGCTGTATTTCAGAACATATGCGTGCCGTCTGGTGTGATCTTCAACCGTAAATATCTGACTCAACAACCGGATATGCTACAAATGGGACTTCACAGAGTTGCGTAACTTCATAACTGACTGCAAATGTTACATCATTGTCATTGGACATCACATGCTGAAGAATTATATACTCTGCTGTACGAGAATACGCAACAAGATGAATCTCATACCCTCCGGTTGGTAAACACGGAGTAGCACTCTTTCACGAGCACTGTTTTAATCATCTCAGGGTCTGCCACCATTAGAATGGGCGCTCGTGCATCAAACAACCTGCACAAAAACACAACAACAGCACAGAGTAAAGTATGAGCTATTATTTTAACATGAATACTTTATAAAGCTTCATAAGACAGAAGTAAATGTATGTTGATCTAACGTTTAGCCAGGTTCCCACAAGGAAAGAATAAACCAGTTGATTGTTTCCAACCTTTATGGCTTGTGAAAGCACTGCCTCGTCAGGCCCCCATGTCATGGTTTTATTGATGTTTCCACTCTAAACTTCTCAGAGAGATTAATTTAAATAACTATCAAAAGCCCAGAGAGGAAAATATATCCAATATTTCATTAAAAAAAAGATAGGAAAAAAGAGAACTTTGTTTGTTCTGCTGTCCTGCTCTAATTATCATCTCACCCCTCTGATTTATCTTGTGACAGTGAGAAGAGGGGCCCAGATCCTGGTTTGTACTTTAACTTAAGAAAATGGATTTTCCTGTGACACTGACGTCACCTGCAGCAGGTTGGACTTGAAGGGCGAAGTACAACTCACCCCCAGATATCGCCGTACTTCGCATGGCACTCCCAGTCAAAACGAAGGAATCCCTACCAAGGCAAAATGTGTTAAAGTGTTAAAAAGGTTAAAGGGTCACAAAGCCTCTAACATTACATGAACAAAGTGTATAGATAAGCAATGAAGGCCAGGTTAACACCCACTCACTTTCTGCATATAACCTCAGGTACCCAGTGTTACCCCATACGCCAAATAAACTAAAACAAAATATACTAAACAAAATAATAATAATTAAATAAAACAAATAATTTGCAAAAGAAAACACTATTAAAAATATAAGCAAACTAATCAAACAATATGACTTACTATTGATAAAACAACAAATAAATAGCTCCTTCAAAAAGCTTTACCTGTCATCAAATGCAGCACATAATAAGGACATATACTCTCTTAATCATTAACTCTCAAATCAATCAACTCCTTACATAATGTTTGTGTTTATGTGTGAGTAATTACCTTTCCAAGGCTTAACAGTGTTCCAACAAAAGGCAGAGGCATTGGTCCGGGTATTCCTTGCTTTTTGAAAAACCTATATGGCCAAATGCCATACCTATATTATATTAAAAAAAACAGTTATACACAATCACAGTCAGTGTAGGACAGTCGGTGAATAACACCTTTGATAGTTAATGAAACAGAAACTACTCACAGCAGTAACAGGGAGAGACACAGAGCCAGCAAAGTCCAGGTGGTTGCTGAAAACATTGTAAAGAGAAACATGTTGTGTCGATGCAGACACGAACTGCGTGAAAATTTAGAAATATCAGCTGGGAAACAATTGACCTGATCTGCCACTGACAGTGGGAGGAGCCCAGATTGTAGAGATCCAGGAAGAAACTGGTCCCTGGACGCCGAGGGCTTTAGCTTTCACACTGCAGTGCTAGAGGACTGCTACATTTAATACACAGCTGAATATGAAAAGAAAACACAGTCCATCCATTGGCCACTTTAATAATCTTCCTAATGCTTAAGGACAGAGTGCTCTGTGATAGTTAACAGTGTAAACATGCAACAGTTTATATAGAGAGTGTTTAATATTGATGGTGCTGCAGTACGACCGAATAGAAACAGGAAGAAGTGAAATAAAGTCGGCTGCTTTTAATTAAATGACTAATGTAATACTTGATATCCTACTTTATTGCTACAGTCTCTGCTTCTTTAACGTTGAGCGACATAGCGCGTGAAATACAAACAGGGACATGTTTGAGCCTTCTCCGGCACCGTAGATAACCCGGAAATACCTATCGCCTCCTCTCACATTTCCCTGCTGGTCCTCGTCTTTAGAAACCTTCTGAATCTGAGAGTTAGAGACTGAGGTAAGGAGCAAACGGTGGCTTACAGATGGTTGTGTGTGTGTGTGTGTGTGTGTGTGTGTGTGTGTGTGTGTGTGTGTGTGTGTGTGTGTGTGTGTGTGTGTGTGTGTGTGTGTGTGTGTGTGTGTGTGTGTGTCCTTGGTGTGTAACGTTAGCTACAGCTAAGCTAGCTCCACTGGGCTTTTAGGGGTCACGTTTTTCCCTTCAGGTGTAATGAGACCTCACGTGCTGCGTGGGTTATACGATGTAATGTTAACAATAAACTATATAGCTGTTTTATCAATGGAGTTTGTAGTTTGTGGTGTAGTTTGGTAAACCACCGGTGAAACTAACGAAGGTTCAGTTCCGTTCAGGTCAACCAGAGTCAGGGTGTTATTGTGTATGCTGGCTCACTGGAAAGACTCTGCTCTCTGCAACAGAGCCTTATGTAATATCATTTTATTTACCCTACTATTTCATGGCAAAATAGCTGCTGTGAAAAAGGTTTATTGCGTTACACAGAGGAGTTAATGATACCTTGTTAAACCCAATTACCCCCATGTCCATTATTCCATTCCCCATGTCTGTGTTTGACGTTTGCTGTCACCTATAGTAGGTTTTTTGCCTCTCATGTAATGCCATTACTTTAGTGTCACAGAGCTGATCAGATTTCTGAACAGTAGAAACCCGAATAAGAAGTTGCAGGAAAAGCACAAGGTGTAATTATAAACTTCTGTAAGTGATTAAACCCTGACCCTGATATTGTGCACCATCCCTCACTCACATGACATGGCTGACACTTTAATGTACCTGAGCCTTCCTTAATGCCATCATCTCTTGCTATGGCAAGTCCAAATATTTGCTGTGAAAAAGGTCTTAAATACAGTTGATGCTTACTCATTAGCCCACTTAAATCAAATGTACTTATAGCTTACTTATTTTAGTATCTACAGGTGTACTTTTCTATGGTATGGCAATTTAATAAATAACGAACTAGCATTAAATTAAACTGTTAAAACTGAAACAGTTGATTTTGTTGCACAAAAATAGGTTTTGAACACAATACTGGCAATATTCTCACCATTTAAGTTGATATAAACTTGTTAGTAAACTATTGCTTATTTACACATCCATCAGACAAGTGGCAACCTTGCTATTCATTTCTATGTTTCTGGCCACCTGGCAAATATTTACTCTCCTTTCAGGTCTGTTTTAGTCTTGAATAACTCCTGAGGGAAATATCTGGCTCTCTAGTTGCTAAATGCTCCATTATGTTCACCAGCTAGTCTTTACCTGTGTCTGGTGCTGAGCAGATGGTGTACAGGTCTTTTTTTATTTTGTTTTGTAGAGCTGTAGCAGAAAACAACTCTAAGAGCGGTGAGACTAAAACCAGAACATTGAACAGCAGCTCCTTACACACACTCATGCATTTCCTTGTCAATACAGATTTTAGCTGCTCCAATCTCTTAACAGATACCCTTTTGACTTTTAAGACAATAACCCACCTAACCACGAGGAGATAAAGTTGTTCATATGATGTAATTGTCATGCACTGTTGTAAAATTGTCATAATCATAAGATTCATCAGTGTGCCAAAGATCAGCACTCGGTTACCGAATCAGTGCACAGTTCAAACCTCATGAAACATACACTCATTAGGGATGCACAATATTGGTGTTTTTCTTTTTTTCAGCTGATATGAGAACTGATAATTACTTGCCTCTCACTGCCGACACCGATAAGTTGCCTGATAAATTTGTATTTAAAAGCAGTTCATAACCTGAAGTTTATGCACTCCTAAGGGTATGAAATGTGAGATGTGGTGAGAAAAGCTGGATAATTTAAACAGTTCTGACTCTTCAAATGTCCGTTTATTTATTCATTCATTGAAAAACTTGACAAACATGGCCTATATAGAACATAAAGCCTATCAATCGTTTTACATAAGAAGTCCAAATAACTAATAATCTCAACTCATAATTTATTGGCTGTAATTTAATTATTCCGGCAAATTGTAATAAAATATATTTCCCATTATGGACTGATAAATATATTTGTCCTGATAATTATTGTGCATCCCTAATTTTTCAGATGAGTATCTTACAGTTTATTTGAAATGGGCCGATTTCCTCTCTGGTTGCAGTAAACAGCAAATGTGCAGTAATCCGGTTAGAAGAGTGAATGTCAAAGGCATTTGATGGCAGTGATTTACAGTGGTAAAAGTTAGTAGTAGTAGTAATAATAATATTTTGGTGCAGCAGAATGATAAATCCCATCCTCACAAGAATCAAGCAGGACTGTCTTTATTTCTCTTTAATTGGGTTTATTTTATTTAGCAGGATTTGTTTATGACATGAAGGGTTCTTAAAGTGCTTCTACACTGATGATCCACCCACACAGGTGTTTTCACTTATCTGACTGATTAGATCTCTTCTCAGGGCTGTGTGGGCGTTCACAGACTGCACTTGATCAACATCTTCATTACTCTCCTGTTATTTCTGTTGCACATTACTTACACCTTAATAACTGAGGTTCAGATCGACACGTGTTCCTCCTATCACCATCTAATAAAGGCATAAAAAGAACTATCACCTGCAGAACTGTGACACTGTGTCAATGTGCAGCCAGGTCGTTATATTGGTTGTATCCTTTTATGTATTAAACTGCACAGCAAAATGACAGAAGCACTGTTAGAAGGAAGGACGCCGATTGGCTGCAGTGAGCACACGAACAATGATAAAGGGCACTGACGGGTAAATGTTGGATAAAAAGTTACTTCATTTTCTGGCATTCTGTTGTTCATGGATGGCTCTCGCAGTGTGTGCTTACAAACCTGCCCACATTATTTCCTGTCTCACCTCTCTGAGCCACAGTGTGCTGTGTCTGACCTCACCTTTTATTAGTATATGAAGTTTGGTTACCTGGACAAGCAGCTCTTTACAAACTCCACCTGAGCAGAGGTCCAGTGAGCTAGCTAACGTTTAACACCTGTGGGTGTGCAGGGCCTTTTGATGGTCTTTTTTAAAAAACACATTAACATGTCACAGTAGGAAAAGCACGAGTTTAACTGATACAATAAGGATTTTGTTTAGCTGCTTCAGTTACTGAGACACTTGGATACCACAGAGCTGATGTTAATGTTACTAGTAACACCTTTGCTTTTCCTATGGCAAATCAAAATGTCTAATACTGAACAATTCTGTACTGTTGTAATGGCGATATTACTAGCACACAATACGTCTGTTGAACATGAATGAACAGTAACAGTGTCATCAGAGCAATCACTGATCCTGTTTTTTTTTTTTTTTTTTTTTTACACCCATTTTGCTTTTTCAGAAATTATTTACCACCATGTTTCTCACCCTCACCCTGCTGCGGAAAGGCATCTCTGGGAAGCAGTGGATCGGAAAGTATCGGCGTCCACGACAAATTACCTGGCAGATGAAACGCAATACGCTGATCCATCTGGAGCGCGAGGCCGAGAACGAATACTGGATCAGTCGTCCGTACATGACTACGGAGCAGGAGTACCGCCACGCCGCAGAGCGCAGAGCCCAGAACTGGCTAAAGATCAAGGAGGCCAAATATGCCAAATTCCCTGAACACAAACACATCACAGATCACCTGAGTCATCTCAAAATCACCAAGACTTGGTGAAGTTAATATGAGCAGAGAAATGATGTGCAAAGACTGTCTTTATAATGTAACAACGTAAGATGACGTGTGCAAGAAAGCTCTGGTTCGTTATGTGTAGTAATGTACAGCGAGACTTTGTATGTTGAGACCATGAAAGGTACACAGTAGACTGTTTTAACAAATCTGTGAGCTGTTTGTGTTTCTGTATCACAGACTGAATCCACACTGCAACAGGACTGAAACTTCTCCACATTCAGGGCTGCTCATTTGGATAAAAATGTTCTATCTGTGGGTCCTTTTTTTAGCACTCATTAACAAAATATACTTTCAAGTTGAGAAAAACAGGGTTCCCACTGGTTATAAATTCTTTATAATTATATGATCTGCTGGAGTTTAATCCATGAGGAAAATGTTTGAGGAATTATTTAAACTGTTTGGGGAGGTTGGGGCAAAATTATGTAATTTTACGAAGGGTTAATTTCACTATAAAATAATTGAATGCATTCTACTGTTCTACATTTCATGTGTTAAAGGGTTGTGACTGTCATTGAGCCCAATTGTCGCTGGAATTAAACATTTAATCCCTTTGAAGTTACAAAACATTTTCAAGCTTCACTCTCTCACTTCATTAATGGATTCTCAAAATGTAACATTTGTGCCATAGTGCGGAGCCGTGTGAATGACATTTGAAGTGTTTCTGTTGCCTGTCTGTCTAAGACAAAGGCTGTGCTCACATTATAATACCTGGCAGTCAAGCTATATTTCTGACTCAGTGTTACATTGTGCAAGAGTTTGACCCTCACATACTGTATTGATGACTTGTCTGATAACAATTATTGCCATTAAGTACCCTCTATCAGTCCTACACAAATGCATTACTACAAGAAGAACCAGCAGGTGATCAGTAGCATAGTAGCCTAAGTATTGGTCAAAGGAGGTGTGTGCACCATAAAGCAAAGCAAAGCATTAGCTTAGCATTTATAAGAAGTATACACACATTCCATAATTGGTTTATAACACGCTGATGTAGTTAAAAGAAATTAGATCAGAAGATTTATAACCTTTTAATTGGTTAAACATAAAACTGATACTCAGTCAGTATCCTGCTGTTTCCACATTAACCATCCAGTCTGATTTACACCTGTGACAACAGGTGAACCCAATGAACAAACTGAGGATAGAAAAGCAGCTGACCTCTGGGCTTCACAGGTGTGAGAAACCTTTCATACTGACCTTTGTGTTGTCTGTTTCATGTTGGTGGAAATGTAGCCACCAGAAGCATTATTTGAGGTCTGTATTAGTGTGGGCACGGCAGGGTCCAAAATAACTGAATGGTATTAAATAGCTGGTGGTTAAAATGGTTTCTGTGAAAGGGCCAATTCTACTGCAAAAGTCAAAGGAAAAAAAAAAATCACATGGCTCAGTATTGCTGGTCCTTTGGGGCACCAATTTCAAGAACCTGACTAAGCGGTTAATCTATAAAAAACTTACTAACCAGAACCCTCCTGGGTCGACTGCAGGAAGCTTTCCCAACAGTTTTTCTCATTTCGGTTACACAGTTCAAGCTGTTTAAATGCGCTAAATATTACAAGCCTGAATTCTTAAAGGAAACAACTAACAGAAATAAAGGAGATGATCTTGTTGACAAATAGAATAATAAAATCGTTTTCCAGTTACAAACAATCTTAACATTTCTCTCTTTCATTCAAGATCATACTCATATAAAAATACAGATATTATCAGCAAAATGTAGATATTAAAAGTATCAAACCAAAGTGTTTCTGTAGAAAAATAGCCCTTGATTGATAAATTACTGTGTGTTATATTAGCTTGTTGTTACTAATGCATCAATGTGTCAGCAGCAGCTTTTTACTGTTGTAGTTGCTTGAGGTACAAAAACACCAAAATAAATCTGAGGGGTTGTGAGATCTTTAAAGCTGCAGTAGGCACATTTTATAAAAAACATTTTGTCACATTTGCTGAAGCTTTAACTATTTCCCGACAGTATTAAATGAAACAGACAATCCTGGGAATGACACTCAACAATAAACCATCTTTCTTGGCTCTGATTGGCTGTCTTCGTTCAGGTGCAGTGGATTCTTGCAAATGCCATTAGGAGCACTAGGAGGAGGAACTGGATTCACAGATTATCTGTCTCAAAATATTGAACAATTTATCTACAGGCACCACAGATTGCCTTCCATGGAGTCCTTCCTGTTGAACCGCCATATTTCAATCAACAGCGGTGTTCAATTAGTTGTAATCTATACTGTCGATGCCACTAAATACGAAAAAAACAAGAGCCAGTATTTGGCTTATGTAGAAAAATGGCAGTTCAACATGGCGGACTCCATGGAAGGTGAAAACACAACAATTCCTATATTCAGATGATTGTACACTAATAAAAACATACCTACATATATTATATATTCCATTTCTGCCTATAGATCCACTTAAATGTCACACACTGGACCTTTTTAAATGAGAAGTTCATGAAATCTCTCTTTGGTGAAACCGCTAACAACTCAAAGACATCTGAAATGTGATGAACTACTTTGTTAAGGGGTCATATGGCAGAAAGGTTGGAAACCACTGGCTTTATGTGTTTTAAACTGTAGTGCAGTAAAAAGTACAATATCCCCCTCTAGAATTAGAGTGGAGCAGATGTATGAAGTGGCAGAAAGGGAAATGAATCAACTACCTCAAAAATGTAAAATAAATAACTAAATAAAAGTAGGCTACTGGAGTTTTTGCGCACATGGTTTCGCCCAGCAGATGGCGCTGCAGGCCCTGTCAGTGATGCGTGCGGGGGGGCAGAGCCGCGGCCCCTCCTGTGCGGTGAGTCCGTGCGTTGTTTTCGTCTCCTGGATAATGAGGTGCGTGCCTCACCAAAGAGGCGCCAGCGCACCGCACCGGGCAGAGGAGGCGGCTGATGAACAGACCAGACAAACAGCTCCTCTCCAAGAAAATCCACACAGCGTCTCACAGCCAGAGAGACACCATGAAGACGGGCGGCAGACCGAGGAGTAAAGATTCACCTGCGGACGCCTGAGTGAAGAGGCAGGATGGCGGGGGGTCGGAGGGGACTTGTGGCCCCTCAGAATACTTTTTTGGAGAATATTGTCAGACGGTCGAACGGTAAGGATGAGGATGGATATGGTGCATTGAACTGAAAGATTTAAAAAAAAAAAAAAAAGCATAGCCAGTCTTAGAAAGCAGGCACTTGAATTGTTCAACAGACTGTCCAATCGAGCCAATCAACTAATTAACGAAATAAAAAAGGAAGAGGGCTGATTAGTGATTTTAAAAACCCTCACCTTCATGTGCATTGCAAAGTTTTTTTAATTGAGCTACGTAGAAGATAAAAACTACTGAACACATTTGGTTTAAAATTTCACGATTTGTGTAAATAAGATTAATTAAATAAGTCTAATGATTTTCAGAACGACTGAGTTGGGTTTTCTGACAAAGCTCCCGCTCCCAATTGGGTGTCCCTGCAGGAGTGTGTGGGGAAACAGCAGGTTACATTTACTACTGATTACATAAGGTCATTGGAAGTCTTAATTGAAAAATTATATGGACCAGAAATGTCTGGATTCTCAGGATTTCTGCAGTCAGTGAGGTGTAAATATTGTATAATTTCTATAAAACATCTATAGGTTCAGAAAGAGATCACTGTGGTATCTGGTATGTATTAAAACCTTAGATATTTTTCACCATGAACCCCACTTTAAGATTGATTTGAAATTAAACTGTTATATCTTATCCTTTAAATATTAACCATTAGAGTTTAAATAACCTCAAACTGTGCCCAATTGAGACTACTGCATACCATTCTTCTTTTTGCCTTTTTAGTTTTGTGGATAATAAAGTCAGTGAAACAACATTAAGCCCCATCCTCTAGCACAGGCACTACCAGTCATATAACAGTCAACCAGCAGAGAGGATTTTCATGTATTATGGCAAAATGGATTAAAATTAGGAATTTTCTTGACTGTTTCATCTAACTTTATTTTAAAACTCTTGACATGTTCCAAAGCTCTGTTTAAACCAGTTATCAAAACAAATTAAATATCACAGTCGGTAACAGCGCCAGGTTCCTCATATATGGACACGTTCATTTGTCAAAAACAAAAGTGGTCTTCAACCCGCATTAACGTAGTGTGCTGTCTGAATCCCATTTTAAAGCTGAAACTTATCTAATTCTAATGAAAGTCTTACAGTATTTTTAGACACCGTTGTCAGTAATACTTACTGTATTATTAGATCCAATAGAAAGTGACAGGACAGACTGGAGAGTTATGACACTGGACAGCTAGCTGTGAAACAGAACCAGAAGCTGTGTGTGTGTGTGTGTGTGTGTGTGTGTGTTCATCACAAGCCATATTCAGAGACAATATTGGATACACACCAGATAACTGGCTGGAGTTATAAGGACTTCTTTTTTTAATGGGGTTTGGTTAAAGTTAGTTTTTTTTTTTTTCAGATTTGTGTGTTTTTTGTTTTTATGGTCCGTGCCCACAGAAGTGTGCCAAACCAACATGTGTGTCTGTGTATGCTCTCATTGGGCCTCACTGTCAGTCTGCCCCTGGTGCACAAATCTACATTAAAATGTGTTATGACAGAAGGGAACAATTTGTTCAGAAAGGGTGAATACATATTGCCAGAATGAGGCTTTCTTAAGATGAACAGTGTGAGAATTTGGCTCCCTAAGGTGTATAGTTTTTTAAAAAAAAGGAAAATCTACCCTATAAGAAGAAAAGCACATGTATATGTGTTTCTTATGACCTTGGGCGGTCCATGGATTAGCGAGCAGTAAATCTCTCCAAAGCTTGAAACAAAAGAGCCAAGACTATAATCTGCAGGATGCCACTGAGAAACAGTGGAGTGACTTCAGACAGACACCATGGTACCATGGTGGGTGGGCATTCACTAACAATCAGATATCCCTTATTTTTGTAACTTTTAGTCAATTATTTACACTTTTCATAGCAGGAAATGCACAAGTGCAACAAAAAAAGAGGACTCTGTTTCATTTGAGTGTCTGTAAATAATGCCAGTGAGCAAACATGGACAATAGCAGGGACCTGGAGCTAGAACACGAGAAATGCAGCCAGTGTGGAAAATAAGGGGGTCTTGGACCACTTTGGTGACACCCAAGACCCTAGTTATGTGTACTGTAAAGGTTACTTGCATGTTGAGAGTTGAGGAGTAGCAAAGAAAATGTGGGCAGTTTATTTTGGAACTGCTATCAAAAATAGCATACTGGTGCCACTGGCGCTCGATGTGTAGCCTCCATGGTTCTGCTACCCTGCTGCAAATTTGAAAATGTTCAATGTCTTTAAACCAGCAACAATTGCAGGCTGTTAGTAATCAGTTGCTTATTTACAGATCCAGCAGTTACAGAGAAACAGGATCAGTCATTTGGAGCTCTGTTTTTGGTCTCTACCAACGTCTAAGGGGACTATCTGGTTTTTTGACTGCTCAATGTTCCACTATGTTCCCCAGCTAGTTTCTAGCTGTGTCTTTGCTATTTGTTGCTGAGCAGTTAGTGTACAGTGGGTGTACAGTGAGTTTTTCTCTGAAAACAGCTGCCTGCTGCACTGCAATGAGAGCAGTGGGACTGAACCAAAACAGTAACGTTGAGGGCCTTGAAGCGCCCTGATAGCTCACCTGGTTGAGCCGGTGCCCCATGTACTAAGGCTGAGTCCTGGCTGCAGCGGCTATGGGTTCGACTCCGACCTGTGGCCATTTGCTGGGTGTCATCCTCTCTCTCCTCCCTTTCCTGTGACTCTATTGCTGTCTATGTCAATAAAATCCCCCCAAAAAAGTAATGACAATACAAAAAAATGAGCTGAAACTCAGTAAAAAAGTGCCGTAAAGCCAAGAGGAACTACAGATTCAGGTGCTGTACTTTAACAGTATTATTTGATACATAATTTGTTATTAAAAAATAAAGTCCAATAAACAAAAGCCAACCCATATGCAAAATAAAATACCTTATATCACTAAACCAATCAAAAAAGTAATTAATAGAATGACTGCACATCTGTAGTCACTTTTAATTGGTAGATAATTTCAAAATGTTTTCAGCACCATTTCTTGTTTTGTGTGTCATATAGGGTGTTTATGTGTTGTCATAGATTGAGTGGGTGACAGAAGCCTACTCTATTTTGAAAGTGCATTAATATAGAGAGTTTACACTGTAATGGTGAAGTATGTGTGCATGGCATGGAGCCCCTATTTATCACAGCAATTGATTTTAATTACACCTGTACTAACTGTTCTTGCTATGACGAAAAGGCCCTTTTTAAAGCTGCATTGATCAGTAGTTTTTATTTTTACATTGAATGACTACATTTGCTTGTTGGGAGTACTTTGGGATTACTTGGAGATTTTTAGCTTTGTTTAACTCATTATTTAGATTTTAAATCACATTCAGTGTTTTGTTTAATCTCACTGTTCTGATCAATCAGATTTCCTATTACAGCTGTTTTCAGCAAACAACAGCAGCTAAAGAGACAAATGTTTTTTCTCAGAAGTTGGTAGAGACTAAAACAAAGCTAAAAGTAAAGTGATTCATCGGATGGCGAGAAACACAACTCCAACAAATAAGGCAATGTCTAGCTGTGTGTCCGTCAGCTTATTTCTGAGTTTATCTGCCCCTTAGTGGTGACAAATTGATGAATGCAGCTTTAACTAGCAGAAAGTCTACACTGTAATACTTTAATGGCATACAATTCTGTACAAATTAGCTGTGTCTGTCAACTGTGCCATGGTTAAGCTTCAGTGTGAACAAACTGTCATGTTTTTAGCCCGTAGCTTCTGTTCAGGTTTAGAGCAACACGGAGAGGATTGTCGAACTCACAGCGATCAGTTGTTACCACCTGTGTCTCTCTTTTGCTTGACACGTCCCATCTTTTTTTTTGTCTGACATTCAACAAATGTTTCTCTGTGATCTGTTAACCTTCTTTTCTTTTCAAAAATTTCAGTTTGGACACTGTCACATAGACAGACAGGTACTATAAGTTTAGTTTGGTGTGCTGCTTATGTTTTCCTTACAGTATCTATTAATGTACCACTAAATGTTCTATACCAAATGCTGTTAATTTACAAAGCACTTAACTAATTAGACATGTTTTAGATTTTAAAAATACTTGTGGAAAAAAATTGCTGCAACACAGCAGTGAATTAACAAATCCAGGGCTAATAACAATCATTGAGCTTTGGACTTTATGCTTCTTTACTCACAAGATTAACACCCCTCTGGTCATTGTAAAATAACACATTGGCATGGAACGTCTCATATCATATTCTGCTAGTGTTCTCATGCTTTGGTTATCATGTCAGTGTGTTTTATTTTTATGTAATCAGTCATTTTTCCCCTTGTGTGTGTCCATATGTTGTATAAAAATAGCATTTTTTGTATATGTTTTGTGCCAGGTGTTTTTAATTCCTTCTCCTGCTCTTTCACCCCGTGTCGTCACATTGTTGTAGTCCGTGTGCATAGCACGGTGGTTTGCTTTGAATTCTTTCTTTTGAGGTTTTATCCCCAGTTATTGTCGCTTCTTCTGTCGATTTTAACCCATTACATCTGCTCCTTTTTTTGCCAAAATTGCCAAAATTATGATTTGTGCCAAAAATAATCAAGGAATACGATCCATATTTTGAAAAGTCTTTATGATCTCAGCTATAGAACGAAGCTTTTGCTTGCTGCTTTGTACTTTGGCAGACTCATTTTATGCACATTGTCTTGATTTTAATTTTTGTCAAATCAAAAGTGTAAATGAGTAATCACATCTAATTTGTCTTGAAGTCTTGCATCAAGCACGTTATTAAAGTACGATTATGGTATTTTTAAATGGGACACATTGAAAAACATTGATGTCTTTCGTGTTCAAAACATATTATATTTGACTCAGTAATTGTAATGTATATCCCATTATGTCCTCACCTTTTAATAACACAACACTCTGTATGTGCCATTTCTGTTGCGCTCAGGCAAATACTACACAGCACAATCACTTACATGTTTTATTAATCATTCTTAGTTCAAAAAGATTTTTTTAAATTAAAAACTCCAGTTCTCCTTTATTTCATGTATAATGACATGGGGACCATTTTGAGTGTAAGTAGAGATGCTGAGTAACAGTATGTGAATGTTAATTAAAAAATCACTGAGGTTTAAAAATAGGATGAAAGCAAAATAGGCCATTAAAAATATACATGCAACTCAATGATTATTTAGGTTTATTAACATTTTGACCATGAATAAGTCTTGCTCGGAGGCTTTGCTGTTATTTGAAAATGCTAAATATGCCATTACTTCATGACATTTAAAAATCGATGAAAGCAGATATTATTATTAGACTGTAATTGACAATAAGGAATACTAATGACAAACATAAGTATTCACTGTTTTACCCCCCAAACACCTCTGAAATTAAGACACACAAAGAGATAACACAAGATGTTTTCTATGCAAAGATTTTGTGTTTGACTTACATTTGTGTATACCGCCCTGTGGAGTGTGTAATGGGCCGTAGACCATCATGGACACTAATGAAATGATTTAAGTGTCTTTAAAGTAGCTCTTAAAGGCAGGGTTACTCAATCTTTTTAATGATAGTGGAAACATTACAAGACACATGCACATTTTTAAACAAGAAATCAGTTTCAAAAAACATTTTTAAGTAAACATCAAAGTAAAATCATATTCCAGGTTTCGTGGCCATTCTCTCTTCCCTGTAAACCTGTGTTGAGAATCTATGAAGTCCTAGTGTGTGGCGCTTTTTTATAGACATTTGCTTTGCTTTACAATAAAAATGTTTGACACATAGAAATTTAATTTAAAATATACGTTTGCCTATACATTTGCTTTATAGTTGCGTCCTGTAATTCTCTGAATAACTTACTTCTGTTTTCAGTTGCAGTTCCACCAAATCCTTGACTTTGATTTAGATCAAATGTAATACACCTCAACCTTTTCCCAACCCAAACGATAGTTTAAGTATTTCTGTGTTGTTGTTTTTAGGAAGTACTGCAATCCCTCAAGTTATTTGCCCCTTTCTTTCCCGTTTACTTTCAAACAGATACCAATTTTGTCCTGGGAAACGCTCAGATAGTGGACTGGCCCATCGTCTACAGCAATGATGGTTTCTGCAAGTTGTCGGGCTACCACAGAGCTGAGGTGATGCAGAAAAGCAGCACCTGCAGGTAGGCAAGAGGATCTCTGTGTGTTAGTTTAGATGATGAACTAATTTTGAAGAGGCAGATCTATATAGTTATTATTTTGGCACTGGCATGAAATCTTTTGACATATTTTACTGTGTTAGATAAACAAGATTAGCCATTGACACTGTAAGATCTTGGTACAACTAAACCCTGGACAAGCTTCATTTTGGCTGATAAAGCTGAAAAATAATCATGCTGTTGTTGCTGTTACACTACAGTCAAAGAGAAGACGACTTCCTTTACAAGGCTGCCTTAATGTCATAAGTGGCTGCAGTAAAAAGTTGTGTGGGGCTCTCGCTTAGATGCTTGCATCATATAAACAGGGACTGTGGCATTTATCATTTATAAGTAGTATTATAGCAGTTTTGTAGTGGTTTGTCATTGTTTTATCTGAAAATACAATGAGTTTATTTTATAGTCGTGCCACTGTAGAAGCCATTTTCAATTCTCTTTGTGTATTCACCTCCGAGGCAGAGCACCCTTATTTTGAGGTAATTGGTAGAGAGACTTACTTGAAGAGGATAATGTAGTCAGAGCACGGTCAAAAACTGTATATATACAGCACCTGAGTCAGTCCCTGTGTCGGTGTTTGTGGCTTTGGACTTTCTATGGAACATTTTGGCTCATTTTGAGTGAAAAGGAAACAATGGACTATGCATGCCATCATTGCCCATGTGCTGTGTTTTCAGATTTTATTCTTTTGCATCGTTCCTCATTAATTAACAGGATGAGAGGGGGAGTCTATAAACAAACATATGAATTATTTATTATTATAGTGAGAATTGACTCTTGTTAGTGGCAACGGCTGCAGTAATGTGGTAATTCAATCAGTCAGTGAAGACTAGGAGTCTACAGCCAGGCTAGCAGCTCTGTGAGGCTGTGTAGATCAGCGATTCTCAAACTTTTTCTAACGTGCCCCTCGTCGGAAGCTTAGAAATGTTCACGCCTCACACCCCACAATTTTTATCAATCAATAATGACAGGTGAAGCAACTAATAAAAAAAGATCCAAGTTGAATTTTAGTGAAATAAAGGTCAGCACAATAGCATCAGCAAACTCTTGGTTATCTTCCCTACATAAATCATATTCATTCAAATTAGTTCCACTCCATATTTTTCCCCTGGTCATCCCTGCAGTGGCTCAGTGCTCCACCAGTGGGACCCGCCCCGCAATTTGAGAACCACTGACTTAGGCACAGTGGTGCTTTGAGCTAAATGACAACGTCAGCCTGCTCACAATGTTCGTACTGACATGCAGATGTTTAAAAAGTATAATGATACCCATGTTCATCATCGTAGTTTAGTGTGTTAACATGCTAACATTTGCTAATTAGCACTAAACACAAAGTACAACTGAATTTTTGCAGGTGTCTATTTATAAATCAAAGTATTGGTATTTGGTAGTATACTCAAAATTACAAAACATACAGCTCATTGTGACACTAGAGGAAAAGTCAGGGGATTGCTAAAATATTCAGGGTTCTTTCTCTGGGTATCATGAATATACCAAATTTCATTGTAGTCCATCCAATCAAATACAGTTATCTCTGGGAAGTGACCCTAATGATGAAAGTGTGGACAGTATAGTCGTTATAGTAGACATGATTGTGAGGAAACCACTTCTCCCAATTCCCTTCAGCAGAGCATCCTAGCAGAGGAAGTTAGAATCACAGTATATTCTGCTATATTGAAGTGAATGAGAATACTGCTCAAAAATGATTTACATAAAAGACTCTTGCAAAGATAGAAACCAGATAACTAAGACTGAAAATCTCTGATGTAATCAGATTGTAACAACTGAAACTGCTTCCACAGTACTGAGTGAAAGTGTGGACTGTGTCTGGGGGTGCTCTCTCCAAACCTGTTCACATAAAGCAATAAAAAGAACTCCTAAAATTAGTAGTATTCCTGTTCGACTGAACAATTTCTGGACTTTTGTTTATTGTGCCTGTAATAAGCATGTCAGTAACCACTATATTAATAGGATCACATGGAAACAGTTGGTGCTGCCAGATTTGAAAACCGTGGGCGATTTCATCTGTTGTGGGAGGTGGTGTTTGTCACAGCCAGCACTGCGGCTATTACTGATTTAGGCCCTTGGGTCCCTAAGCATAAGCTTCAGAACGCTTGCCAATGCAAATATTGAAAAGTGTGTGTGACGATTTGTTTTAGATTTATTTTTAGGTTGTTTGATTGAGTGAAGTCTTGTGTTAAATCTTCTGACTGTTTTTTGAGCTCTGTGTAAATGTATAAAAAGTACCTAAATGTCACGAAACGAGAGTGTGATTCTGAAAGAATTCGCTATGCATCATAAACAAATTCAACGACAGTGATTATAAGTCAGAAAACGATAATATTCCATAAATAAAAGTATTGTATTTGTATTGTTATAATATTGTCACCAGTAAAAGGTCTACATTAAGTTAAGTTTAATTTGTTCAATACTTTGGTTTATGACCACCTATAAAACTAACCCTCAGCTGTATATAGGCTACTGATGTTAGCATTTAGCTCAAAGTACAACCCCACAGAGCTGCTAGCACTGACTCTTAAAAACTTTAAACTTACAAATTGTGCTACACTGACACTTCTTCTCTATTTCATTTATTAACCCCTTTTAAATACAGATTCCTCTCGCATCATGTTTCCCTTCTCTGTGTTGACCTTTGGTTGCTTTCAGATAACAGATAATATTTTTTTCCATTATACATGATTTGAACTATTTTTAAAGCCTTTAGATTTTAGAACCTATAATCCACTAAACAGTGGGTTAGTTGGTTCTTGGTGAGCAGCTTTAGAAGGTGTTACTGCCCCCTTTGATTATTCTTCAAATATTTCTCTATACCTTTTAATTATTTGGCCTTCAGCTTTTTTTTTTCTTTTATCAAAGAACATATTCAGGAGCCTGATTACGGGGACATAAAACATTCAGTGTGGATGTTTGATGTTTTTGAGGAGGACTCGAACATTAAGTGTTAAAAGTCTAATATCTGAGCCTCTTTTGCTGTAGGTGTGTGTGGATCAAAGATGTTGTTTCCGTCTCTACTGCTCTCACTGTGTTCTTTGTCTCTTCAATTATGTATATGTTCCTTTTCTATACTGGATTCTGTAAACATACAGTGACAAACCTGTGGGAATTTTTCACGCATGACAAGAAAGTCATTTGAGAAATTATTTTCTTTGAAGGAAGTCACATTCCTCCCGGCTAAGAGGGAGAAGAAGAAGAAGAAGAAGAGAGAGAGGACAGTCATCAGTGATATTACATCAAGCACTGGTCTGAAAACTCTCTGCAGCGTCAGATTGGAGTCTCATTAAATTTAGCCTTCCTTTTGTATTTCATAACAAACTCGGAGTTATATTTAGACCATGCTGGAACAGGCTGCCACTGAGGGTGGCAGTAACAAGCTAAGTGAGATGAATGTCTCTGCAGCATAGTTAAATGTGCTCATGGTTGCTTGACCCATCTTCAGGTTTAATTTGTTTTTGAGAGGAACTTTGTATTTAGCCAATTAGACACCAGGCTGCATTTATCTTTTTTTTTTACTATATTTTCAGGATACATTTCAATGCGTTTTAATCTACTTCTGCTCTACATTTAATACAGCCTAATTCTGCAGCGCACCTCTCTAGAGGTCTCAGTAACTAGTCTACGTAGTGAAGGTGTAACTCTATATAAACAGTTCATTTTAAGAGGAAAGGTTCAACACAGAGACATAAAAAGGTGCCGTAAAATCAACCGAGATCAGAACAAAATGCCACAATGTATCCAGAGAATACTTGGCAACTAACACATTAAGAAATTCACACATTCAAGCCTTCCTCAGCACTCTTTAGTCCAAGAACAAGCTGGCTTCTGTAATGTGCCACTGTCTATTAAATATTCAAATTGTTATTTCCCTTTGTGTTTTCCAGCTTCATGTACGGGGAGCTCACGGACAAGGACACGACAGAAAAAGTGCGACTAACATTCGAGAATTATGAGATGAACTCGTTTGAAATACTGATGTACAAAAAGAACAGTAAGTAGCAATGCCATGTGTGCGGAAAGAGAAAAATGTGAAGATCCACTCTCTTGTCATGCAAATGTATTCAGAGCCTCTGTAACATACAGCCGAGTTCAAAGGCAGCCCAGAACATTTCTACCTGTGTAGAAATGTGCTAATTGGTTGAGAGCCAGACCAGAGAAACCTTCCCCAGAAAAATGTGGTGCTGTTTGTTTCCACTAGCAGGTGTAACCTCCCTCTGCTTGCAGGTGTGGAAAGTGTAAAGTTCCGAAAGTTCAGAACATTTTAGTTTACACTGTGCAATCAAGATTTCAGCTACTTGTGTACTTGGTGTCATTTCCTCTAAAAATAAGTAGATGATGCAGCTGAATATTTGTCTTTTTATACTTTTCAGGGACGCCTGTTTGGTTTTTTGTGAAGATTGCTCCCATTCGAAATGAACAAGAAAAAGTGGTCCTGTTTCTTTGCACGTTCAGTGACATCACAGCCTTTAAACAGCCCATTGAAGATGATTCTTCCAAAGGTCAGTCAGCACGCTTAATTTGTTCAACTTCACACTGTCTATCAAAAAGGATGCCTTCCTGAAGCTGCCAATCAGTTAATTGTGCTTCATAGTGATTAAAATCAAACTTCATACAGAGATAATAAAAAGAGAGAGCCAGAGGTAACATTAGACTGCCAACGATCTCCATCTGACCCTGTGCATTGTGCATCTGCTCTGGCAACTACCAACTCAGTCAAATGCGCACCTCATCATGATGTCATCAGCACACAACGCAAAAAATCATTCACTGCACTGTATAACTGTTGAAGACAGCCAAAATAGAACACGAATTAGTGCAAGTGAGCGACTGCAAACCAGCAACAGTGACAACAAGTGAGATTGTAGCTCCGGCCTCAGCATCAACAAGTAGCACTCTGCCAAAGGCTGTTGAAAGCAGCATTGATTTGTTTCCATTACCAGTTTAAAGGCACCGAGTTGTGTCGAGTTGCACCCGAGATGGGCCATCTCTGGAGTCAGGTCAAAGCACACCCAACCCGAATGGGCTTTTTGATCCTTCAGTGACGATTCATGATAATTCGTGATAAGTAGCTGGCTACCAACAACCGTGCCAAAGAGGGCCCTGCTTTTAAACGTCAACTCAAGACAAACACGTCATAAGTTAAAGACACTCCTTAAAGCAGGTCAAAGCGAGTGAAGCCAAGTCAGCACATGTGTATGGAAAAAGACCTCCAGTGAAGCTGTAGCCGTCTCTCACACATGGGACAATAGGAAGCATGGGTGTTTGTGGGCTCACTGCCCTCACCAGAAGAATAACCAGAAAGTAGTTCAAATTACATTTGTACAGTCTTCAATAGCAAATGAAAAAGTAATGTGTCACTGTTATACTGTGGCAAAAATAGTGTCAAGGAGCAGGTCGGGTGATTTTTGAGATTGGGGTGATTTTCAGATGTAATATGTTCGGGGTTAAGCCAGTCAGATATTTAATTTATTCAAACACACACTGGATGCCTTTTGAAGCCACTGATGGCGATAATAAAGTTTGATAAGCTCTGTTATCAAGAAACTGGACTAAATCATGTTGATATTATATATCATATTTATACAATATTATTATTATTATTATTATTATTATTATATTACAATATATATATATATATATATCAGTCTCTTCACAACTCCCCCAAGAAATATCCAATACTATAAAACTTGAAAATCATCATCATGTCAAACTTGTGCATACTGTATGTGTTTAAAATCCTCAGGCTGGGGAAAGTTTGCCCGACTGACTCGAGCTCTAACAAGCAGCAGAGGAGTCTTACAGCAGCTGCAGCCTACAGTTCATAAAGGAGAGAATGTCCACAAGCACTCCCGCTTAGCTGAGGTATGTACTGTACTGTATACTAGAGAACAAACTGGACTTCTAAGACTTACACAGCACTTCTTATGAGCAGGTGAGCTATAGTCACCATCAGGAACACGTGATTCAAGCTCCAAATTGCAGTATTTTTGGCCTCCCGCTGTGTATTTTTATTTATCTGTTTATTTCTGAGTTTTCTGACTCACTGCTTTCCGGCAGGTACTGCAGCTGGGCTCTGACATCCTACCTCAGTACAAGCAGGAGACCCCCAAAACCCCTCCTCACATCATCCTGCACTACTGCCTCTTCAAGACCACGTGGGACTGGGTCATCCTCATCCTCACCTTCTACACAGCCATCATGGTGCCCTACAACGTCTCCTTCAAGACGAAGCAGAACAACGTGACGTGGCTGGTGGTGGACAGCATCGTGGACGTCATCTTCCTGGTGGACATAGTCTTAAACTTCCACACCACGTTCGTTGGACCCGCCGGCGAGGTCATCTCCGACCCCAAGCTGATTCGAATGAACTACCTGAAGACTTGGTTTGTTATCGACCTGCTGTCCTGCCTGCCGTACGACGTCATCAACGCCTTTGAGAATGTCGATGAGGTGAGCCCGGTGGTTCTGTGTTTGTGCTGGCATTGTATATTAGTTGATGAATGGATTAGTCGATTGAAAGAAAATTTATCAGGAACTGTTTTGATAATCAAGTCTTTATTCCAAACATCTGTCAGTTTGTCTTAGATTATTGTAAACAAAAATCAGATTTATCTCAATCATCCCCAGGGAGAAATGTGTTTTGTTACTGTTTCATTAATGCTGAACACATTTGTACTTGTGCTCTGTCTGCTCAGGCTGTTGCCACTAAATTGGGATGTAGTTAAAATCCTAGAGGTGATTGACAGGTTATTAGGTTTCCATGCAGGCACTCCCGGCAGCATGACTGTTGGGAAGGCGGGGGCATTCGATTTTTTTGTGGGTACTCTGACTGGCAACAAAAAGAAAGCAATAGTAACATTTCTTCAGTTATTGAATTGTATGGGCTACTTTGAACTGAATCTTTTATCCTGAAAGATTATAATCAGTATTTGCATTCTGTAGGATTTTAATTAACAGAGCTATGGATCTGCACAGATCAGCCAGATTGGTTCTGGACAATAACATTATGCCAAGTTCTAAGCTTAAAATATTGGAATAGTATGCCGCTAATTACTACTACTGTTAATTATTAGTCAGCACCTGTAGGGGTCATCAAGGGCAAGCCTGGCCCCTAAATGCCCGTCCATAGGGCCGGGTCTGCAGGCACTCCACCAGGTTTAATAACCACTGTATATCAGATCCTGCTCACTGGCTGTTGTTTTTTTGTAATGGGGGAAAAAAACGAGCGGAACGAGCAGCATAATAATATGCTTGTTTGTGAATTCATAAATGTTCGGCCATAATGAGGAGTGTTTGCTGGAGAGCTATCATAGGATCTTGAGATAATTGGCACATTTTAATTGGGGAAGGAGTGTTACATTATTAAACTGAGGCACTGTTCAGCCCTCTGCTGTGTCACTGATGCCCTAAAACCATTAACACCTTATGAAAGCTCACAAAAGGACTGAATCATGGGAAAATGTGCTATGAATTGCGCATGTCATGTTACCAAAGGAGCATTTGGAGTTGGTCAGTTTAAACTGGATAAATTACACTCTTACTATCTACTTATATATGTGAATAAATTAGACTGTATGGTGGTGTTAAAAGGGTTACTATAAGTCTGTCTTTCTCTTTGGCCAAGGAAGATTGTTTGTTTATGTGTTGTTCAGTTATGACATAACATTGCATCCTTGCATTTGTTTAATTGAGGGGAAAAATAACTTTACAGAATACTTACATGTTAAAATATTATGTGTTTTACGTTTTATCTCTCACTGTATCTAACTTAAAATATATTGTTGTGGTGCAACCACAGCTTCTGAATCAGGACCAAATGTTCCTTTAGGTTATTTCTTCCAACACACACACATACACACACACACACACACACACACACACACACACACACACACACACACACACAGAGAGTGATAAAGTGGAGCCTCAGGGTCCTGCAGTTGCTGGTTTTCATTATAATAATGCATCATTGTGTGTGCCTGTGTGCCTGTGTGTGTGCTTATATGTGTCACATCTCATGATGAGTGTGTGTTATTGCATCAGCGTGGATGTATAAAATGCTGTGATTGCATTTATGGCTGCGGTATGTCACACAGCAAGCAGCACAGTGTATGTTGGCTCTCAGGGGCTGTCGGCCAGCACATACAGTACAAGGTAAAATGAAATGCTGTGGTAATGCTTTAAAAGAGTGGTTTTGTTGGTGGCCCACGAGCACCAGTTGTATATGCAGGTCCAGCATTTTGGCCCCTTTCTAGTCTTTCAGCGCTTCAGCATCCTAAATGCTGACAAGTTCAAGTGGCCGGAGCAGAAGCAGTCAGGGGTCAGCAAAAGAGAAAAACAACAACCCTTTCTGAATTAAAGGAGTATGCTGGTGTTATTTGATCTTTTTGGCATCATCAAGAAAGGAAAAAAACAAATTCATATTTTAATAACAAGTATTTGCTGTATAGTTTGTGATTAAAAACGCATGATATAGCCACACTGTTAATTTTGGGATACAAATTCTTTCATTATGATGAACTCAGGCTGCGTCTAAATCTGGAATTAGTTGGTCAATTGGCAACAACTTAGATAAAAGATTGTTTAAGTCATTTTCTTAGCAAAAATGTCATGAATCTTCTGGTTGCAGCTTTTAGAAAGGTAAATATTTGCTGGTTTTGTTAGTCTTGTTTGATAAAAAGCTGAATATCTTTTGTGTTCTGCAAGGTGCCCTGTGGAGTTTTCTCTCTACAGGTCACCTTCCAAAACACAAAGATATTCAGTTTGTGACCTGGTACCCCATATATTAAGGCTTAGTCCTTACTTCAGCAGCCTGGGTTCAACTCCAGCCCTTTGTGTCATGTTGTTTCTCCCCCTTTTCCTGTCCATCTTCAGCTGTCGCTCTCCATTAAAGGTCATTAAAACAGGCTGCAGGCTATTTTAGTTTGGAGCTTGAACGTAACAGTGTAGCTACGTGTGAAAAAGAAATGGTCAAACTGCAGGAATCCATTTCCTTGGCAACATTGTGTAATTTTGATTAGCACCTTACTAACATAGTTTGCACAGTGGGCTTCAGAAGCTTGTGTGCAATTCATTCTGGTACTGGTAGGCACTGGCAGCATCGATATAGCACACACTGAGGACTTTATTGCTTCAACTGACGACATTTACCATCGTCACTGATTGGGCATCCGCATAAAACGTGGCAGATTTTAATTTAATTTCATTCAAATTGAAATCAATCAAATATCGCTCGCATTCCAAGCGTGTAGGAGACACTACGGTGGCCGCAAAAAGGTGTTTGGTTTGTTCATTCTGGGCTACTGTACAAACATGTTGGTTTGACCAAGCGGACTCAAAAGAGACCCACTCCCTTTGTAGATAAAAAAGGTAAAACACAACAATTGTTATTTTCTGGTGATTATACACTAATTAAAACGTACCTATTATATTATATTATATTATATTATATTATATTACTTTATATAATATTATATTCCATTTCTGCCAATGGCTCCTAAATGTTACATACTGGACCTTTTGAACTACATCATGCTTTGGCTACACAAATACCAGTTGTTAGCAGGATAGATTGTTGTTTTTGGTCTTTTCAGAAGGGTTGGTGACAATAAAAGTCTTTAGCTTTATCCTGTAACAATATTTTCTTAGTGTCAACAATTCCATGAATAGAGATTATTTGAAGATTTTGCTGTCAGTCATACTATATTGCTTTTGTCCAGTGAAACAGTCATTTAGGTGATTAATTGACGAATAAATGTCATCAAATGTTATTAAAATGGTTTAATAAATGTAATGAATCTTCTTGTTCAGTTATCATAATTACAAAACATTCAATGTTTGGTTTGAAAATGTGGTGCTTTTCTTTTTTTATAATTGTACAATATATTATATATATAGATAAGTTGCAGCCCTACACTTTACATTACTGCTGAATACTTTTGCTCTATATCAAATTCAAGTGTACATTTTACCTGTGATAAGGTTATGGACACATTTTCTGTAAACCGACAACAATGCTATGACCATCCGCTTCCAGGATCATCTTACAGTGTGTCTCAGCAACAACTCAGCGACTCCGATTTGCTCCAAATTGCTTTGAGGCAATCCTTGGCAAGGGTAAATGAGAGCGAGTAAACAATTGCCCGTGTTATTAAACCTCCACAGAAACATCTTGCTGCTGCTACAGACCCTTAACGACTGACATGAATAACTTTGATGGCTGTTTTCCCCAACAGGTTTCCAAATAGGGAAGGGAAGATCATTAACGAGGAGCGGCTGTCAAAGTTATTCTTGGCAATCTTAAAGCGCCATACATCACCTCGAGACTGACTGAACTTCATAGTCATTGTGTCATTTGAGTTTCTAATGACTGATAACCCAAAACAGGGACAAAGGAAACCACTTTGTGTTGCTGTACCAAGTGTTTAACAAAGAGCTGACAAAGTAACAGAGCTTCCAGAGCATGCTTTGGTCATACTGCACACGCTTTACAAACACAGATATGGTTGTTTTTTATGTTCCTTTTTATTTGAAACCTTGATTGAATATAGATTTTCTCATGTGTTTATTCATCGCTTACTACTGATCAAGTGTCTTCTCTCTTACTTGTGCTTCGTTTTTGTTTTTTCTTCTTTTTCATCCCTCCGTTCTGTTTGCATGGCCTCCCCCCCCCTTCCTCTTCTGCCTGTATTCATGCATGGGACGTGATGGGAAGAATTGGAACCACCGAGCTGTCACTCAAGTAGGCTTCAGTTTGATTAGAATATGATAATGAACAGTTTTGTGTTTTTATTTTACCTGTAGACACACATGCACACCTGACAAACACGTCACATAAACTCTCCATCAAGCTCCACATTTCCTGTGACATTTATTCTTGCACCAACATTTCAGCTGTGGTGCTGGATGAGAGTATGACGGCAGAGGCACCAGTGCGTGAATTAAATGTCACAGAAAGCAAGTTAAGATTTGTGTTGCTTGTCTTTTCTTTTTTTCTGCTCCAGCTTTTCACTGCCAGGAGATAACAACGATCGGATTGTCTTCTGTAATTTGAAAATGAATAGCGGCGTCATTTAAAGCTGCATGAAAGCTGATTCAGTCCTCACGTCAAAAATAACGTGTCATTTGTGAAAAACTGACTGCAGCGATGCGATACTGTTAAAATTTCAAAATAAAAGTCATCCTGGCATTGAAAATATGCTTTAATAGAAGGAGTTTTGAACATGTGTGCTGTGCATTATAAGAACCATCTCTTTCTTTTACCCACCAACAGCATATATTTACCATTTGGGAATTAACTAGCTAACAAATTGGGTGTCAGAAGCTTAAATGTATGGCTTTTCATTATTTTTAGGGTTCTTGTTTTAGTTTTTTTTAGGAAGGTTTTAAGAAGGTTGAAAGTTAATTTTCAAGGATATCTCCTTTCCAAGATATATTTCCAAAATTGGGACAAGGTTCATTTAGTAGCTGGTTGAGCTTTCAATCTTATCACAAGAGTTTGCTAGGTTGGCATGACGTTGCAGATATTCAAATGTCAATTTTTCTGAGAACTTTAAGGGAATCATCAAGACCAAAAGTGCTATAAAAGAAAAGGTTAATCATAAAAGGACTGAATAGTGATACACATATGATGGACATGTGCATAAAAGAAAAACTTATTACAAAAGAAGGCAATGAATTAATGAATAATAAAGTTTTTGGAAGTTCACTGCCGCCTTCTGCATAATAAATTCAATTTAATGGGAGATATGCTTATTTTGCTTGCCAAGAGTAAGATGAAGACATTAAAAGATCTCATGGCTGTGTGAGCCAGGCGTCGATTAGCTTGTTTAGCAATAAAGACTGTAAGAAGGGGGAATCCAGCACATTCCTAACAGCCGTTTCCCAAGTGCCACCCCACTATCCTTACCTCTTTTTCTCACACTGTCTTTCAGAGGCTGTAGTGGGCCTCCATGGTATTATATAAAACCAAATGACCATATACGTCCATTGGTACACACCCCTTGGCAAGGGGGCTAAATAACACTCTAAGGTTAGGCATGATTTTGGCGATGGAAAAACTGACATGGTCATTTTCAAAGGGGTCCTTTAACCTCTGACCTTTAATCTTTTTTTTTTTTTTATATATATATATAATGAAAATTGCAAAAACCCTGCAGGTCTTTGCATGTAGTATAAATGTCTATTTGAATATTTCTGCATGGAATTTCATATATTGGGAATGACTGGAAAGCTGAGACAAAGTCTGGACACGGGACACGGATTATGATAATCAATGACATTTATAGGTGTTGGTGATATGTCTTTGTTGAGAGCCAGCAAGCCGTCCCCCCCGCCTTCAGTCTTTATGCTAGGCTAAGCATCCCCTGGCTCCAGCTCCATGCTAAATACATAAACGTAAGAGACGAGAGTGACGTTGATCTTCTTATCTACCTTTTAATGGCAGAAAGGCTGGGGGGGAAACAGCTAGCACCTAACCCGCTGTAAAACAACAAACTGACATTTTTTTATTTCTGTTTTTGTCCAAATGAAACAAGTAAGATATATTGTTTTAACTCGGTGGTTCTCAACAAGATACATTGTTTTAATTTGTGAGCTTTAGATGTGTTAGTGGGTGTATTTTTTAAATTTTGGACACAGCAAGTTTTCCCCCCTGGTTCCAGTCCCTATGCTAACCTGAGCTATTGCCTCTAGCTCCATAATGCACAATTATGAGTCGCAATCTTCTCACATTACTCTTCAGGAGGAAGCAAATAAGTGGGTGCGTCTGGTGGCGGTCAATATGGATTTTATACAGTGATTGCAATATCCCTGCTTTGATTAGGGCTGTTTTAGTCTATTTAAGGATTAAGTGAGACAAATACCACATAACTAGTGGAATTTATGTTCTCATCTAACTCTCAACAAGAAAGTGCCAAGCATTATTGGGGCGTGAACTTTTTTGACTTCTGAATGGGGGCATGCCAGAAAAGAGTTTGAGAACCACTGTTTTAACTGATGAGCTTTACGGATGCAGTAAGGTAAATTTTTTAATGTAGGCTAGCTGTTTCACACTGTTTCCAGTCATGCTAAGCTAAGCTAATTGCCTCCTGGTTTCACATTTAGCGTGCAGACACGACAGTCTCATCTAGTTCCCAGCAAGAAAGCAAATAAGCGTATATCCCAAAATGTTGAACTGTTCCTTTAATGAAACCTCTCTTATATCTATTCAGTGAGGAAGTTTTCTCCCAACTTGTGTTTGTAGAGTTTGCAGCAGAATTCAAAAGCACAATTGCACTGATAATTGAATTGTGTTTGAGCTCAGGCCTGTAAAGTGATTTTAGAGAAGCTGAGGTGTCTGGCAGGCAGCTAGATCAGATCAAGTGACAGTGAGCGCTGCAGTTGTACTCAGATTGCAGACCACAGCACATTAACAAAATCAATAGCCCTCCCACACACACACACACACACACACACACACACACACACACACACACACACACAATACCACCAGCAAACTGATGGGATTGTCTGTTTGAATCACTGAGTGGGTGTTTCAATATACAGTTAAGCTGAGTAGACATTTAGCTGCTGGTTATGCAACCTCTATAAGTTGAACAATTTCATCACGTTACACAAGAATGTTTTTTTAAATTGACTCAGCATATGTTAACACTCACAAGAATCTCATCTTGTTTGTATATTCTGTGTTTGCTGTTGCTGTCGTCATATCATCTTTACTGTACTGTAGCACTTTACAGGACAGGTTCATACACTTTCTTGGTGATTCTTTAAAATGCTTTTAAGTGTGTTTGTTTTTCTTTCCCAGCGTTCTGATATAATGTGCCATTGATTTTTCGTTAAATATCTAAAGTGGGAGTCAGACAAAGGAGGACATCACTGCATCATACTTTATGTTCATAGTGGGTTATATTGATACTTCTATGTGATACAAAGATCTTTAATAATGAAAGCTTTTTTGAAGCAGATTATAAATGTTAATTAGCAGTTGTGACTTTATACTGAGGTTAGCTAAATCTAAAGGTGGAAATTAATTACAAATAAGTAAACAGCAAAGAAACACATACTACATGTCATATTCATAAGATCAATCACAGGGGCTTTCCACTAATCCCAGTGAGAAATTGCAGTGACAGCCAAGGCATTCATGAATCATGAATCACGAATCCCGAAAACAAAAGCAACAAAAGGACACACAAACCTTTTTTTAACTAGCAACTGAACTAAATAAGAAAACTAGGTCCATATTCTAAATATATCCAAGAATAGGTTATTCGGAGTATTTAGCATTTATAAGCAGTACATTTCTATGAAATAAATGGTTTACAACACACTATATAGTAGTTGTAAGCAGATATGAGTGTTTATTATTGTATTTGTCAACAACTATAACTCCAGTGGGCATCTGTAAGTGGAGTCTGCTGTATAAACAGATAATAAATAGTAAATGACAGCTATGTAAAATGTCTTTACAGTAGTAATTGATGACATATACTGTATGAATAGACAGCTGTGTGCAAATACATTAGAATCTATTATAAGTCACGTATTAAATGTTGATATAGTGTTTATAAATGCTGAATAGGGGGATCTGAAGTTGATATTGTGTATCCATCCTGATGTTATTAATGTATTTTCAGGTGTTGGGTAACATTAACTTTAAATCACAAACTGACCTTTTGAGGGTTTTTTTTCTGATGTCTCTCTTATCGTCTGTCTCCTCTTGCGCTCCTCTATTTCAGGGGATCAGCAGTCTTTTCAGCTCACTTAAGGTGGTCCGGCTTCTCCGGCTGGGTCGGGTTGCCCGTAAACTGGATCACTACATCGAGTACGGGGCAGCTGTACTGGTCCTGCTGGTGTGTGTTTTTGGACTGGCTGCTCACTGGCTGGCCTGCATTTGGTATGTTTATTAATATATTATTACTTTTCATTTAGCGTTCATCAAACAATCTCCTACCTATTCTCACCACATCCTGTAATTACAGAATATGTATCAAACACGTCATTTTAGGTTGTTGCTGTACTTGGGCATATAAATTACACAACACATTCTGACAGACTGTTACGTTCCGCCATCACTGTGATACATTAATAGCAGAGCCAATTAATATAATGAGGCCATTGATTGAGATAATTAATGCATTAATCAGCAGTTATTTTTTTGTCAACATGCTTGTTTTCACACATTAAAACTGTATGTTTTTCATACCTTAAAGCCAGAAAGTTATATAGTGGTTTCAGGAGAATTATTTTTTCTCCATTAATATGCAAATTTATGGAGCGAAGGCCTCCAAAGTCTAATCAGATCATCTACTCTACAGGGGGCAAGTGTGGTGGAGGCATTACGTTTCCTTCGTGTGTTGTGCTTGATTTATTATGTTTATGAGAGTGTCTGAAAACACACACAAACACACACACACAGACTGCTGTAGATGCCATCATGACAATGTCCTGCATACATAAAACAGGGAAAATACGTTTGATAGTGATGATGAACCGCATTTAATTTTTAATTAATTATATATTTCCAACTATACAAAATAACAAATTATTTCTACACATTTTCATGTAAACACCCAGTTTAGTGTTTAGTCAAACACTTGACCTCATAGAATTACAAGGCATCTTTTAGTAATATATTCATAATCAAAATAAAGTGTCAACCAGATCATTATGCAAGATAATACAAGATTTCAAACAGTGTTACTATGCAAGACTTCAAACGTTCAAACTGGGAGCCAGGAGCCCACAAGAGACTCTAACCAATATCATAAACAGTGTTTATTGGCCCAGACAGTATAATGAAACCAGATTCAGATGCCAATAAAAATAGCTCCTGTATCGTTTCCCTTTGTGTGGTTTCTGTGGTTGCCATGGTCACACACCAAGCCATGGCATAGAGCTGAGAAAAGTTAAACAACAATCAATCATGATACCAGGGTAGTAAATATGAAAATTTTAAATCTGTTACACAAAATTCTGTTTATTTTGGGGGGATTTTCTCTGTGGTAATAATGTCTAGATTTACCAATAAAAATTATTCAAATGAAATGAGGGGGAAAATAATTACAGCTGAGAGACATGCTTCTGGTGATGAGTAACACAACAGATCAGAGTATTTCCTTTTTAATGTTCACATCAACATGGGCCCAAAAACAGAAATGAGGAAGAAAGAGAACCATGTTTGCTGCAACACATATTCTGAAGTTTTGTTTTTCATCTCCAAGTGGAGAATATGACGTTTTTTGTCAGTATGTAAATAATTACACAAACAATTTAGGATTAAAGAAAAGAGAAAAGTCAGACTAACTTTTGCTCTAGCGCCACCAGACAGTCGAAGTTTATATTACCCTATAAAATATCTATACACTTACCATGAATTGGCACCAGATATTGTACAGACATTTGTGGTTCCCAGAGGATGAATCCTACTGTCAATGATCCTCTGACTTTTCAGAGGGTTTGCCATGAAACATGGTACAGATATTAATGTTGCTGTCAGGATAAATTGTAACAACTTAAGTGATCCATCAACTTTTCATCTAACGTCATCACCAGGTGAAATATTTTATTGTTCCAATACTTTGACTAATGACTAAATGCCCTTAGAACCAATGCCATTCCCATCAGCCTCAGCTGTATTGTGGAGTTATTGTGCTGTATGATTATCCACCAACAGCATATAACACGCTAAACTAAGATGATGACCATGGTAAACATTATACCTGCTAAACATCATCATGTTAGCATTGTCAGAGTGAGCCTATTAGCATGCAAATGAAAACATTTAGCTTGCTGTGCCTAAGTACTGCCTCACAGAGCTTCTGGACTCTAGACCGATTTCAAACGTACAAAGCGTGCCACACATTTTCATTTCCCTGCTACAACTGTTCAATAGATTAACAGAAATACAATCTAGTAGTCCGTAATAGACCTTTTTCACAGCAGCCATTTTGACACAGAAAGTATCATTAGTAACGCCTGAGTTTACCCTACTGCTTCATGTGACGTTAGCTGTCGTGAAAAGGTCTTTTGTGACATACAATATCTATACATTGATTGTTTATTTCCTGTATTTCCACCTCTCTGCACTCCAGGTACAGCATCGGTGATTATGAGGTTATCGATGAAGAAACCAACATTGTGCGTATGGACAGCTGGCTCTACATCCTGGCCGAGACGGTGGGCACACCGTACCGCTTCAATACCAGCGGCTCAGGGAAGTGGGAGGGCGGGCCAAACAAGCACTCTGTGTACATCACTTCCTTGTATTTCACCATGACAAGCCTGACAAGCATAGGCTTTGGTAACATCGCACCGACGACAGACGGAGAGAAAATCTTTGCCGTGGCCATGATGATGATTGGATGTGAGTGGAGGCGTTTTATCTTCTATCCAATGTAGCAGATACATGATACATGAGCAGTTTAACTATGCTCTTTAAAGCCACAATCCACTGAGGTAGATGAATAAATGAATTATGAATAGAGCCATCAAAGTTCAGAAAATAGAACTTTACAGATCATTAGCTGGGCAATATTTCTAACTCTCCTCTAACCTAGAATATGCAGCTCAGGTTGAATATAGTTTAGCACCAGAACTACTGACTGCAAATCTTATTTAATTTATACTATCATAACCTGTGTTGGTAACTGTGTTTTCACTGCCGACTGCATGTTGTATTCCTTTTAACAAAAAGTCATGCATAAAAACCCCTATTCAGGCTCAAAGCACATGTACTATTTAGGCACAGTTCTAGTTTATGAATGTCTGTTTTTATTATCAGCACTTGAGGTATTGAAATTTTGTGGACATTTATTCACACCTGCAATTATATGCAGTATGAAATAAGTATGATCTTTTTCATGTGGGAGATTAAAACTTTCGTATGTTTATGTAGTGAAACAAGTAATGCTGACAATAAGGGCAAGTGAGTTTTTACATATAACTTTTTTTTGCAAATAGTATTTAAGGAGAGTATTTTGAATTTTGATGTGAAAATGTGTTGATAATGGATGTTGCATAGTTCATTTCTTATTTGGTTTTAAAAACTTGTGACATTCATTTCGTGAGTTTGAAAAATGGGTGGGTGGAAATGCATCACCAGTATCATGATTATGTTTTGTGTTTTTTTTAATATATAAATATATAGGGCTTTAGCATCACAATCACAGTAAGTTTACCCAAACAAATGACCCATTTTACTTCCCAGACTTAACATAAAACAACATATGTGCATATGTGACTTCACATTGCTAACTTAGTCTGTCAGTAACTCTTCTTTTTTGAATGAAATGATTTACAGTCATGAGAACAAAAGGCCAGTAAACAAGACAGAAGAAAGAAGCTCAGAGAGCATTGGTGACTAAGTAGTGCTAGCATGTTCCAGGATGGCTAACATGTTATGGATTAGCCCGGCAGTTGCAGTAGATTACCAACTGGCCCTGCAAGTGATTCGTACTTCACCAAGCTCCAAGAAGCAAATATTTTTGCACAGATGAATTTCACTGAGCCATTTCTGGTGTGACTGGGCTGTACAGCTACGTTTATCCACTTGTGTCCGTATTTGAGGCCATTTTCTTGTCACTGTTTTTCATGGATGCAGGTTTTTCTGGGTCTGGCACAGGAATGCATGCCTATTCTCAATTTTATGGAGCACTGATTGGCTCAGTTGTTCCCGTGAACACCAGACTAAGACTGAAATTCTGAGATGTGGGGCTGGTTGGAAACAGGCTACTGCATCGGTGTTGTAATCAGTGATACAGAATGGCTTCATGTGGAAATACTGAGCTCCAAAGTAATACGATGCAAAATAAAATAAAAAACCTCTGAGTTTCAAATTGTTTTCAAAACTTGTGAATAGCTTTCAGCAGTGTCTTTTCAGTAGGAGTTCTGTTATTCTTGCCTATAGTCCATTAGACTCATTACCTCAGTCTGCTGTGTCATATTGTGCTGAATTATTAAGATTTTTTAGAGCGTGATGCATCACTTACTCAGGTTTACAGTATTTCTGAAATGCTTCCGAAAAATAAAACACAAGTTCAGCTGTGAATAACAGGGCTACTCCTCAGAAACTGGGGTTTTACCGGAGCATTCATAACAAATTTTATGGATTGCAGTTTTTTAGCTTGTAAATATTTTGGTACACTGAAACATAGTCAGCCATCAAATACATTCATATCATTCAAATTACAGTAACTGTATCAACAGTTTATATTTATGTTACCTATTGTGGTTAGTTAAGAAACCTAACTAACTAATCTGCTAAGAAGGAGGCAGGTTTTTATAGCATGCCCTCGTTTCAACATCTCACTATTAAACATTTATAAGACATCTCTTGCTTGTGTGGCTCATAATACAGTGTACAGCGTGGTACCATTATTTGTGACTGCACATAGAGAGCAACACCTCGAAGCAATAACTGACACCGGTGGATCAATTTAGCACAGTGCTCCCTCCGATCCCTCCGCAATCACTCTTCACCTCCGTTGTACTTTTTTCAGCCACAATCTCAACCCTGAGGCGAGAGGTTGATTGTTGCCCCTCTCCTCTACCCTTTTGGCTGTTCAGGTTTATAAAGACGCGCTCGGGGGAACTCGCAATACTCATCTGCAGACTTGTCTAAATTTTTCATTGTGAGACACAAATCATCTTAAAGCGTAAATATCTAAAAACCAGACAGCCTCGGGAGGATTGTTGTAGATGCAATCTACTGTAGTCCATGGCTGTTCTCTATGAAATATGGATGCCCTGATACTGTTCTATTTTTACCACCAGCACTGGATCTGTGCTGGCAGTAGAAGATCACAGTGTGACGAGGGATTTTAGGGGGGTGGCATGGGGAAGGGGGGGCACTATACATATGTCCTGTTTCTATAGCAACTGTGGGCCTGGGGCTGGAGTTTCTGACTACTGTCTTTTAACTACCTTCAAACAAGCCAGCTGTTAGATGCCGAGCAACGCCACGACAAAGTTGTTTACGTCAGCAAGTAAAGAGCGATGTTGGGAACTAGATGAAGGGATCGTTCCACAGGGACCGATTGAGTTTCCTTTGTTACAGCTTTTTTCTGCTTAGCAGAAAAGCAGGCATTGCCATCTGTGCTCAAGGTAGCAGTCATCTCAAAACTTGGCAACTTCAAAAAGAGACGATTGTCAAGTCATCTTAGATTTAATAGACTCAGACCTTTTTCAAAACCTTTCTTGATCTATTAACTTGCAGATTTTGACGCATGCAAATGTGCAGCATAAATCTCTATATAATACTGTACTGCAACGCCTGATAACATGACTGTACAAATGAGCTAAGGTGATGAAAGGATGAAAGTTGTGGTTATCCTCATCCTTGAGGACTTTTGAACACTTTTTAATTAGTATTATTCCCTGTGCACTTTGTCAACACTTTGATTGTGAACTGAGAAATAAACAAACACACACACATGCATGCACAGGTTACTGTCATCATCTGAGGATAATTGAAATGTGTGGCTGGCATGTTTCCTCTCCGTCCCTTCTAGCAGGGCTAATTAGGGCTCCATTGCCAAGAGAACACTACACGCACAGAGGAGACATCTGATGGCTTTGATCCACATACACACGCCAGCTGTTGCACCAGTTCAACCACCTAACCACCTCAGTGATGCACTGCTATACTCTTTCTTTTCCTTTTCTTTAATTCTTCTATCACGAGGCGAGACAGTTCAGAAAAAATATCCGTATTCAGTAGGACACACTAACACTGAATACGAAGCTCTAATCATAATTCTTTCCTTTGGGGGAGAATTTTTGATTATATTTGGAGGTAATAATCAGTAGTAATTGTCAATTTACCATGTGATTGATTAAAGCACTCACCACATTATACTGTTCAAAGAAACAGTCTGAAGACACATTGACAAATCATGTGAGTATAAAGGCCACCTGTGTCAGAAAGACAGTCTATGGCCAGTGTGGATTTTTTGTTGTAAAGCCAGCTTTAGAGATCTATGTCAAACTCAAATTTGGGAAATTGTTATGTTTTTTTAAAACCCAGTCTTGGGGAGTGGTGTGTACCTGTAAACCACATTCTGTAATTTCTTTATGTCCTAGTAAACCAGGCATTTGGAATTTTTGTGTCCTTGTAAATGTATATTTTCTAAATATATTTTTGTAGATTTTTATGTCTAATTTTAAAATCTACAGCAGTAGTTTGTGACCCTGGACTTATAAGCCTCTTAATAAATGTTTCAAAACCCTCAGGATGATATCAGAAACTAAACACAAAGCCAAACACTGAGTCCCTATAACAAATGTATATCTATAAATGGACAATGCAAATTATTTGCAATTCAGTTTTTTTGCACACAATTTACCTTCTCTCATGAGTCCATACACACACCTAAAAACGTTGCTTATATGTCAGCTTCAACAGCAACAGCACAAACAGTGTTCATCTTCAAGACAAACATATAATCAGATTTTCTGTTAACCCAATTTAAACTTTTCCCTTTTTCATTTTCTCTGTATTTTCCCAGCCCTTCTTTACGCCACCATCTTTGGTAATGTGACAACAATCTTCCAGCAGATGTACGCCAACACGAATCGCTACCATGAGATGCTTAACAGTGTCCGGGACTTCCTCAAGCTCTACCAGGTGCCCAAGGGCTTGAGTGAAAGAGTTATGGACTACATTGCCTCCACGTGGTCCATGTCAAGGGGTATAGACACTGAAAAGGTACATCACACTGCTTCATCTTTCATGGCTCTCCTATAGCGTGTGATTACTGGTAGTTTTATTTTCTCAAGCCACCATAATCCAGAATAGAAACTCTGAGTTAGATAGTTATATAGAATGTTAATACGCTAATCTAGGCATGCTGTAGGAATAAAATACTATTTCCCAAACTATTCTTTAAAATAAAAAAACAACAATTGACACAGCATTTCTAATTCATTTCATTACATTATGTCCCCCATCCCTGGAAACCAAACCTACGCTGTTGATGCTTTCTGAACATCGCTACGTATAAAAGTCGTTTTTCGTTAATTATGAGCTTTGTAAGAACAAGGTTACTCTGCGGCAACGCTTTTTTCACTTCACTACCAGCATCCAGTTATGAAAAGCAGACAGTGGTTGGCGTTTATGGCACAGTAATTGACAGTTACCGCCAGAATTCAGACGATGCTAAAATGATTTGAGTGAGTGGAAATTAAACATTTAAAGCTGGAAGCAGATAGATTGAACTGGTGCCGCTCTGATTGATTTGAAGCCAGAAAGCATTCATATGATCTTATTTAAATACACCCGCCCAAAATCCAATCATAGAAAAAGTTACATTATTTCACCTCAATTTAGAAACATAATTCTTAATAAGGGGATTTTGTCACTAGGATGTGTGATCCCTAATGGTTATTCTGTACTTATCTACTTATTGTCTCCTCTTTATATGTTAAGCTTACACAGCATCTATGTATTATTTATTTGTGTGGCTTTAGGCCACACTAAAGGGTCTAAAAATGGCACATAATCCCTCTCTGCTTGACATTCATCTTCAAAGAGATTTGTTTTAAAGGCAGAGTGCTGGGACGGCCTGGCATCCTGTTGATTAGGTGTACTTGAAAAACATGCTGCCACTCAGTGACACTCAGCAGAGAGGCGGCTGGACTCTGAGCTAGTAGCAGCTTCCATGTGGACTGCGCCATAAAACATTATCAATATTGGACATATTCAGTTCCATCCAACAGATAAGTCAACTCCCAGTGAAGTATCTCCAAAGCTACTGAAAAAGAAAGAACCTCAAAATCTGTTATGTAGTATAAAAACATCTATACCTTTCAGTTACAGTTAAGTTTTTGTGAACAATGACATTAACTTCTGAAAACCTTGGAGACAGATACTGAAAACATTTTATACTGGAAACTTAAGAATACGTTTGTTTATGTAATCTACTGAATATTTAGGCTGGATTTAACCTTGAACAGCCGCTGTTTATATAAAATAATAAAAAGTACTTACAAGTACAGTTCCTGGTATGTACTGAGGGAAAAAAGTGTCCACAGATAAATATCACAGACAGACCTTAAGCTGCACTTTGCTTCAACTTCTTTTAAACTTTCTTTTCTTTATGAGTATAAAAAGATTCAGTGAAGAGTTTAATTCCATGTATTTTGTACCAAGCCAAGATCTTTTTTGTACTCTCAGTACGTCTCCCTCTCACACATTTGTCCTTTTTAGAGATTTGTGAATATCTATTCAAAGGCAAAGCATTATTGTTTATTTACACGTGACCAAGGCTTGGGTGTTGAATAATATTGACAATATGACAATAACAACGATGGCCTAATGTGACCATTAGAAAAGTCTGATCAGCTGAAGACTGTCCACCAGCTCTACAGTATAATTCAGTATTATCGGATTGAAAACCAAACCATTCAGCCTTCCTCTGATCTACAGCTCCTCTCCTCCTCTTGTTTCTGTTCAGGTGTTGCAGATTTGTCCAAAGGACATGAGAGCAGATATTTGTGTTCATCTCAACCGCAAGGTTTTTAAAGAGCACCCGGCTTTCCGGCTGGCCAGCGATGGGTGTCTCAGAGCACTGGCCATGGAGTTTCAGACCATCCACTGTGCCCCTGGTGACCTGATCTACCATGCTGGCGAAAGTGTGGACAGTCTCTGTTTTGTGGTGTCGGGATCACTAGAGGTCATTCAGGATGATGAGGTGGTGGCAATTTTAGGTAAGTCGAGCACTTTTAAAATACACCTTTCACAATTTCTTTTGATCTGATTAATATGAAATTCACTTTTTTTTACAACACTCAAGGCTTCCCATTCCCCCAACTGTCGAAGGACCTGCCCCAGATCTGCTCACGTTTTTAAAAAATATGAAGTTACAGATAAAAATGTGTGAGAGCCAAAGACCCTAAGATGCAGATTTGCTGCAACATAATCTGAATTTCACATCAACACCAAAACACTGGCAGTGATGACAGCAGAAAAACATTTTAGTCAAACTGGCCTGCAGCACTGTTCTCAAGGGTTTTGCATCATAGTAACAAAATGTTTTTGTTAGAAGACTTTCTTAAAATCCTCCTTTTTTCTTTCTGTATAGCAGCACTTTACAAACTGCTTCAGACTGCAGTGAAGATAGCTGTTTGAGGGTTTTTGTCTGCTGAGTCATGAAGAATGTGTGTTGCACAATCCTCTCAGTAACATTTTGAATAAGGTCTGGATTTTGCAATTTGATCTTAGTTTCAATCTGATGGAAACCACAACAATTCCTGTATTATTTATATGTCTGTATTTTAAGGCCTCCTACTTGAATATTGAGCATCGCCTAAACTACACAAAAGCCTAATTAATCTGATGATTATTTTCTCTGTTAATTTATTGACTGTTTATGGATATTTGTGCGGTTTTCAAAATAAGACAATTGCCAGATTTATTCATTTATTGTTTAATGTTTCCTTGTATAGGGACAAGTGCTGCATACCTCATGGGTCAGTGCCACAACATCTATAGCCTAGGCTTCTTTACAATGCACATGTCATTAAACAATAACACAAAACTGATCCCTGAGTGCTGTGCTTGAACTGTAACCCCAGCTTGTTAGTTGGCTCTGATCTTTAAGTCCTCAGGACACCTCAAGTCAAGTATGGCTTATCAGAGATCAATAACTGTGCCAAAACAGATGGCTGTGGGTGCCCGCTCACATCTGGATCTTAGGCAAATTTCGTCTATTTCTGGAAAAGGCTTGACCAATTTGCTGCTGGTTAGATGAAGCCTGTGAAGTAAAACGTAGGACCCAATCCCAAACTGGCCTGTAAAGAAATCTACCCAAAACTGATGTGCATGAACTCATTTTCAAAAAGAGAGACCTGATCTGAATAGACACGATGACAATTAGACCCGAGGGCTGTACTATGAAGGATTTAACTCTGGGTTATCAAGGAAAGTCAGAGTTGACAAACCCTGATTGCCTACCCTCTTGTTAAACGGCACTACAACGGTGATTAAGAAGTTATCTTGTGCATGTTTGCATGAAAGGGGCGTGTTCCCCTGTGCAGGAAGAGTTTCTTCATAATGTCTCGTGCTCCCATATTTGTCCCCAGGAGAATGTACATATCATAATACCATATATATATATATATATATATATATATATATATATATATAATCATATCATACAATATCAGGAAAAAGTTAACTGACTAATCTCACTGTAGTAGGGGCCAACAATGATGGGGAGGCTTGTTGGTAGCACATTGTAAATTCATAAGTAACACTGCATTGTTCGTAGGTTCTCTATTTTTCTTTCTTTATTTGTGATATGATTGAATACAACTGTGATAAATGAATGAAAAATATCACAGAAATTAATCTACAGGGATACAAGCAAGAAAGCGAGCCTGAAAAGTTATCCAGGAGGAAATGTGTACAATGTACTCTATATGTAATATGAATTTAGAACTGCTCTATGCCTGAAATGAGTGATGGTGCCTGAGAACTTAAAGCCCAGAATTAAAATCTACTTCCTAAAGCATTGAGGCTGAAGGGCTATCTGTGTGAATGTAAAGCTACTGTTAGTGTACAGTCAGTCACACCAATCTGCTTCTGGATTCCTCTGGAAATAAAGTGTTCTGTATATAGGCCTAGCCTTTGTATATTAAAAAGTATTTCTATGATGTGAATTACCTGTGACCGCATAAAAAGCCTCTTTGATGTTTATAACGATTAAATGGGAACATAAATGCATTCCCTGACGCTAGCGTAGATGCTGAATTCTCTCCGATGAGAATCAATATGTTTCATAGAGAACGTCATCGGGGTAAACTAGAGGATTCTGCCGGTCTCTGAATACCCTCGTCCTCCGCAGCGTTTTTTCCACAATATTTTGGGCGGAGGAGAGGAGTTTGTTAACATCGAGTTAACATTGAGCAGTTTGGACATGGAGAGTAAATTGCCATGACAACATACCTCGGGTAAAACTTATCCACCTTCTGTAGAACAAGTTAACCTGTAAGTTACACCTGACGTCACGGAGTTGCTCCTGAAGTTACCTGGATAAGCCAGTTACCTTGCTGCATAGCACAGCCCTCTGACCCAAAATGCAACCCAAAAAAACAAACCCAATAAGGAGAGAACGCCAACGCCTGTCAAAAGAGTAGTAATATAATTAGAAATGACAGTTATTGGATATTGAATATTGGACTTAGTTTTGGAATGTGGCCAGATACAAGATTCAAGATGAATGATAATGTTTCTCCGTAACTGCTGAATGTGTAAATAAGCAACAGTTTGCAAAGTTGCCCATATCTATTTGAAATGTGACGATATGTCAGCGCTGTCTACCAATTGCTCCCGCTGCCGTCATTGCAGATTTCATTTAGTGTGAGAATCAACTTCCAAAAAGTAGTTTTCATTTTACATTTTTTGACATAGGCTACTGATTTAAAAATAAAATATGTTCTCCTCTAGTGAATATGATTTACCATGTAATCAGAGCTGATTCTGAGTACACTCCTGTGCTGAGTATAATTTGGACCTTATCGGACTCCATGGAGTACTCTGAACTGTAGTAACCCACGCCTAATGCATATTGATAAGGAATGAACCAGACCAATGGTTAACTGCCTTGACATTTCTGATATTTGTGAGCCCATACATCCATTGCACATTGATGTAATCAACGGAAGGAGGCTACATCTATAATTTATCAAGATACAGAAAAAATAATATTGTTTCTATCTTGCTATTGCTGGCCTGGTTAAATCCCAGCAGAGTATTTTCTTTTCAAAACTTCCTCCTTTTAATTTGCCAAATGATTGATTTTACTAAATAATGGATGGCATTCTCTGGCAGGCCCAGTGACACCATCTTGGCTGTTTCATCAATAACTCGGTTCCTTTTTGTAACAATCAATATACTGTCAGGCTAATACCATTGACCTGGATGGAGCCGTAATGGAGCCTGAAGTGATAAACAAGTTACTACTATGAATTCTCATTAGCCTAATGGCACTGTAGAACAGAAACATGTAATGTACACCTGCAAACAAGACTGAACGTCTCGTGTAATTCTCAGACTGGTGCCGTCTGACTTCTCACACTACTCTACAAATCTATACAGTAGCTAGAAATGTTATTAATTATTGTAACTCTGGATATGATGGCCTGTATTGTATATAGCTTTTCATCCTGTGGTAGTCAGATGTTTTCAGTCATGTAAAACCAAATTAATTAATACTTTCTGTAGTCATACTGTGTGAGACATTGTTGATTTAGATGTTGATTTATATTGAGTCATAACACTTAATGCTTCATAGTTGTTTTATGGTCACGTTGATCCTTTCAAAATAAAAGTAGGTCTCTACATGACTCACTGGTTTGGTGAGCTCCGACTGCACTAAAGACAGCATGTTCAGCACTACTATACTTGAGTTTCTTTAATTATCTAATAGGCATTTTATTTATAAGCTGTAATTAATAATTTTATAACAGTTAATAAATAGCCATTAATAAGAACAGCATTCTGGCTGCCAGGTTGTAGAAAAACTTCATCATCTAGCATGGCATGTCTATTTAGCTAGCTCTTTAATTTGTCAGGAAGTCCCCTTTAAAAGAACGTCTAGTTAATATCTTCATGTTGATAAGTTGCTAATTATATATTAATATATATTTTGACCTGGATGTTCCCCAGCTCTTTTCCAGAAGGTAAGTGCTTAAACAGTCCACTGGAGGGGACTTCCTGATGAATTAAAGAGGTGGTTAAAAAGACAAAGGTCTTTCTGGAGAGGGTTTTAATACAACCTGGCAACCCTGAAAGTTGTTCTTATGAATTGTGTATAACTGATCATAAAGCTTTAATTAGAGATGTATTAACCACTATTAAAGAAATGACTTACAGCTTATAAACCCTTTTTATAAAAGGTGACTTATTAGAAAGCAGTGATGTCAAAGCACCCCCTTAATAAAGGGTTTACAAGTTGTAACTATTGGCTTAATTAGTGGTTAATAAATCACTTGCTAATTCTTTATAGATAAGTTATAAGCCATTAATTCAAACAAGTGACCACCTATTTGTAGAAAAAGACTGCAGGCAATCTGGACTTAGATCCGATTATTAATAATTTTGTAACAGTGTTAACTGCAGACATGATGGCTCATCAGAAAGTGACAAAACCTGTTGGTATTTATTAATGATTACCAATATTTATAACTGCATTATTAACAACTAGAAAGACAAAGTCAAGGTTTTACTAATAACACTATAATATAATTGTATCCAGATAAACACAAATCATGTTTTTATAAATGTACAGTATTTTCAACAATTTTAAATTAGAGAGGGCATTAAGGTAAAATTCTATCCTTTTTAATGTCTCGAAAGAGAAAATTGTCTTAGATTAAGGGATTTGCTGTATAAAAACCGACATCTGGCAAAATAAACTTTATAGATTCTTTTGAAACGCACTACTCATAGTAACACAATAAAATGCAAGAATTTCAATGATAATGACCCTCACTCCCATCCCCCTACTCAAAAAAACCCAACAACTTAATTAAACATTAATTAGTTTATTTCTTTACCTTGAAAAGCAAATGTTTTTGGTAGAATTAGCAGGTTTAAACAGTTTCCACTCTCTCTCTCTCTGCAGGTAAGGGAGATGTATTTGGGGATGTTTTCTGGAAAGAAGTGACTCTCGCTCAAGCCTGTGCCAACGTCAGAGCTCTGACCTACTGTGACCTCCACGTCATTAAACGTGACGCTCTGCAGAAGGTACTGGAGTTCTACACAGCGTTTTCCAACCACTTCTCAAGAAATCTGCTGCTCACTTACAACCTGCGAAAGAGGGTGAGTGACTCTTCAAACAGCACCAAGAAAGAACAAGTTACAGTTGACTTACTTTTTATGTCAGAACACTATAGAACTTGTTAGAACAGCTGTATACATAGAGCTGTTAAAATATATAGAAATGTCCAATACCATTTTTTGTCAATTAAAAACTAACAAGAAGTAAAAATATTATTACAATATCAACATAACTATAACACTCACCTCCAAGATTAACACCTCTCTAAAACAGTTATAATCTTCATAAAGGGAGGATTTATTGCAGGACTGTTGTAATAGGCTGCCTTAGTTTGAACTAGGTGTACCTAATAAACTGGCAACCGAGTTTTTAAGCGTCAGCTTCGGTTCTAAAAGTGCAAGTCAGGATACGAGGTAAAAGACACCTACTGTTACTGTCGTGAAAGATGTTTAACTTGGCTAGATAAAGTTGTAATTTCAAGATTTCAGTCCTGGTTGATTTGGCACCCCTGTGGTTGCCGTGGTAACAGCAAGTGCGTTTTAATACAGCAAACACGTTGAGCAGTTAAGTTCTCAGAAGTACAACTGAAGAGCAGCTGCTGCATCTGTATACAACACAAGCAATGTTTTAATAAAGAAGTCAGTCAATAATAATAGCAGCTGTGATCTGATTTCATGCTGCATGCGGCACAAGCAGTCTTCCACACCACAGCAGGACGCCATGAAGTTGGTTACCTTGCTGAGGAGTTATTTAGTTTCATAATCACTTAAAGCAAGATTTGGGCTGATTACATCAACAAAATCCTTTTTTAGAATAGATTAACGATGTAATAAGAACAAGATTTTAAAAATATAGTTAATTGGATTCTCAACTCTATTTTTTTTTTGTCACTCTTCCTCTGGTCGGCCATTTTTTAAGAGTGTTCAGTGCACATGCTGCGTCCTGTTGACAAATCATAATTGCTGTGATGTTTTTGCAATGTGCTTCCAATGGATCACATTGTAGTATGTGTTGGCGAGTACAGTGACATCAGGTGCAATTGTTTTTTCTCTCTTTTTAGCCACAGTGGCTATTGCAGCTCATGTTAAAGGTGTAGTTTGACATTTTGGGAAATGTGCTTTGTCGCATTCTTGCTGAGTGTTGGATGAGAAGATTAACATACACAAGAGTGGTTATCAGTGAAATATGAAGCAACAGCCAGGAAGTTGGCTTAGTTTATCATAAAGACTGAAAGCAGGAGGAAACAGCTAGGCGGGCTCTGTCCAAAGGTAAAAAAAAACACCTCCCAACATTTATAAAGCTCATACAGGTAAGCTAACTGTCTCCTGGCTGTAGTGGGCACTATCGATTTTATCATCTAACTTTTGGCCAGAAAGCAAATATTTACCAATATGTGGCTGCACCAGAAACATTAAACACAGTTTCTGAAAATGAAAATGCTTTATGAACCTAACTTGGTGGGGTTTTCCTAAATAACAAACATCAGACATGTTACACAGCTAAACACCCTTCATTCAGAAATGAACAGCTGTGATCAACAACTCAAGTGTAGCTACCAATCATTACCTCATTCATGATAAGGTTAGCCTGCCCAAGAGAGTGCCAGTAGAATTGAATTGCCTGCATATCAAGAGGCAATCTCATCTGCTGCATTAAACTCGCCATTCACCAGGGCCCCATACTTTCTGAATGTATGCAGCAGGGAAATCCAGAGATGGATTGAATGAGCCAAACGCTGCCTTCAAATGAAGCTTGTGCAGTTGTGTTTTCTACTGGGAAATCCGTCACACAGTTTGTTCAGCATTTGAGTTGTTTAAGTTGTGATAACAGTGTCGCTATGAGACTGAGTAGGAAAACTGATGTGGTCTCACCTCTTCAAAAATGATGAATGATTTTTTTTGCCTATTGCATTTCAGTATCATGCCCAAGAACGAGGAAAACAGTAGATGACAAAAATATATGAAAATAATTAGAATACAACTTTATTATCTAGCCGGGGCCTGAAAATCAACTTTGGTCTCACGAGATCAGATAAAAACATCACACTACATCAATGCGGCAGATCTCATCACATCACAACAGTTAATATAACATGCACACAGTGTACAAAACTGAAAAAGTTCCTTGCATATGGTATAAAAGACCCCTTAAATATCTTTTTGTTTACCAGAGGTACTCTTCACCCTGAGGGAAGCAGCTTAAACTCAGTATTTAGAGTCACTAATGATGGACAAAGCTTTCCTATGTAGAGCTGTGCTGTAAAGGTCATCCAATGACAATAAACACAAACACCTGAAGGAGCAATCGCTTCCAGTTTTGTTCTTCAAATACTAGACTCTTCTCATGAACCTTATAAACTCACATATTTCAGCCCTATAATTCTAATTTCTCGCCACAGATTAAGCATACCAGTATTACCAACAGTGATGGTAGTAAAAGCAAACAAATCTACCCATGCCCAATAAATTCTCAATTGTTTTTGGAATCCATAGAGCCACTGATGAGGGGCTATATTTCCACAAGCTGCCTACCCCTGCCATAGCCAGAAAATGTATTTATTTGTCGAGGGATTGTTTAATTGGCGTTTCTGAAAAGCTGAAACATAATACAGTATCTGTCCATATGCTTTCAAATTTTGGGACATTGGAACACTAGTAGAGCTAGACCAATAAAACGGCAATCATTAACTTATTCTTTCTACCATTAACTATCCTAGAACATAAATTCAAAATAATAAATAAATTATTAATACAATTATTTAGTTTTTTAAATGTATATTGCCTTTAATTGACGACAGAGGCTCATTGGGATTTCTTTTCCAAGAGACAAGACCAAGTTACAGACATCATGTTGCACATAAACATTAATCAAAAGTACAGAAGGAAAACTGCAAAGCTAAAACTGGTAATACAAATGCTTAAAACACAGTTGTCCATTAGCAGCTGTGTGGTAAGCTAACAGTGTGTCTTCACCCACTGAAGCCAGAGGCATGATATGAACTTTCCCTCTGCATTGTGGGAATAGCCTCTTTGAGGTGACATTTACAAAGCACACACATTTTGAAACATCTTCCTCACACAAACTGTACAATAAATAAGGTAGATACACCTGTTTGTCTAACTGAAGATGATTTCGATCTGGTTTATTACTGGTTTATTTACTATAATTGGTTCACTTCAGGAGGCTAACAAGTAGAAGAAGTATTACTGTATAATTTTCTTGTGTGCTGTCAAACAATGATATGTTTGATCATTAAAAACAAACTGATGGTTATCATGATGGTGTTTTAGTCATAAGAACTTTATATTCTCTTGTAGATCGTCTTCCGAAAGATCAGTGATGTGAAACGAGAGGAAGAGGAGCGACAGAGACGTAAAAATGAAGCCCCTCTGAACTTGCCACCAGATCACCCAGTACGGAAACTCTTCCAGCGCTTTCGACAGCAGAAGGAAGCCCGGTTTACGACCGACAAACCAGAGCTAGATGAACGCGATATTGAGAAGGGCCCTGTGTACGTAGACGTCCCGATAGCTAATACAGCCATTACAACTACCAGCATCGTCACAGTAACAGAAAGCCCAGCAACACCCTCATCTTCAACTCCTTCATCTTCAACACCCCCCAGCTGTACACCCTCAGACAAGGTGAAGCTGCAGGTGCCATCTAGCATTTCTTTGGTAGGAGGCCGGTCCGCTGAGCCGCTCAAAGTCAAAGGCTGGGGTCGCTTCAAGGAGTCCATGGCCAAACCTGACAACTGGAACAAAGTGTCTAAGGCCGAATCCATGGAGACTTTACCTGAACGGACCAAGGTGCATGAATCACAAATGTCTCTAAAGAAAACAGACTCATGTGACAGCGGTATCACCAAAAGTGACCTGCGGCTAGACAAAGTGGGTGACTTCCGCATGACGCCCCAGGACCGAAGTCCTGTCCAGCCTCCGGAGACCAGGCACGCCTTCTACCCCATCCCAGAGCAAACGCTTCAAGCCTCACTTCAGGAGCTCAAACTGGAGCTGAAGGATGACCTCAAGAACCTGAATGTTCGAATGTCTGGCCTGGAGGCGCAACTCACAGAAGCACTTCAACTCCTCAAAACAAGGAAATCAAGTACTGGCTCTCCGCAGCCTCTTTTTGACATTTCTAGACCTGCTTCACCAGAACTGGACAAAGAGGACATCTTCTCTTGAAGCATGGAGGAATCATGAGGAAACAATTAACTCAGCTGGAATCCAGTAATATCCAGATTACTTGGATAGCTGATGCTGCACTGGGCACACCATTTAGATTAGGCAACAGTGTGGTCTTTAAGACGCACCGGCCTTCATCATAGGGGTGTACCTGCTGGCCAACAAGGGAAGGCGAGTCGAAGCCCAGATTTCGGTGTCGTAACACTGAACCATCTGAGGTTACATAAAAACTGACAGCTCTATGTTTGTACATAGACAATAGTTGTATCTCTGTTGGAAGGCTCCAATAGAAACAGCATGTCCCACTGGTTTGTTATTGAATCATTTGTATGAGATTCTTTGCATGTCACATAAAATAGACGTGTGCCTCAAATTGCAGATGGTGCATATTTGATCAGCTGAGGCCACACAGCAAGTCATTTGCATTCTTTCACCACGACAGTGAAAAAGGATGGTCTTTGCAGATGTTGAAAGAGTCAGAGTAATTTCCTCAAGCAACTGATGAACTCTTTTATTATATCAACTGCCAGGATCATTATGAATTACATAACAGATAACTCTGGCCAAGCAATCAGATTTTCAAAGACGTCTTTCAGCAGAGCCTATTTTGATTTTCATAAACCATGGGTAGATGGCCTTCATGACAAATGCAGTGCTAACTAGTGTGTCAACAGTGAGCAAGTTATCCATCATCCGAGTATCTAGTAATTGTTATTCTCAGATGTATACAACCACATACATGGTACATATATATAGTGAGAGCCATGCATTTTTGGCTTTGGTGATGCATAATTAGTTAATGCAGATGAAACTGACAATGGCTATACCCTCGTCTTATTTTAAAACCGTCAAGAACATAGTAGGGAATGCCTGTTTGCAGAATATTTCCAAAATAAATATATTTATGTAAAATATAAAACTTCAAAGTGCAGGTTTGTTAACGTAAGCACACCAAGATAGTTACTGGAACCTGTTTCAGTGATGATATTGGCCAGTGATGTACATTTTTACACCAGTTAGCATGCATGGTTTAATGAGTCTGTTTTCACATTCATTTGAGAAAAGCCATCATCCCATGACGACATGAGATAACAGCTGACTATTATGAAGGAGGAAAGATCAAAAATGTGAAAATTAAAGGAAGTGTTTTCAATGCAGGCAATCTCTTTAGTGACTACAATTTGAGGTTAAAATCAACTTTATTCCACAAATTCAAACCCACGTTCCCGAGACACGCCTTCAAACTGGGAGACAGCTATCACCACTTGTTTAATGTAATTGTGTAAAATTAATTACACAAAATTTCAATTTGGTTTATTTTTATGAAGATTGTATTTCATTAAGTTCCGTTTTTTTCTCTTTGAAACAAAAATGGACTTTATTAATTAAATGAAGTACACCAGACCCAGGCTGTGTAATCCAGTCAATAAATAAATTTAAAGGTTCGGGAACAAGTAGCCAAGTGTGGTAAATTTCATGACTTTCTCTTTAAATTGTAATTTAGATTTTTTGATTTTAAAACTACTTCAATTTCACCATAAAGACTTACTCAATAACAAAATAGATGTCTGAATTTTTTTTTTTCAAATTTCCATTTGATACCATTACCTCTGCTGAAACTATAAATACCCTTCTTACACTTTTACTTCCTAAATTACTGTTAACTAAAATACATCTGTGTAAATGAATGTATCTGTTTACTGTATTGGAAAGAGGGAGGAAATGTGCTTTAGAGCATTTCTTGGTAACTGAAATTATTTATTTATTCATTACAGACCCTGAAGTCTACATGCATGCATCAAATGTCACGTAAAGCAGAGCCATGAGTTCTGGTATCAAGCAATAGTTTACTCGAGTGCATATTCAGCTGTTGCAGTAAAATTTTGTACTAAAACATCAATTGTCGCTCTTTAATAACAATGAATAATGCAAGGAAGTCTAATAATATTCAGTAAATGACTCATTTTTTAACAATCACATATTTTTGCAGATTGCTGCTAATGAGATCCAAAATAAATTCATTGCAATCAATAGTAATACTGTATTATATCACTGATATTTACTGTACCAGAACTCAATTGTGGTTTTGGGGTTTATCTCTAGTAGAAGCAGGAGCTTTAATGGTCTGCTTGAATCTATCTTTAGTATACAGTAAATGTATTCTTTTACGTGGCAAAGATAACCATTATTCTATATTATTTATTATTCATTTGGATAATTTATGTTCCCTGCATGACTTCTCTCTTATCAAGACAAGCTGAGACAGAGCTGAGAGGAAAGAGATGCCAAGTTTCTTCTTCAACACATTCTGTAGCCCCATTCCCATCAAATATTCAGCTTACTAAAAATAAATGGGCATGTCATCACAGAAGTGAGAACTCATTTGGTTCAGTGTTTGTGGGTCTTTATGGGTGTGCTGTCACAGGATATTTTGATCTTACAGACGGAAAAGCATTAAAATCATATTGCTGTGACCTCTCTATTGCAGAGAATTCATAAAGCCGTTGCTCACATGAGTTTTTACTCAGAAATCAAAAGGAGGCAAAAAGATTGCCGATAGTGTCTGTGAGGAATTCAGTCGCCCCAAAATCTAAGAATTATATAATGGCAGGCTTTACTACAAAAACTACAAATAAATTGGGTAAAAAGTTACTGACCAGGCACTGAGTACAGTACACACAGTGACTTATAACTAATGACTGAGACTAGAGATTGCTCTAACTTAATGAGGTGCTGACTGTTTATTTATCTCATTTTTTCATGTGATTCAATCATACTAAAACCCACACGGAAAGTAATATTTATTTTCTTTTACAAATTATTGTTACATTGTGAAAAATGTAAATTACTGTTTCACTTCACCAACGACACAGATGAATGACAGAATTGGTCAGATTAGTATGTTTTATACTTTCATTTTGAATGACACAACCTATGAATCTTCTTTTTTGTTGGAGGCGGTGTATTCTTTCATTGTGTGATTGTTATATTTACACCGTAAATTTACAATTTTCTTTCAGGTTTCTTTACATTTTACAGTGTCTAATAGGAACAGAACCAGATCTGACTGATTTTCCAGCTAAGTCTGATTTTGTGCAATTATTTGAACAGGACGACAAAGATATGGCATGTGGAGGGTATTTTCACTTACGCCTGTCTCAAGAAACTGAATTTTTTACCACCACCATAAATATGCGTTTCTAAAATGGGATGTAGGTGCACTCCAAAACTCAGACATGATCCTTGAAAGCAATATGTAGTACTGTGCTGTAACATTTATAAACAAAGGTCCAAATGGAAAACCTTAAGCTATTAAGTGTAAAGGACTTTTCCAGTACTGCACTACCACTTCATTACATTTACCCTGATATTATTAAAGTCATTACCTCTGATTACTACTGAGAAGCATGCAACACTGTGCCTTCATATCGCCCCTTTTCAGGCCTGCAGTGAGAAACGCAGTGTTAAATATCCAAATTACTGTTGCTCCTTTGAAACGATTTGAACACAGAATTATTTTTGTGGTCAGCTCTAGAAAGCTGCCTAGTTATAAAACCCTACATATTTATTTATATATATATATGCACAAATTATATTGCAATGTTTCGATTCTTAAAGGGGACCTATTATGCTTTTGCTTATGGCCAAAGTTTCAAATAAGGAGATAATCCCTGTGAGCAAAAAGCTCAGGCTTCAGACTGCTGAAGCTGTTGTTGGCTCCTTGCAGATTTCTTTATGCGGTCATCTGCTCCTGGTATAGCGTGCCCACAAAGTACAGCGATGCGTCCATCCAACTGCTCAGTTATTCGACCACCCTGCTCAGGACTACTCTACAGGTTTTTGGAGGTTGTTCAGTATGTCTCACAGGAATTTTTTTGGTTGTGAAGGAAAGTTAGACAGATAGCAGCTACTTGAGCAACAAGTAAAGCTAACTGCTAACTGTAGCTTCCATTTGCTACTTAGCTTCGGTATCCATGCAGCTAGTGATTTAGCTAACTCTGTTTCTCTCAGACTGGGAGCTTTGGACCGGTGGCAGGAGGAGGTTTGTCTGTCTCCAAATTGGCCTCTGTTGGTCTCCGAGGGCGGGTTCCGTCGCCCACTCGCCTGGCTCCAGTTCTGGTACCCATTCCAGCGCCACCTGGGTGTTCTGAGGATGTACTAAGGGGCTGGATGAAGGGCCATGATAAGATAAATTATTATTTTTTACTGTGAATCATGTAAAGCTACTCTAGTGGAGTCCCTGAATAAAATATAAAGCTGGCACAATAGGTCCTCTTTAAGAAAGAGAAATGTTTGAATTTGCTGTATGATTTATGTAATATGCACATGCCTCCATGTTCACACGTCATGTGATGAGAAATGTAACAAGCACAATGGAAACTTTGTTATGAACTGTTACATGCTGTACGATTCATAATAAATATTTTATACATACTGTACCCTGTCTGTTGTTCTCTTTAGGGTGCTGTATAGCATCCATTCTGACCTGTGAGAAATGTCATTCTTTGTGTTTTAGCTCCTCTGCCAGTGATAAGGGCACTTCTCTAAGAAAGTGTAACGCAGCAGGTGTCTTCTCCTGCTGATCTTCTTACGTCAGATAAACCTCACAGTTTTGTGCTCATTTAAGAGGATTCCTCGCTGACCCCCTGCTCACGCTGATCCTACTTAATGCCACTCGGGCTGTAATAATCCTGAAAACAGAAATCAACTAATGGAAACACTCGAGGCTCACCAGAACAACAGACTCCAGATTACACTGTACTTTTATTGCAAGAGTGTTTATTCACCACTGATCGAGCTCAAAATCACAGACCCATGAAGGTAACGCAGTTCCCTGATTGACAAACTGAACAAACATCTAGGGAATAGTGAATTGTGGTACGACGATAAACAACCAGAGGACTAAAGGCAATGTGAGGGTTTTATGTTAATGATGAATCTCAGCAATGGCACTTCTGACTTATTCACCAATTCTTAAATTAATCTTCTCGGAAGCCATACCCTAAAGCTGTTTGCTATGCACTGTGAATACTAAGAGGATCAGATTGTTTTTTACCACATCAGACTTTCTAAGCTCAAAAGACAAAAAAAAAGGTACAGATACGCTTTTTAAGACAGCTCCTACTGCATGAAGTTGGCCTTTATAAGCTGGTGACAAACTAATCAAACCCTGCTGGATTGCAGAGTAAAATTTATTGTGATCTGAAATGTAAATAGAAAAAAATGCTTCCAACATGGGTAACTTATCAAGAATTATTTATATTTATATATTTTTTATTTATATACTGTTGGTGTGAAAACTAAACTGCAGCTGACTTTTAAGAGGCCTTTTCTCCCATTACATCAGGTCATCCAATTCATCCTCCATGTCTTTACTTCAATAGAGAATGTTTATTTTTATTAGCATTTTTGTATTATTATAATTAATTTTCTGGTGATTAACTAAATGGTTAAGTGATTAATGCTTACAAGTTTGCAAGTTGCAGAACCAGAAGTGGAACAAATCCCAGGAAACCAAAAGCAATAAACTGAATTGACAAAACAACAAATTGAAGCCATAATTCAATTGAGTTGATCTCACTGAGTATAGTCTGTGTTGTGAAAGCCTGATTTATTCCTCTGTGCCATACAACTCCATTTTCCAAAAATATTGTCTTACACTGACTCGATCATAACACTGCCCTGGTGCTGTACATACTCAGTAGTGCACCAAATATGTATTAATCCTCAGCTGAACATAGTCCAACAAACGCACTATTTACTCATGTTTGAGTAACATTTGCTAAAAACTAGAATGCCCAGCTGTTTTACTTAAATTTAATTGAACTTTATATTTTTGACCCATTTTTAAAGATCAGTGTCTTAGGAGGAGTGGAAGGGAAGGAACTTGGGGCTGCCCCAGGCAGGATAGGGAAGTCAGAAAAGGTTGAGAAACAGACTTAACACATTGTTGGTTTTGGTCTTTTCACAGGATTTGTTGGCAGTAAGAAAAATACAGAATTACAGCTCAGCCTTATCCTTTAACAATATTCAAAGAACTGCTTTGAAACTTTCTGTATAAAGTCATCAAACTTAAAATAAAGCTGTTCCTGAAAAGTTGAAGAGTTCTGAAAGAGTTTTATGACTCAATTTTAGATGAAGTTGATGATAAACAAGATTTTAGTTTAGTTAAAGGAGTTCTTTCAATCTATGGGGGGAGCAGGTTAACCCCTTCAACAAACTCAAAACTCTCAATGTAGTAGAGCGTCCACATTGCCCTGACTTGTATGTATTAGGACATGCATACAGCTGGAACAGGGAAACTGTGAATGACTCATAATATCTATTATCACATGGATAGATGGATGTATATTCATAATCATGAAACTTCAAATATAAGCATTTAATGCAAACATGAACTGAGTCCATGTAAAGTGGAAGATTTTGGGGGTACGAGATGTTTTATATCAACACATAAAAAAAGCTACAGCTTGTGGTTTTTTTTACGTTCTTGCTCCAAAAATAGCTTTGCTCTGCATTCCAGTGAATAAATGTCATCTACCATTGTTACTGTGTTGAATTAAAAGCTAGAGTGTAGTCTCTCTAAAGCTTTTCAGCAATACATCTACTAATATTTGTGCCATTCAACTTTGTCCAAATTACATTTGTAGAGGAAATAATGAGATTGATCAGGTTCCTGCTGCTCTATTCAGTCTCCTGTGCCTATTGTCTGCCTCTGAATACACAACTGCTTTTGTGGCGAGCTAAAGGAGGACGGTAAATATTAAATTAACATTTCTCCAGCTTACTGCACCACTGAGCAATACCTTATCAGAGTCATATAACCAAGGCATATTGAGGGTCCATATTTTATTTTATAATTTCTCAGAAATAAAAGTGATTCAGTGAGGCTTAGGTAGAAAACTTGATACTGCACTGAATTTACAGCTTTACACTTATTCTATTCCAGTTTGTGTGCACTTAAATTTCCCAAGTACAGGAAACTCTTTCCTTAGAAAGAATCAACACTGATCCTTTAAGTCTTAGCTTACAGACACTTTTTGCCCAGTGTTGCAGGTTGTGAAAAGTGGCTGCTCAGCTGTACTTCAGCCAGGTTTGCACATGGTCTGTGGCTACGAGCCAGGTTCGCCACAGACTGGTGAAGACAATGCACTGGACTCAGCAGGTTGTTCTGGTTGTCCGATAGCAGGGATTCTCACTTCGATACAAAGTCAAGGTGACTCATGGTGGGTGAGAAGTCCACTCGAGTCCAATCTGAGCAAAGCAGTAGAGGAAAGCCAGCATAGGTGGGGCCATTGTAGACCAACCTGAAATGAAAAGAAAACCAGTATATTCAGTTTTATCTGTAACAGGAAATATTTAGATTTTAAAAAATCTAAATACGTTGTAGAGGATTCATTGCAGTCTTTAAATGTATGTAATTTCTGCAGCTAGGAGTCTGTCTCAGCAAAACAATCATGAAGTAGCATTGGACCATGGGAGCTGTCATTGTTTAACCACCACCATTGGCAATCAGCAGAAATTATTCACAGACAAGGGTAAATTCAAGTTTTATTAATGTTACGTTTAGTGTTTGCTACTTCCTCTCAGTCTTAAGCTATAGCAACTAGACGAGAGCAAAAAAACGTACCATTACTTGAATCAAATTTTGGATAAAAATGGGATAAGTGCATAATTCAACAAAATATATAACATAGATCTAGTTGTTTTGAGACATTTTAATGCACAAATGTTACATATTATGGGCCCTATCTTGCCGCATGTGCAAACGCAAAACGCAAGTAGCTTTGTGGGCGCTGTTGCTATTATGCCGGCGGGATAAATGACTCTTGCGCCCGGCGCAAATCTAAAATGGGTTGGTCTGAAGTAGCTACATTAGTCATAGGTGTGGTTTGGGCGTAATGTGCAATAAACCAATCAGAGCGTCATCTCACATTCCCTTTACAAGCAGGCGCGCTTGTTCCATGGCGGATTGCTATTATAACGGCGGATTGGCCAGGAGCGGTTCACAGCCGAGGAGACCGACGTTCTCGCCAGGGCCGTAAAATACCGAGAAGTGACATTATTGACATGAAATAAATGTAACACAGCCATACAATAAATCAAAACAATGTGACGCAGCTTCGCAGGAAGAAGACCCTGGCCTCGGGAGCAGCGCAAACACCAAGGTGCAGAGGATCCAGACCCACTACACGCCGGAAGACCACCCGTTCCTGCAGCAAACCGGGTTTGACATGCTGGAGCGGGAGCTGTCCGGGATGCGGCAAAGTATTAATGCCCGTCCTGACCGGGTGGCGATGTTGCTGCGGCCTCTCAGGCGCATCCCCTCGAGTCTGCGCCCTTAAAATAGCATCTGAATAAGTGCCACTGACTTTAGACTAGGTTTTTCCTGGTCTATGGCGGAATTGTTTTCTGAAACAGCAAAATAGCACCAGGGAACGTTTGCGCCGGGACACGCCTCCTCTTTTCGCTGAACCGCCCCCCGGAGCGCAAATTCATTCCCTAATTTAAGGACGCGCGTCGGTGGAGGGAAAATTCCAATGTGCGTCGAGTGCAAAATAGGAATATACAAGCGCCAGTGTACAAAGTCAATTGCGCTGAGTGCAAGATAGAGCCATATATGTTTTACTCATATAAATATGGATAATTAAATTAAATTTAAATTTTGCTAAAATGTAACTGCTATGTGCAGATGCTTTTGAAGGTAACTACTATAAAGACTTCTACAGAGGCAGTAGTAATAGTAGTAGTTTAGTTCTCTCTGCTGTACTGTGCTGTGTTACGGTTATCATCTTTTTCTATTTATAGCTGCTTCTTAGAGGGTCGAGCAGGCAGGTAAAGACAGCTGTCTGCACCTCCTCTCCAACTGGCTTGCCTCCAGATTATCTCAGTAACCTGCACCTGCACCCACAATGCTTTTCAATGGTCTATTCTGTTCTATTCATGTCAAAATCTAATTCACGTACACACAGGCTGTTTTATGCACAGCTGTACTGTCAGTTTCCTGTCTGTGGAAGAGAAGGGTTGCACAGGCTGGCTAGACAAGACATATTTTGATGAGAGTTGCATGACACAAAACTTAAGTATGCAGGAAATTAGCATATATTTTTTTGCTTGCATTTGTATTTAAAAAGGAGCACTGATGATGTTTCCAGTAAATGCCAGCTAATTAATAATGTTAGTTTAATCACATTACACAAAATTTGAACCAGTTTCTAACATCTAAATGAATCCTTCAAAGCCATTAAGCCCTGGGCTCTGCGTGCACCATGAGCAAGTCTTGCCAAGACATCCCAGCACGCTGTCTTTGCAGGTATGTACTGTAAATTTCATTAACACCCTTAATGTGAAATATATTCTCTAGTCATCCAACATTTGCTGTTACTGACAAACTAACAGAGGGAAAAGCAGAACTTAAAAGACGCATACACTAGCCAGAGTTTCCTGTTAGCCTCTGTTATTCTAAAGAAAACAATTACAGAACCCTGGCAAAGAGATGGTGAGTGGATAAAGTTAAAAGAACAAACTACTTCCACCAGTTGCATGTCACTGTGGCTCTAATCAACAGGCCTGTAATTACAACACAGTTTCTTTTACCACTTGATTAACTGAGTGCTTCGAGTTCAGATAAAGTCAAAGCGCCATTTACAGAGATGCAACTCAAAACTAAATATAAAGCTGATTAGTGATCAAACGGACTGCCTCTCAGAGAAGCAGAGACTGACAACTTGTAGGTTTAGCTCTTCCATTATCATTAGTCTGAGAAACACAAGGGACAACTCCTGCAGGGGTTAACAAATTAGCAAATGTGAACTTTTTTTTGCCATGCTAGTGGCATCACAATGGCAATGTCTGTCTGTCCACGACTTTGGTCCTGACTGAAGTATCTCATTAATGGATGAATGCTATTAAGTTTTGTACGGACAATCATGGCCCCCAGAGGATGAATCCTGATGATTTGGTGACCCCTTAACTTTTCTTCTAGCATCATCTTTAGGTTGAACTTTTAATTTGTTCAGTTCTTTCGTTTATGAATAAATATCTGCAATGACATCTCCATTAGCCTCAATTGGACTTAGTTTAGTGCTAATTAGCAAATGTTAGCACACTAAACCTGTTAAACATCATCATGTTAGCATTGTCACTGTGAGCATGCCAGCATTAAACACTGATGTGTCTAAGGAAAGCCTCAGAACTTCAAGCATGGCTGCAGACTCTCTACTAATTCATTATCCTACTCAAGTAAAAGAACTGTAATTTGTATTTTAAGCTAACTTATTCGGCAGAGACTGACCATTCATTACAAGCCTTGCAGTGTCCAATTTCCAATGTTTGTGGAGAACTAACAATTTTTGTCCTGTGAATGTGATTGCAATTGCAGTGAAGTACACATCTTCAGTACATACAGATATAAAAGCAGAAGTATTAACTGATGACAAATTGTTTAGATTGTCTTTAACAGAAGTTTTAAGTCCTAACTTTAAACATATCCCTGAAATCAGTTAGGAAGCTCTTTATGTAACTCAGCACTATGGCTTTAGAGTGATCTTACATGGGGACTTATACATCTTCAGTCAACATATAGGACTATAGACACAGTGTGATTAGGAATTTGTTTTTGTACCAGAGGTCAGAGTGCAATTTCGCTACTGTCTGCACCAATAAAAATCCAAGACAGGCTGATTTAAGAGCATTGATCTCATGTTAATGAAGCAAACCACAACTCTCCCTCAGAGGTTTAATGTGCAGGCATATGCAGACACAAGGTCTAGCTTTAGGCTTTTCTGGTGGATGCGCTGTATATCAATTTAAAGTACAAATACACAAGCACTCTGTGAAAGCAACACAGTTATTAAAAGGGTTGTTCAATGTTTTATTTAAACATTTTAAGAAAGCATCCGGCAGGCCATGTCATATCTGTATTTTTCATTTTGTGAAGGTCCAAATGAATCACCATAAAAGCAAACTGAGATTCTCAGTTTAGTTTCTTGTTCTTGCTCTGAATAATTCACAACAGAAATGGTATTTTCAAACACCCTGTTCTTATTTTTAGGTTTCTGTTAACTTATTTACACCGAGTCTATAGCGCTGTGTGTGTGAAATGGGTCAGGAGTGCTAGAAGAGGCATAATGTTACGCACAATTTGCTTTGAGCCTGCCAAGCTTCCAACAAATTTTTAATGTCACAATAAAGTTTAACTGGTGACTGAAATACACCTTCGTCAGGTTGCTAAGGCACTGAGGCCCAGTGACTGTATGACACAATCGGAAGAGAATATGGCCTAGTGTGAAGATCCAATAAAGAAAAAGGTAAAAACTGTGAGACAAGAAGATTTAGAAGAGAATGAACACAGACTGAAAGGCTATTCATTTAAAATTAAACTAAAAAAAAAGAATCTCCAAAATGAGCTGTAAATCTGAAACCTTTAGTGTTGCACATCATTCAGATTTTACACCTTGCCACTGGGTCATATTATCATATTATTTGACCTTTAACCCTGTTTACACCATACATTTCAAACTGGTAGCAATTCTTTTTTTCTTGTTTTTTTTTTATATTTTTGGATAGGGCAGCTGAAGAGACAGCTAAAGATTGACAGGAAATAAATCAAAGGGCCATAGGTCGGTTTCCAAACCATGGCTGCTGCAGCAAGGACATCATCTAATCTAGTCTAATGTAAAGCTGCAATGTCTTCAAACTCATGTATCTACGCTGTTAGAAACTTGTAGGCTTAGCAATTTTTTCTCTGACTAAGAAACCCTAAAAGAAAACCAATGCCTATTTCATTCATTTATGATAGACTGTTGCTACAGTTACAGCTACAGCTCTCAGGCTCTAGGCCCCTTTTCTACTTTGTTTCTGCACTGTATTCATATTCAGAGATCAGTTGCACTGATAATGAAAACATGTGTAGGCCAACTTTTTTCCCCCAGACAGAAAATTGATCAAGAATCAATAAGGGAACCGACAAAGAATCGGGCCAATAAGCCGAATCCACAATGGCATTGGTATCAATAAAATCACATAAATTCCCATCCCTACCCCCAACTTTGTTGTTTTGATTCAATACCATGGCTTTCGTCATTAGTCCTTCCAGTCGCAGCAGATGTTTTCAGCAAAAACACTGATTAACAGACACAACCAGCACAGCACCAACCAGCAGACAGACAGTTAGAGACTAGCAGGTGAACATAGTGGAGCATTTAGCAGCATAAAGAGCAGATATTTCCATCAGGAGTTGGTGGAGACAGAAAAAGCTACAAGGAGAGTAAATATAGGACTTTGTTGGGTTGTCAGAAACACAACTTCAAATAACTGCTAATGTCAAACTGTGTCTGCTGGATGTGTAAATAGGCAACTGTTTGCAAACACATAACACCAGTATGAACTTTAAAAAATAACATCCCTGCTTGTTTCACTGCCCTAAGCGGTTGAAAAAACACAATTAATGCTGCTTTAAAAATGTGTAAAGTCTGCATTTTATTTCTGCATTAATTAACAGGTCTTGTTAATAAAACATATAAATTATATGATGATGTATCAGAACTGAGCTTAGCTCTCAGCACTGACTGCGCGCCCAACCCAGCGGTGAGTGCAGTTCAGACTGCTTATCATGTGTAGTAAGGCTTCAGGAGGGCCTGCCATCTTGCTTTAGGTACCAAATGAGCCAAATAAAAGGCACAGGGAGCAAAACAGGAACTGGCACAACCATGAAGCAGATGTCTCTCCATTGGAGAGAGTTTTCCCATGCAGATGCGTAAAATACCCAGTGTAAGTACAGCCTCATCCTGAAAAATATACAGACCTCCTGAACAGCAGCATTTTGAATTTTTTTTATTATATCTTATTTAGGATTTTATTTTCTACATAGGTAAACTGGCATCTATCTCTGCCTGTTGCCTTAGACATACTATCTTTAGCTGTTATAAATATAAATATCTATATAATATAGAATATAAAATGTCCTACAATGCAACTAAACTGTCAAGACCACATGACTGATACTCATTGGAAACAAATGTATAAATGCCAGCTGTAACAATCCTACAAAATAAAAGGCACATGCGAATCCTATTGAGTGAGTGTCGTGGAAGGCAATTTACCTTGAATGAAGACACGCTTCCAGAAGATTCTGCCAACGTGTATCCCTCCAAGGAACACCAGATTAGAGAGGATGAGCATGGCAGTGGAGAAGGCAGAGAGAAGGGCTATGCAACGTCTTTCCATCGCTGCGGAGAAATTCTGCTCCTGGGAAATCAGTGAATGAACAAGTAAATTGCAGGGAAACCACGAGAGATTTTTATTGTAAATCTGAGAAACAAAAAAGAGCAAAGCACCTGGCTGTGTGTGACCATAAACTAGGAGGATTACACAGTATGCCATGAGACTTTATTACTATTTTAAGAACATGAACCTTCTACCAAGGCTAGAGAGCAAAGAAGCACCCTGAACATCTCTATTGTTAACGTACTGGAAACAGACTTTACTCACATGTGCTAAGTGTAAATGCCAATTAGGTCCAACCAGTCTGTACTCGGGTCAATGACGTGGCGTTCATATTTTTGTGTCCGAGTGAATTATTTACATTTAAAATAATTTAATAAATTTTATTACATAAAACCTGTTTAGTTTGAATACAATTTAAGTACGTTAAAATAATAAATATCATTTATGTTTTGGAAGTTTAATCCCCCAAAATGTCAGGCGGCGCAACTGTCCAAGAAAAGTATTAAAAATCATATTTTAATGGTGATAAATTCAAAGTAAAATACCATGGCATGATTCCATGTTTAAAAACCTTTCAAATAAACCAAATTTTACAAATACCAATCATTTTAAAGCTGTAGAGAGCTGTTGAGCAATTTGTATGTTAGCAAATGTCAGGGTGGCACAACCGTACCATAGGACTTTTATAACAGTTATATATTATAACAGGATATTGCATCAACCAGAGGACCCCAAGTGACTTTTATGGCTGGTGAAAAAGTCAAATATTTGTATATATAGGTTGTCCGGAACACTTTCCATGTCAGGTGGTACAATCAATTTAAAACTAAATGTTATTTTATCAGAAAAATCTATTTTAATTAAAATGGATATGTATGAAGATGCTAGTGAAGCCAAAAGCTAACACATGTGCCCAAGTAGTATAGTATAATTTGAAATTAGTTGCAAAAGTCAGGTGGTGCAACTGCAGGAAGTTGTACTATATGAAATTAATAATGTTATTTAAATCTCTAAGATTATCTAATACATTTATAAAATGAAAAATCTAAAAAAAAATAAAATAAATATGAACAAATGAATCTTGAAAAATATGCATTACATAAATTTTAAAAAGACTAGAATACCTTTTTAGAGGCCTTTTTTGTCATGGACTGTAGCAGCTCCAGGCATCTTCTCTCATTAAAAAACAATCCACACACCATAACTGAATGAAATTATACCTATATACAATTTCAATCTCTTTTAACCTAATGTTCTTGCACTGTCAGAGGTAAATGCTTGGATTTCACACTTACAACAATGGAGTGAATAAACGATGAGGCAAAGAGAGACTTCAGTCCATTTTCCACCAGTACTCCAGCCCAATTCATCAGGGCCCAGTACTGTAAGTAGTCATGGCCACCGTGCCAGAGGCAGACAAATCCAAATGCAAGGCCAGTGGATAACATTTTGTAAAGACGTCCATGCCGTGAACCTCCCAGTGGTACATAGATGTATCTGGAACATGGGCACATAACATGAAAACATAAATCTTTATTAACGCACTCTGAATTAATTAAATATTACAGCTCCTTAAATGGATTAAAATATGTCCAACAGTAAAGAAATGGTGATAACAGACAGATCTTTAGTAAGAGCAGGGTACAGATGTACTGCAGACAGTAAATAGCAGATAGAAAACAAAGGGGGGTTGAAAATGGCACCACAATGCACAAATAAATTGGTCTGCCTGTCACATAAATTATCCTGTCTTGTTCATTGATTTTTAATCAAATAAATGTTGCTCTGACGTCCAGTGCAAAAATAGAGGCACCTTTGGGAATATCAAAGTTGTTAATAATGCTGCAACTGGGTTAATGATTTCAAAGTGGTTTCTGTGATTCACATCCAACCCTTGACACACGTTTAACCCACTTTCTATGTCAAATGTACTTTTTCTTTTTCTCCATCATTTCACCTGACTCTGCATGGCAGGATAAAGTCTGATTTCAACATTTTGGGTAATAAACTGAAGATAAAAATTATATTTTTCATGAGGTAATTTATTTAACAGCAAATATCTACCACATAACGCATGAATGTCTTTTTACTGTGGTTTAAATGAGATTAAACTTCATCTGGTATAAAAATTTTCAGCTGTATATTCATGTGATAGCCCACATGCTGTGTATAATATCCCACCAATCAGTAAAGGATGCCGTGAAGAAAAATGGTCTCAGATATTGTGAGAACCTCGTCTTTCCCAGAGGTACCGAGAGTCCCAACATGCTACATCATTCCAACACACTTAGAAACAAACATCACGTTCTGTCTAGTGTTGCTGAGCTGAGAACTAATTATCTCAGCCACCCTGTGGCTAATCAATGTACCCGAAAGATGAGCCAGCATTTTCTGAGCCTTAAATAGAGTGGCCAGCTTGGCCATATTGGAGGATGAAAGTAGGTGCAAAAACAGATGGAGAGGAACCAGAGTGTGAGAGCAAACTGAACACCTAAACACACTGAGTAGCTATCCATCCATTTACATTATTTAGATGTAGATGGATTCTAAACAGATGTTAATCCCAATATGATCATCTTCAGATATACATTAATACCCTGGATAATCAATGTGTTATGTAACACCTGACTACTGCAAGCAGATGGTGCAAACAACGTGCTTACAAGCTTTATAGGCCGACACTGACAACTATCATTGTTGGTTTCTGTGCTCTTCTAGAGATACAGTGTACTTCTTTCTGGCTTTAAGTGCAATCAGAAGTTAAAAGCTGAGCCCCCCCCACCAAAACAACCCAATCTATGCTCCCACTTATTTATTTACAACAAAATTTCTGAAGGATTTGGGATCAAAGCCGTAGCTGTAATACCTCAAACAGCCGGGACAAGCTCTTTTGTTGGCCTGTATAGCTGCATGTGTGTGAAACAGAGAACCTGAGACACAGTGGCACACAGACAGGGAAAGCGTAATGGAATGGCGAAGAATGAGCCACTTAGCTGCCCAGGGAGACGAGGTGTCAGTGAGTCATGTAGAGCACATCATTTAACACCTACGCACTCATCTAGCGCTCTTCAGACAATTTCAACAGAATTTCAGAACTGCATTAAAACCTCTTTAAAAACACTTTCCAGAGACGGAACACCAGGGCATTGTGTCATGGGTATCATTTTGCATCTGCAGTAGGATAATTGCAAGTGATGCCATTAAGCAGAAGAAAATAATTTCCAGTGGACACGGATTAAAATGGAAACTTGCATTTGCAATTTAAATCCTGGTATCTTTAGCAGATTAATTGAAGCCACTTTAACAGTCTGATATGCTACATTTCATCTGTAACATCTGAAAGCAGACGTACGTGTACACCGTCATACGTGTCAACACAAAAACTAATTAGCAAACAATAACCAAAACGAGGGAAGCTTTTCACAGAAAATCACAGTGTGTTTTCTGACAACCGTGCGACTGTAGTCTTGCCTTAATGTAGCAACCCTCGTTACCAAGCGGACCATAAACCCCGATAGGCTGCATTCAGCCGAGTGTGCCTCATTAAAAGCAGACAGACTAATAATGTGTGTTGTCCAAAGTACAAGTGAGCAAACACATAATGCTCCCATTACATATGCACATATTAAACAAGGAGGCATTTCTCCAGGGTGCGGGAACAGTAATACAACAGAAGAACTATTCACCAACAACATGCAACCTCATAATCATAAGAAAGCCTACATGCAAATGCAGCATCCTTGTCCATTATGTTGAAACATGCGGGCACGCAGCTGGAGAATGGCACCTCTTTTTAAGGTTATTCAGCTGACAAGTTCAATACCCCACAGCCAGGAAATGAGCTCTTTAGATTAAGTGTGCAATAAATTACAGATAAAGTATGATTACACACATGCTAATAAAAAGGCAATACAAACTACAGGCAGATATACAGCTAAATACATCAGATAAACAGACAGACAGACAGATAGATGGATAGATATTCTAATATAAGAGATATGATTTGATTTAGATGACATTTCACATTTTCAGTAAGCGTTAACATCTGAATTAGTCTGTCCACCGCTCATGAAGTGCCTCTTACCTGATGAGCCATCGATACAGGCCCTCGTCAAAGTGCCTGAGAGAGAACACAGAAGAAAAATGGATATCTGAGTCACACATTTACATAATAATATAGCACTGAACAAGAAACACCTGAGCACTGGGTTTCATATAAACGGAGGCATTTGCAGTATGTATGATGCATGTGTGTGTCTCCTAGAAAAAGTGTTTGGTTTTTTTTTTTTTTTTTTGTGCGCTGCCTATAAACTGAAGCCGTTTGGTCAGTGATGTCAGTGGACAGCTTTATGCATTCCATCAATGTTGTCAACATTGGCCAGCTCAGCACACACAGGATGGATTGGAGTGCATCGATGTCAGCACATTGGTCGATCTAGTCTACAGCCAGTGCATTTTTACTGCAAAACCAAACATGCAGCCGCCCATCTCAACTTTATGTGCTGTAAATTAAAGAGTAACTTCTTATTGTTAATTACATTTAGGAACAGAGTGATTTTGCTAAGAAAAAAGGGACATAAAAAGCCCTGACACACTTAATTTCACAGTATAACTATGAAGTAAACCAGATTTTACTCACTGTCGCTGTTTATTTAGCAAGATCCAGATGTTTTGTCATTGCATGTTATGAGGTTTGCATTTAATTGCATGTTTGTTCTGTCTAAACCTTGTTCATACCCTCAGTTGTCTGTATATTTGGTACATCTAGCTAACACTAATGCAGTCCAATACAACAGTCCTGTAATAAATCCTAACTTCATGAAGGTTATAATGTATTAGAGACATGTTAATTCAACTTTAAGATCATTGTTCTTACTGTTTGATATAAAATCTTGCCTGTCTTCACTTTCCTGTCAGTATTTTTGAAACACCTGATTTTGAAAAGTGCTACATAAAGTATAAAAAATATAAGCTTTATTACTATTACAATCATTTTGGAGGACATAAGTTGTGATGCTGTTCAACTACAGAGAGAAAATGAATGGGGAATGAATGGGGTGGACAAGATAATAGAAACACAGTACAGTGCAATACAGTTCAACAGCACCACAAACTGCATCCTTCAAAGAGGACATTTGTATTAGACTGCATTAGTTTTTGCTAGGTGTACCAAATAAACTGGAAAGTGACTGTATATTAGAGCATATTTGTCTGGTCCTTTGTCAAGACGTAGTGTGCATCCTGGAGGACCTCAAAGCTAAACAGTAAACACAAATAGCACTGTGACACAAAATGTTCACAGCGTGTCCTAAAATTCCAGGCGGTGAAAATTTGTTGTCTTTGGCCTATTTATATTGCTGATTAAGGTGCTTTCCCCCATCTAAAAAGCACTGCAATGTGTGTGTCCATTAACTTGCGCAATTGTGACCCCTTCAGCATAAACCAGGCATAGTCTTTTCCTTTGCATTGCAACAAAAGTGGGGCTTCATAAAAGTACCAATGATCATGGACTTATTATTTTATAATGTCCACTCCTTGTGTAGGTAGGTGTGACAAAATAGCTCAATAGTTGGTGTGAGTGTGTGTGTCTACTATATTAAACCATCAGTGACTTAACCTGAAAAATAAAGTAAAATTCTCTGCTCAATAAATATCTCTTTTATGTCATGCTGGATGTTGTTATAGACAAAAAAAACCCTGCCATTTGTCAGATCCCCTTAAAAACAGACACACATTTCTAACTGGAATTGTATTTGGTGATTCTAACATGTAGACTGGTTTTGTTTTGTTTCATGATTTACTTTGCTGTCTTAGCAGTGCTTCTACAAAAACAGTTTTTCTTCCAGAAAAATGGACAAGATGTAGCCTGTAAATGTAGTAATCCTATCAGTAAACAAACCATTTCAGCTCGAGTATGAAAGAATGATATAATTTTCCTCATGCAGAGGTGACCTATTGCTCTGATTGCCAGTAATTACAGAAGATGAGACAATTCACTGCGACCAGTTTGACTCTTATTGCCAACGCACATGAGCACTTAAGGCACTTGACCTTAAATGGACCTTTTCCTCAAGGATACCAGGGATGCTAGCTTTTCCACTTTCTTTCACTTAAGTGTTAAGGAATGTTGCGAGATCAACATACTACTGTATTTACTGTGTGCATTGTATGATCTTACCTCCACATCCCTGTGAAACTGTACATGATGCTGACACAACGAGGAAGCTTTGGGGGAACAAGTTTATCCAAAGTAGCCAGCATGGATGGAAGGCCAAACAGTACCAGATACTTCACATAGAAGAACTGAACGAGGGCCAGGGCCAGACCGCCTGTGGTAGGGATCAAAGGAGGTGTTTGAACTAATATTTCTTACTGTAATGATTAAAACAAGTTATATACTTTACAGAGAGACTTTTCCTCTCATAAGTCCAGTAAAGTTTGTTATAATTTGGGTTATATACCAAATTTTGTAATTTGCCTTTACAATTTGTACAGCATACAACGCCTTCTATCCTATTGGAAAAGGGGAAAACGCCCCCAAAAAGAGTGAAGAAACCTCAGAAAAAGCAACCAATGAGGGATTAATAGATGTAGTTCATTCACTGCTGACATTTACGAGTTCATCGCCGTCGGACTTCGTCCGTGTTGTCTGCCACGGGAACTTTCCAGTGTTGTCGCCATCACTGTCTATATTCCTCACAGTGGTCTTCATCATCACCATCACTGTTTACATTTATGATGTCCTATTTATTCTCCTGTACAGCACTTTGGTCAACTTTGGTTGTATTTAAAGTGCTTAACAAATAAAGTTGGATTGGTTTGGATTAATTAGATGCTGAGAACAGTTAGGAGGAATGCAAAAAGGAGTCAGGTAGATTCAAATGATTCAGTCTGTCTATATGTCTGTAGCCATTTCCAAACCTGCTTATGGCAACATGAGGGCAGATATGACTACGGTGAGTACGTAAATGACTGACTGAATTAATTAGTTACATAACTTCAAATCCCAGAGGTGCTTTATGTCTAAAGAATTCAACATGAGGCTGTGTATGCAAAGTATACATAGATCACAATAGCAGCCACCTGCATAAGTTACACTTCCCAAAACTTAGAAATCCAAGTTTCCTAGAGAGACACAAAATGGCCATTAGAGGGTACAAAGCATGGCTGAATTTTCTCAATTCGTGAAAAAAATTAAATAATAAATAATAGTCAATAATTAATTAAATAAATACAAACATAAACAGTCACTAATTTTGTCTCTTAATTAAAATGTAAACAAAATCACACCATAGATCATGATGACAGGATTATGATTCAAGGCCACTGAGTGAGTCCATAATCAGCATATCTGATGGAGTCTTAGAACCAGCTACATCCTGAGGGGGTAACGTTAACATGTTTTTAAACTCTGCATCTTGAACACATGCTCAGTTGGTCTGCAGTGGCAGAAAAACATTAAAGCTGAAACTTTATGAATATGGTACATGAAAATCAAAAATACAGTATAAAGACTTACCCAAGGCCCAAGGAGGAAGTATTTCTAAGTAGGTCTCATTAGACTGAATGGAGTGCATGTACATGACATGGATCATGTATTCTGCAGTGCACCACCACAGCAGGATCCGTCCTGATCTGAGCACCAAGTAACTGAATGCAGACAGTCCCCTGTCACTCTCCTCAGCAGGCCTCTGCATCTGCAAGTGTAGAAAGTGAGCATGTTTTTAAGGGTCACCACCAAAAGAACAAATACCAGGATATATAAATATAAATCCACTCCAAAGATGGGAATGAAAACAAGCAGGCATTTAAAAACAAAAAATGGGCAGAAGTGTCAGCCTGACAGCATCCGACCAAACAAGCAACTACAAATCTGAAAATAATCAAGGTACAATCCTCTTGTAAATAACCCACCACTGATGTTTTGCCAGACCAGTTTAATTCAGGAGTACCTTTTGTTGGCTCTCTTACCTGCTCAATGTAGTCTTTGTATGTGATAATGGGTCCATTGTAGAAAAAAGGATGATAGAAGGTGTATGAAAACAGCCAACAGAGCTGCACAACTCCACCACGGTCTAGAGGGCACCAGCAATGCTCCAGGCTGAAGCTGATGAAGCGCAGACCACAGACAGCAACACTGAAGAGTAGCAGATAGTACTCCTCCTCGGTCTTATACCAGCCTCTCTGTGTAACACAGAGGCAAGGCCAATTATTTTTATAACACATTCCTGGGGAATCCTTATATTAATAGCGACAGTTTGACACTAAATTTAGAAAAGCTTTTTAAAATCACTGTTTTTTTAAAAGAACAAAATGAGGACATTCACAGATTACAGCAGATTTACACAACTGGTTAGAAAAATCTGTCACACACAGACTAATAAAAATATGTATATTTTAATGAGGTCTGCCTAAAAGCATTGGGAGTATCACTACTTTCTAACACAGGGCTCGGCTGTATTCAATTGTGTGTCTGTGTGTGTGTGTGTGTGTGTGTGTGTGTGTGTGTGTGTGTGTGTGTGTGTGTGTTGGGGGATGAGAACAGGAGCGAAAGAGGCAAATTTGCAGAAGCATGCACAGGTCTGTCAGGTCTAATTCACTTAATAGATTCACATTTCTAACCATTGTGACTGGAGCATATTGCCTGGCTGTATCCATGCTTGATGTGTCAGATACTGTGCGCTTAAAGTGGGATTTTAGATGACAGGTTTATACCCTAAATATAATTACTAACAGCCAGTGTCCATAATAACCAATCAATGCAGAAATTAAAGTCATGTTAAAACTGAATACATTTTTTTGGTGTATCATTTATTGTGTTGTGTTGTATTGAAGTAAAAGCTTTGTTGTAGTTATTTTTCTCATTTTAACTGCAATAAATGTTTTGACGGTCTGTTAGCCCGTCTACCACTGCGTCTCACTGGTAGCCAATTGTTTTTAAGAAGACTTTTCCCATAGTCTTATCCTCAGGAAATACTGGAAGTAACCTGCTTGATATGTACGTATGCTTTTCAACTTTTATCTTATGGTGTGGACATTATGGAATAATGGAGCTGAGTGGCCAAATTGCTGTACATCCCTTTGGTATCTTGTGCCCCCTTGTGTTCTTTGCAAATATGACATTTAGTGATAATCGAGTAATTCTCAAAATTAACTGATAGCACTATAATGAAAAGAAATGGTAAATTCGCACAGTGCTAGTATAGGGAGATATACATGTAAATGTGAGTTTTGTGATTCTGTATTGGTTTACAAGCAGGCAGTTAAAAACATATTTAAAAAAACTCAAATTTGCACAGGAAAAAACTCAAACTACTTTACTTTGCAACATATCTTTTGCTTGGCTGTTTTATACTTTAATACAAGATGAAGACACCACTCCAAAACTAGGTGATACAACCCACCTGGATATGTTCAAGTGGTTGGATGTGAAGCGTGGTGAGCAGCAGCAGGTTACAGGCCCATGACAGAGCTGGCTTTCGCAGTTGGGCCACTGAAAAGGACAGGCCCAGATGTACCAGCAGCACACTCACACCTTTAATCCCCAACACACTGCTGGCTGCAAGGAGGCCATATATTGTGAGTGCTGGCACTCTAAACTGTTGACAAAAAAATCAAAAATGTGTTGGATTAAATCATCTCTCAACTAATACCAATATTCCCCTCAACAGTACTGTAGCAGCTCTTACCTTGGGGTAAAAGACGCTGGTCAATCTCGATATCACGCCATGACCAATCAGAGTCCACAGTAAAGACTTCTTAGCCCATTTAGTCCAGAAATTCCACTCAAAGTCTGATGGATCCTGACAGAAACAAATAACTTCACCATGGGGATTTAAAACACACATGAAGCCTGTTGAAAAGAGGCTTTGAATTGTGAAATATGTGTAAGGGCCTAAATTTTTATGTGTCAACAAAGATTTTTAGTTTCAGAGACACAAAATAGCTTAAATAATTGTTCACTATAGTTCAGATTTGACTTTTAATCCACTATTTCAACACTGAACTTACCCTTTTAAAACCCTTAACAAGGCCCTTTTCCAACTGGAATTCTCTCAGTAATCCTGCTTCATGCTCTGGGAGGTACAAAACAGAAAATAACAGCTTCATTTTTGTTTAACTTTTCTTCTCAATTTATTGAGCCAACGTATCGATATCTGTCAATCTACCTTACCTTTGGAGAACCTGTGCAGTTGGTAGAAGGAGAACAGATGAGAGCCAAAGGACAGCAGCCAGTATGCAAGGATCTCTGTCCATGGCAGGGGGGCCAACTGGGCCTTTGGTTTAGATGTCATCAGGAAGAATCATTGTGCTATAGTGCGCCTAAAACAGAGCCAGTCATTTAATCTGGTCTACAAGCAGTTAATGGCACTAACACCCAGTGGCTGTGAAACGGAAATGTCTCTATTTATATCGTTAAATGTCTGTTTTACATATAAATATACGACATTGTCATCACACAGACATCAGCACCTGTAGGGATGTCCATATCAAATGAAACAATGGCGCTGTACCATCATACTGCAGCACCATCACTTCAAAAACAGTCTGTTAGAGACCAACGCAGAAAGAAATATGATTGTAATACAATGTTTTACTGATAGCAACATCATATTTGGAAAACTCTGGGAACACCCTGAGCATCAAACACCGATTGTAGTAGGGTTATACATGTTCGTGGGATTCTGTAATAATTTGACTAATTTTTCACACATATTCTGCATTCAAAACGTACCTTGACACGTTATAACCCGATAAGTGGTGCGGTAATGTTGATAAAAGTAGCGAATGACAACAGCAGCCTGTAACCCTGTTGATTATTGTCATTGTACTGTCTGAAGTGTGCTTGAGTCAAACCGCTGGCTAACAGCAATCACTGTCGTTGCTAGGTAACACAGCTTGCTGACTATGACGTATGGTTAGTTAAACGGACAAAGTAAAAGTAACCAAACCAGCTAACGGTACTTAGCATCGTCTTGGTGTTTGACATTATAACGAGACCACTAAAAGCAAAACTGGCGAGTGTGTACAAGTTTTCGAGCTGATTTGGCTGCTTTGATATGACCACACTGTTAACGTTACCTGAAAAAGTTCCGTGAGCTATTCGACTGGCAGCTAGCTAACGTTAGCTCAGCTAGCTAATCATTTCATCAAGTTGCAAGTTACCTAACTTACGTTAATAATACGGGGCTGCTGTCCGATAGCGCCTGGACCGTAGAGACATTACGTTAGAAGCATACTGTCAATGGTAAGTACACCCCGGCATCCAACATTCAAAGGTACTGACCTCTTCTTCTTTTTCTTAGTTTCATTCATGATGACTAACAAAAGCTTTTTAGTACAAGGCCGCCCCCAACCGTGCGGGAGTAGGTCGTCAGTTTATGCCAGGGGGGAAAGAAATGTATTTTCTGTTGGTTTTAGTAACAAAGAAACGTACTGTATTTCATTGCTTTATTTTTTATGCTACTCCATACTTCTACTTAATGAACGTTGTGATGAAGAGACACTGAAATGATGCATTTAATACCGTGTGAACTACAGTAAGACAGTAAAATGATCGTTGGTTGAGTAATGTATTAATCAGTATTAATTATCTCATGATATAATTAACCCTCTAAGTTAATGAGTACCTTTATTTTGTTACCTAAAGTGCATTTTGCTTCTAACATTTTTGTACTTCTACTTTACTACAATTATCTATGTATGAGTTATTTGTAATGGAGTTTAATTTTCACTAAAAGATCTCAATATTTTTACTTTAAGGCTATTTTGCTCACCACTGTTCAGTCATTAAAAGTTTTCTTTTTAACCTAGAACCAATTTTGCTGTTTATAAGATCTCTTTTCATGTCCTGAAAAGGATTTTCACACACAGAATTATTTTCCCCTGACATTTGAATCACTCTACAAGAGGATTGGTACAGTTTAAAGGGGTTTATTGTGGAGAAACTGTGTTGGTACAGCAGGTCAATGGATCAGCAACTGACTCTATGCATGCATCCCGACTTAGACAGGTGTGTAGGGTTCGTAGCTCAACAAAAGATCAGAGAATCTTAACAACAAAATAGGCACTGGGAAATAACAAATATGGCAACAGGTTGACATTAAGACATTACATAACATAAATCTGTCCTTCATACGCAATTCATTCTTTCCTCATTGACAAAATCTGCAACTTCACACCACCTTTTCTGACTAATTTAAGGAGTGTTTAGACTCAACTTATGAACTTAACAAATAAACGTTTGATATTTCCTCTCCCCATAACATCTATAGCTCGTTTCTTTGCCTTACAACCAAATACAGAGCAAAATAAGAACATGACCACAATTCATGTACGCTTTTAGTTATCCACACTGAGAGATTCAAATTCATCAGTATAACAGTTAGTTGTAAGCTTTTCTATTGTGTGCTTGTGCATGCTAACATGTATGCATGCATTCATTCATGCGTGTGTGTGTGTGTGTGTTTGTGTATGTGCACAGTAAGTGCAATCACTGTATGAATATTTTTTCACAGCTCGTCGGTCTCTCCATCGAAGGGTACAGCATCCGTCTCCATATGAATGCTGCTGGGCTCACTGCTGCCCACCCAGCCAATAGGAGTGCGGTTGAAGGAAGGCCGGCAGCCAATATCATGTTGGTACACCACTGCGGGTTCAGGCTCCTGTTTGGTCTCAGTTTCTGGCAGCTGGAATTTCAGGAACTGGTTGGCCTTCTCGAAGCCACCGTAGGGTATGGCAGACCTAGCAAAGCAAGGTGAGAGGGTTAGTAAAGCCTGTTTGTAAGACAAAGTACGTACAAAGTCGGGTTTTGAGGGAAGTACCTGTTGAAGCATTTCCATTTGGGCATATCCTTTTTATCAATGGGACCAGGCATTGTAACTTTCAGAGTGGCTATCAGATTTTCATCACCCTTCATGGCCTTCTCCCATGGCGATATGAATGTCTTCACATGCATGCCCTTCTTATTAGCATCCCCTCCACCTCCTGTGAAGAAAACAACCATGGCTAGAGCTTCAGACACACTGCACTCATTCAGAGTTGTAAAATTATATTCAACAGTCTGTGGACTGGCTAAAGTAATAGTCATGATGTCTGTCATTTTGGAAAATATTCTCATTCACTCTGTTGCTAAGAATTAGATGAGAAAATCAATACTACTCTCATGCCTGTCTGTTAAATATGTAGAACCAGCTGCTGGTTAGCTTAGCTTAGCATAGAGACTGGAAACAAGGGGGAACAACTAGCCTATTTCTTTCTGAAGGTTATAAAATCCACCTATCAGCATCATCCACACAAAAACCGGAGTGTAAAAACAACACAGTGTGGTATTACAGAGGTTATGTGCCCGACTATGTTTTGTACATATCCTTACCTTTGGACAGAGCCAGGCTAGCTGTTGACTGTTTTTCCAGTCTTTCAGCTAAGCTAAGTTAACCGACTGCTGGCGGTTGCTTTATATTTACTGTACAAACATGACAGCGGTATCTATCTTTTTATCTAACTCTTGGCAAGAAAGCAAGTAAGTGTATTTTCCCTAAATGTCAAACTATTCCTTTAAAGAGTAACTCAACACCAGGTTAAAAAGCAGTGATTTGTTGCCCAACAATGATGTCATTGGATTCTGGAGTACACCTGTCAGTCAGTGCAGCCAGGTGAGAAGTTAAACTACTGGATGTCAGCAAAGACAAGATTTTCAGGGGGTGTTACTTTAAGGTGGGATTTTACTGTACACTAAAATGTAGAGTAATTGTTAATAAGTCAGTGCATAGTCTTGGATTACAAATGTATTTATTCACTTATATCGGTATGTGGGTGCAAATTTATTTATATTTTGTTTATGTGTTTATTTTATCATCCATCCATTCCTTCGTTGAGAATGATGCAAACTAAAACACATCTAGGGAGTTATTTTGTGAATACATATTTAAATCCTTTGTGCTCAAACAGGCACTGGACTATAAAACACAATTCTCAAAAAAAAACAACAGCCAAGAAAATAATACCAACCTTTGAGTGGAGACCACTCTCCTTCTCCACCTTTTCCATGGTCGCCCCCACCCAGTTCTCCTGCTCCTCCTGCACCTCCTGCTCCTCCTGCTCCTCCTGCTCCTGCACCTTTGCTTCCAGGCTTTGGAGGAGGCACAGGGGCCCCACCTCCAGTATTTAGCCCTACAAAATGCAGCTGTCCAACGTCTTTGCTAACAAAATGCCCACCGACAGTTATTATCTGACCTCCCACCTGACCACCCAGAGAGGGAACCAACTTCTGGAGGTTGTCCTGAAAGAAATATGATCAATATTACCAACCATATGTCACACAGCACATTCATTTGTATTTGCTGATAAACCATGTCTTCTTAAAGCTATACCTGACATGCATTACTGAACACACTGAGTCATGAGCGTGTATTGCAGGCGTTTATCTTCCTCCAGACAATTATAAAACTAATCTAGCTACTTTGATTGATCTGTTTAAACATCCTTGTTCCAAGTGACTTAAAATTTAAGGGATCAAGTCCATTTACAGCTGCCCTAGTACTATGTTTCTTTCAAATTATAAATGGGTGTTTACTTAGGACAGATTAAGAATTGTAAAGTGATGAGATTTCTCCATTTAATTGAGGGATGTTTCAAGGTTTCTCTGGAATTTCTGGTTGTACTATTCATATTTTATCATTAACCTTTATTCCTTATAATTAAAAAAATGATGAAAAGTGATTTGATTATGCTCTCACCATAGACTCACTGCTGAAGATGTCTGGGTTGTTCTCGTAAATGAACCTATTCACTCTCTTCTGCCTCATCTTGAACATCTTGGATCCTCGGTTGTTCTGCAGGGAAAGCTCCTCTAGCATGATATCTTTGGGAGTCCTGATCTTTGTTCCCAGGTCGAGCTCAGATGCCTCTGGCTCCAACTCATACTCTAGGTAAAGGACATTCAAACAAATGAGTGTTATATACAGAAATGGACAAAAATGCTTTTTAAGGATTGGGATTGCAAACTGTAGTGACATGCCAAAGAGAAAACATAGGAAAACTGAAAATAATCACCAAAAACCTGTCTGATGATGGGTTGTTACACTGACATAATTATAAGCACAACCTTACGGATAACAGATGTTAAAGTATTTGCTTGTTCTCATGTTTTCAAGAGTCATATATATTAGGAGTTATTTTACAAAATGTGTGTGTGTGTGTGTGTGTGTGTGTGTGTGTGTGTGTGTGTGTGTGTGTGTGTGTGTTTTAATACCTTTTTTCATTTGTACCTTAGACATACAGTAACCCCACTTAACGTGTAAAACTAGTGCCCTATTGATAGTACCTATCACCTAACATCCATCTATTTATGTATTCTGTGTTTATATGAAAGGGCTGTACTGAGCATATGGAAATTTGGTTTCATATGCATGTAATTCCATGCCAGCCTTACCATCCTGAGTGATATGTGATAGGTCAGTTATGATCTTGGAGAGCGTTTTCCGCTTGTTTTGGGAGGCAGGTGTTCCCAGAGGCATGGCTGGAGGTTCAGGAAAGAACATGGTGTTAGCAGTAGCAGTATTAGGGTTATTATACTAATTTGAAACTGAACATGCACTGTTTGAACATATTCAGCTGTGTTAGAAGTAATTAAAGTAAACCTCTTTCTCTCAAGAGACACAAACAAAGTTATGTCAAAGCTTCTCCACTATATATATATATATATATATTTACACATTTATAATAAATTGCCATTTCTATTTCAGAATGTTTGATGAAATAAAAATACAACTTAAGCAAAAAGAAATTAAAAAGAAAAAATTCAAGCAAACAATTTTTCAATGTAGCAACTTGAGAAAGTTTTGCTTGATGTCACGAGTTAAGTTATAATGTTATATTTCACATTACATTGTTCCTATTCAAAATAATTAATTGACAGTAGTATCACTTTAAATCTGCAAATTAAGGTTGAAATGTACTGAAGGGAGTGTTTTTGCTTCAGTTTTAATGTATATTTCATACACTTGAAAGACACTTGAACACTTTGACTGCTTTGTGATTATATCTGATTGCACCAACTTCTTAAGATCACTCTTCACCGCCAACGCCTACAGCCACCAACAACCCCTGAAAGTAAATCCACAGGACCGGAATGTATTACACAGACAGACAGTATGGGCCCTGCTCATTTTTCAAGTTCAAGGGGGATGTCAGTGCCCTCAGATTCCACACATTCCCTAGTGAAACAGATGTCTGCACCAAAGAAAACATATACAGTGGCTTAATGTGTGTTTCAGCTTTGTTTGGGGACACACAATCTGTGCACAGACTCAGTCAACATAAACAGAAGCACGCTGTGGTTCAGGCCAAAATTGGTGCTTTTCCACTGCATTACTTTTAATGCAGCAGAATAGCACCAGAAGGCCTCAGGCACATAAAATAGGATCTGATCATATTCCCCAATCTGCACCCTGCATGGGAACATGTAGGCGGGGGAAGTGGGAGTAATACTTTCCTCATCTGTCAAGATAAAACTCACTGTTGAAGTATATTAACAGCCAAATTTAACAACCAATTTCTTACAACTTGTGATGCCTCCATAGTTAGTTGCCTTATGTCTTTATTTTGCACAGATTTTTGTCTTCCTACATGCATATCTGCGCCTTCAGTTCTCAACCATTTCTTTAAGGCCCAGTGAAGTGGCAAAACATCACATCACATCTACTGGCTGTAACTCAACCCACTGCAGCTATTTTTAAAAGCCATTTCAAGCCAAGACATTTTAGCGACGTGTAATGGCGTCATTCGACTATCAAATGGGCTTGACACCAATCTTAAGAACACAATACTCACCTCCAGAAAACAATTCTAAGTGAACCTCTTGCAAATCAGGAGTGAAATCGGGAGTACTTGTGGAAATTAACAAGGAGTGTTTTGGACACCATTTTAATTGCCTTAAATAACATCAAGCTTAGGGACCCCTTGCGCTCAGATTTACCACCCCCCTGTCAGGGTTTGGTAACACCATATAAAATCTCTGCAACACCCACAGAGAGGGATGGTCAGCACATTCGCCCATTCCTTTGGTCGTTTTAAGACGTACCAAGAAAATCTAAAAGCGGCAAAGTGAGTCCCAAAGCCATTTCACTTTAATCGTTGTAGAATCAAAAGCAGTCTCATCAAAAGCAAAGTAACAATCTGGTTACTTAGTTGTTGATGTCTTATTGTGCTTATTTTTCCCCCCAAGATCAGCTGCACAATACACAGAAATTGTGATTGGGAACAGGTTGCACATCTGTACTTCCTCTGCCCTTTTTTGCAGTTGCCAGCATTTAAATCCAAGCTGCTGGTTGATTAGTAGAACAAAGCACACCGATGGGATGCAGATCCACTCACCGGGTTTTTGTTGTAATCCTGGGGGTGGAGAGACAGACCTATAAATACCAAACAGAGAAGAGGAGACTCAATGCTGGTGATCTCGATCACAAGTTTACAAATCTCTCAGTGCCTCTGACCCTACGTATGGCTCGACCCAGGTCCCGGGAAGTGCAAAACCCACCCTACACTCAGATGGCAGATCTTCCAGAGGGTTGGGGTTGTGGGTGGCAGCAGTGTTGGTGTCAAGACGAGAGGAGGAGGAGGGTGAGGTTAGGAGTATGAATAGGGATTCGAGGGGGGGCATTAAGGCGGGGGGATAAGTCTCTGTTGGCCAGCTGAAAGTGCTGATGGGGATATTAAGGGAACAAAATCATTCTCGCAGATGGTTCAGAAGACTATATTTAGTAGCAAAGAACGAATGGAACAGAACTCAGCTACAAGATAACCTCAGAGGACTCTGGGGTGTGTTTGGGGTACCGACTGAAAGTGAGGGAAAGTAGAGTATGTACAAGTGCCTTGTGCAAGTTTAAGGTTAAGCATATTTGTGTATATTAAGGCCATGCCAGTTTGTGTTTCATTGTGAGGGTTAGCACCTTTACTCCCTACATAACTCTAACCTGACTAGATTGTCACATTTTCAGTTTCTCTGAAGCATCATGACTGGACATGATGGACATGTTAAATCACAGCTATAATAATATACAATGCATGGGATGCCCGGTTAGCTCAGTGGGTGGAGCTGGCTGAGTCCTTGCTGCAGCAGCCCAGGGTTCGAATCCGACCTGTGGCCCTTTGCTGCGTGTCATCCCCTCTCTCTCTGCCCCCCTGCCCTGTCTGTCTTCAGCTGTCAAATATAAATAAAGGCAATAAAATGTATGTCTTCTCTTTTGTGATTTTCTTTTTTTTTCATTTTGAGAGCATCCCAACAAGTGCAGCATGAATGCATGAAACATTTAGTTTTCAAGTGAAATGATTTTAAAGTTCTTGTTGTTGCCAGCATTTTGGAAATACTAAAGTCATGAGTCCAAAGTCCCTCAGCACAACCCCCCAGCCTCTCTGTCCCAAATATAAAATATATTTTTACTACAGACTAAAAACATCAGCATATTTTTTTAGACATGATGGTTATTAATGTTGTTTCAAAGCTGTCTCCACAATGCAGCAATTTATTTAAAAGTCACCATGTTTATTTTAGGTGTAATTATAGAATATAAACTTCTCCTCAGGTTGTTAAAACCTCCAAATTCCCTAAAAACACATGGAGGACATCCATGTCCTCGATTGTACCTATGTTTTCTACCACACCAGTAATTGCAAAGTTTGGTATATTAGAAGGAAGAAGAAGAAGAAAGAAGAAAGAAATGTGTCATAATCTCGTATCTTACCACATATTGCTGAAACGTGACACGTGTAGCACAAGGTCTTATGCATCTATTTAAATTAACAATTATATAAATTCTGCTTTTTCTAAACAACAAAATCTTAATCTTAAGATATAAAATTAATTGATTCCCAGAAAACAGTATAAAGTCTAACATAGAGCGGTGGTTCCCAACCAGGGGGTTGGGACCCCCACTAGGGGTCGCGAAGCCTTCTCTATTTTAAGGGGTGTAAGAAAATATTCACAGTAGGCCTGTATCTCAGAATTTCAAACACTGAAGTTGTAAAAAAAAAAGTGTATTAAGTATGTATGAAAACATAATACAGACAAAAAACTGTATAAAAATATCAGGAAAACTCATCTCCGATCAATATTCACATGAAATAATCTGCTCAAAAATCTTCCAGCAGTTATTGTGTTCTCAGTTGTTATCTACTGTTATTGTAATGTAATAATGTGAATTATCCATAAAAAAAATAACTTTCTTAGGGGTCTGTTTACTCAATGGTAGGAAAGGGGTTCCTTTAAGGGAAAAGGTTGGGAACCACTAACATAGAGTATATACTAGAGTCTAAACTGTATACTGATCAGTATTTGTTTGATCGAAAAAGTTTCGCAAATGGGCCTGGCATCTGTGCAAAACCACTAATGGCTTTGTAAATGGCTTACTTATATTTGGCTCAGTTCTGCCTGTTTTAAGCATGCTCTCGTCCAGCCTTGACCCCTCAGTACTCATCTGCTATATGATCATATCATACACACAGATGCCATAGTAAGTGAAAGGTTTTCGGTCTTGCTGCTGACCACCTGGGGTCCTACATAAAGGAAAATCTACCCTTTGTTGTCTGGGTCCCTGTTGCCTCTGGAGCAATACATTTTTTATTGCACTGTCTGTGTCCTTTTCTATTTGTGTATGTATTACAGAGTTATTCTATGAGATTTTCTTTGCTGGCTGTAGGAACCCGTCTTGTTTTAATGGTCACATTTTAGAATAATTCCTTCATGTTATTATTTTTGACACACCTCAACAAGCTTCCATGCCTCCTAAGAAACTTGGAAATATTCATGTAACCCACTCTAGAATATCTCTGGGTCAATGGATTCATTGTCAAATGGAGTGCCAACCAAATATTAGCATTAAGGGAAGAGGGAGACAAGGGCCGACATGACATCAAGAGAAGTGAAGAATTAGATCATCTGATACATTATCTGGTTATCTAACTGTAGTTTTATTTCTAGTTCTGTTACTAGAATTGATTATATGATTTCATGCATAAGTACCGTGGAGTAATGTACCTGGAGATTTAATACATCTTCAAAAAGAACTTTCCAAAAGCTAAGAAGCCAGTTTTATTTTTTCATTTGATCTTTTTAAAGCAGTTATTATTAATTACAGTAGTGTCCTGGCAAAATATAATTTTCTCTATAAATAGTCTGTTTGGATATTAACAGTCCTATATATAGGCACCTTGTGAGTGTTGAGGTTGGCAACAAAATGCCCTTCTAATTGCACACTCAGTCAGAGAGGAGTCCAACACAGACTCCACAGCACCACTTTGTGGCAAGTGTTCATTTAGACAAGACAAGAAAATAGTTTGTGCCCTCTAGTGTGCCCTTCCAGTGGACAAAATGTGATAAAGTGCCCTCTAGGGTGCCCAGTCTTCTTTAGATTGGGTATCTGGCTTAAGCCTGATTGTTTTTTTAGCAGCTAAACTCTGCATTCCAAATAAGTATTTTGTTCTAATATTTTTAGAAGCCCAAAAAGGAGTTTGTCCCAGCTGAAAGTCATTTTTGTCTTGACTAATTCTGTGTCTTACGCCAAAAAGTGTTAACTTTTGGACAGGCTTTGAACAACTGGTAGTGATTTGCTTCCTGGGAGCCACAGTTCCTTCAGCAGTTGAAAGAGCCTGAGTGGTGATACTTCTGATAGGTATAATAAAATATCTGCTCAGACTCTTCTATCCAAATGCTTTCTATAAGGTTGAGCCTGATATCCTCCACTGAAATTCACAATATTTTGTTCAGACTTCCACTGGGATGCAACTGTGAGTTTGACTTTTATATTTTTGTTTTATTTAGGTGGTACCTCCTAAAGACCCCTCTATAGTCTTTAAGCCCTGAATCTGTCCTCTCCTTTAAAATAATCTCTTAAACATGGCCCTCAGTGGCACAGACTACAATTGCTTGCATACACATGTTTTACACATGGTGTTTTCTTTTACCCCAAGAAATTAGCTCAGCTTGTTGTAATCCTTATAATTTTATAAATTTTAGTCTAATATCTTATTATCCTGTTATATTCTGTATCTGTTCAATTAATCACCTTATTTTGAGCAAAGTACTCAAACCAAACCTGAAGACTACTCTGACTAGTCTAGAAGGATAATGATTCCCTTGCTGGGTCATACATTTCACAGAGCTGGGACAGAATATGCTGAGCTCAGCTTAACCAGCAATAGCAATTTTGCTTTATGAAACAACCCTCAGAATTTGTCACCAACACTGCAATTAATCTTTGGTCAAATGTTTATCAGCTAAAATCTGAGTGAAGTATGTTCATTGAGGCCACACTGTAACAAAAATAATTACCAAATATGCTTCTAATACTTACTAAGAAGTGTGTGTGTGTGTGTGTGTGTGTGTGTGTGTGTGTGTGTGTGTGTGTGTGTGTGTGTGTGTGTGTGTGTGTGTGTGTGTATTTTCTCCTGTAAAACAGGCTGTAAATAAATTTTAGCCTTTGAGTGTATAGTTAAACATATATTTTTTATTAAAGTAATGTACAGTTACAATTATTGCACTACTCACTTATGAATTGATTGCATGCATGTGTATACAGTACATTAAAAGAAAAGTGCAGGATTACACAGTCAGCAACAGGGGGCAGTGTAAAATCAGACATGTCAGACAAGTGGAGCACTTTCAAGTCTAATTTTATTCCTCCAAAAATGTCTTGTCTCCTAGTTAGTATAAACTTCTACTCAGCATTAATAACAAACATTTTCACTCTTATTATTTAATCAATCTACATTCAGAAACATGTATTTATCGTATTTTACCCCTTAACAAATACTATATCCACACTCTAGATTTTTCTTTGCCATAATATTATGAAAACAACAAGACAAAGCTTTAAGAGTGAAACTGTAAAAAATAACAAAAGTATCTCCCCAAAAATTCCACCACTGAAAACAACATTCATTTCTTTGTTTCTTGCTTGTTTCCATTAGCATACCTAGTCTCTCAAGGTCATATAGCCATTAAATAAGTTCATACTTACTTTTCAGTAACAACCATTGTTAATTAAAAGACTTCTTTCAATTAGCTTCTTTAGCTTTACCAACAAACTTAAGGTACCAAACTTTCCCTTTAACTTCTACAGGCTGTGGGATTCAATAACTATGTACAATTCAACCCTACTATAAGTCCCAATATGCCATGCAACCAGATCTGACCATAACCCTTTATGTGAAATGGTGGGCTATGACCAAATTTAGTAAACTGGCCAACATATATACTGCCTATATCCCCCCTCCACAGCCACTCTCATTTCTTGAACCCTTTTATAAATGCTGGTGCCTCTCAGTGAGTCAACTTCCCCTTGCACCACTTCAGATTAAATCACAATTCAACAAAACAAAATACACATTCCTTCATCTGTGTTATTTGTTTAATAAAAGTTAAGAATTTACATATATCTGCAAAGATCACACTCATACTAAGGAGGTTCTGCCTAGTGGCATTTGGAAGCTGTGGTATCCAGTGACAAGTGTACACTCAGTGACAGCCTGGGCACTTGTTGAATGTGACCCATGCTAAAAAGATAGCATTTCTCTCTGGCTATAGTGAGCAGAGGTATTTGGCACAACCTTGCTAACACTTGCAAGAGCAAACCTTGTCTTCTCATATAGTTTCACAGTGAGCTGAGGTGTTTAAAAACATTTTACAATTTTCAATGTGTCATGCATCATTAAACCCCCTGGACAAGTAGACTAGGTCATCATGGGTTTCTTCTTGATAATGTTACAGACAGAGTGGATAAAAACATTTTGTGCACATCAGTTAGTAGGACAAGTACTGAATAACTTGCATGTTCAAAGATGAAAGCCTGCTAGTTTTGCTTTATGATCCTCCACCTGTCAACATACTACAACAAACATCTTCAGTGATTTAATCCTATGATCATGACCACAACTATTCATTTTCACCATCTTTCAGACATTTCAAGTTTCAAAGAATATTCAGTACAGGCTCTGTTTAGATAGTATTTCTACTACATTAGTAGAAAGAGATCTCCAGAAGCCTTACAAAACCTCCCCCAGGACAGGCATATGGTGGACTATACAGCATACAGTATGTTCTAGTATATGTCGCTCAGCTACATGTGTGAGTAAATGTGTTGGCAGCAAAATAAATGTGATAACCAGCAATTTGAACAGCAAGTACATGTTAATGATCCACCATTATTTAAGTTGTAACATATTTCAAAAAAGTTGTATTTCAACTTTATACCTAATTACTTATGTTGAGGAATAATGAATGGAGGTAGGGCTGCTTCTTTTCATTAACTGTCATTACTCATCTCATCATTGAATTGATGAGAGAATTGTCCATGACAATTTCCCTAAGCCTAAGGTCATATCTTAAAAATGATTGTTTTCTGTAATAAAGATATTCAATTAACAGAGAAAATCAGAATATGGTCACATTTGAGAAACTGGAACCCATGTTTTTTTTTGGCATTTTTCCTGACTTAAACAATGAACCAATTAACAAAATTCATTTTCTGTCAATAATCAACTAGTTATTTCAGCACTAAATGATTAGTACATGTCCAAGTGTGGTAGTGAATGATTAACTGATTCACATTGCTCCTGGCCTCCAGACACGGGGTTGGACGCCTCCCTTGGTGGCAACAAAACGTGGTTTGGGTGCCTGAACTGGTTCGGGCTTCAGTGGGGGTAAAGAAGCGAGGATACTGAGCTCAGGAGCACTTTGGAACTGCTTAGCTGTCTGGAGCCCAGTGGTGTATGATACTGGAGTGTAAGGTGTAGGGACTGCATGGGGCACAGGGTTATGAATAGGGGTAGAGAATTTTGGGAGGCTGGGCAGTCCAGCTGGTTGGGAAGGAGGTAAAGCTGGGTTTGGGGCACTGACTGGTGCTGGTGTAAAGAGAGGGGCTGGGGCTGGAGTGAAAGGAACAGGAGGTGGGGAGATCATACCAGAATGAGTCAAACGTTCTCCAAGTGTAGTGGCTGAGCGGGGTGCAATGACTTTGGGAGTCAGAGTGGGAGCTGACATGGGTGTGGGTGTGGAGAATCGCTTGACCTCAAAGACACGGGCTGTTTTGAGAGGGATCTGCCTAGGTGAGGTTAATGAGCTGCCCACCATTGGTGTTGTGTAGTCACCCTGCTGCTGCCTCTGGGCCTGGTAAGAAGGCATAGCTGACAGATTAGCAGTACTACCCCCATAGTTGAACATGGCAGAGTTGAGCTGGTAGGGCTGTCTTCTCATGAAATCCAGTGCCTTGATGCCCTCTCTTTGGGAGCCTCCTCTACCCCTGCTGTCTGGTTTGCCTATATCCCTCTGAGGCCCAGTAGGGATGGAGGGGGCCAGAAGTGGGTTGTACCCAATGGGTGGAGGGGCACGGACATTCGGAGAGTATTTCCACTGAGAGGGAAAGGAAGGATTAGGGGAGTAATCAAAGGGTTGTGCTGCACTGTGCGAGGCCACTTCCTGCTGGTAAGGGGTCTCGGATGGGGTGTCCACTACGTACATACTCATGCGGCTCTGCCTGCGGGCAAACAGCTGGGCCCCCTTACCCCCTGCTTGAAGAAACTGTGGGGCCTCATGGATGACTTTAGGCTTAGGTGCCACTGGAGGAGGTGCCCTCCCCATGCTGACCTCCCCACTCTTCTCCTCCTCTGCACCATCATGTAGAGTCTCAGATTGGCCATATTTGTATCGGCTGGACCTGTCATCCAGGTTCTGCACCATAGACAATAGATCAGGATTTGGAGATTTCTTTGTGACATCTGGCACATTGAACATAGGTTTGGGTTTGCCACCACGCCGTCGAGCCTCAAGTAAGATTCCTGTACGACCTGTTGGACCAGGAACAGGGGTTGGAGCTACAGCTTCTGGTTGGGAGACCACTGACACTGTTGGGGCCATAGAAAATTGAGGTGAAAGTGGCTGAGCCACTGGCACTTGACGTGGGGGCAATGGGGCAACTGGGTCAGCTGAACCAGGAAATTGAGATACAAGAAGAACTGGGGCTGAAGCCATTGGTGCTTGTTGAGCCACGGGCATTGAAGGAATACACACTGGGGGCACATTTGCAAATGGAGCATGATTAACAATCGTTATTGGTGGTGATGACTGTATTTTCTCTAGAGGTGCAGAGATGGCTGGAGGGTGAAAGGTAACAGGAGCTTCTGGTGTCAGGTCTAAAGGACCTTGAGGTACAGAGGATGGTGGGGGGAACACTGACGGAGGACTAGGGGGTAGTAGAGATGTTACTGATGAAGCATTAATGTTTAGTTCAGAGGCAGTGGAGAATGGTGGTGGCAAAACAGCTGCTGAGGCAGGATGCTGGGTCGTCTTTGTGACTGGTGGTCGAAATGTTACAGGGGCAGTCGCAGATCGAATGCTGATAAAGCCAGGAGTGAAAGGACGTGCTGTTCTGTTGAGAACATTACTAGCAGATAATTCTGGTAATGGTGTTTCAGCTGGTGGTGCAGGTCTGGTCAGAATAGTAACTGAGGCAGTGGCTGGTTTGGGTGCCACCGGTGGAGGTGACATCACCATACAAGCTGTACTAACTGCAGAGAAGGATAAGTCCCCATTAGACATTCCATGAGCTGCAACTGGACCTGGAGCCTGGGAAATATCTTGCTGTGTGGCTGTAGGACCAGGTGGTATCATCTTCTGAGGCTGGATGTTTGGTTGCATCTGTGGTTGTATCTCAGGATTCAAGTGATACATTTGAGCCTGCTCCTGGACTTGAGACTGTGGAGGAGCTTGTGGTTGTGCTGCCTCAACTTTCTTGGCATGTTCAGCAGCCCTCTTTCTCTGTTGCTCAAACAACTGGGCACCCTTGCCTGCAGTATCACTCAGCCCTGGACTCGGAGCATCCTCTGCCCCATCCCCACGACCTTCAGTGCCTGCAGTTGCCCTCTTCTCCAGCATATCCAAGTAGTCACTATCCCAAGTTGGGTCAGGAACTGCTGAGAAGCCATCGTCATCAAACTCTGATTCGCTGCCAGGAAATACTCCATCCTCCTCTTGTGAGTCCTGACACCTATCCTCATCCACGCTACCAAAGCTGGTGAGGGTGTACTTCTTGGATCGCTGCCGCCTCTTCTTGAACATCAGCACACCCTTAGAGTGAGGGTTGGGAGCATCAGTCAGTAGGGACGCAATTGTTCGGCACTTGCTTTTGGCTTCCTTTACATGCTTGTCTTGCTGTGTGTCCCCTCGGTTCAGTTCTGCAGAGTATAAAAGCCATAGCAGTGAGTAATAGTTTCACAACAGCATAACATAACTTCTGCAGTAAGGTCAGAGAAGTCTGAATTAACCGATTTAACCTTTCAAACAAAAACTGACTCTGACATGAGCATCTAAACCTCTCCTGATCACCATGCCTCCAACAGGCATCCATCTCTTAACTTGCCACAGGAGCACTTCTGGGAAAATTCCAGGCAAGCCTTCAGCTTTTCACATTATCTGGGGTGAAGGATACATTTACACATTATTAGTCTTATGTACTCTGACATCTAACTTAACTAAAAATATTTACAAGCTAGTGGAAAGGTGCATGTTGTAGGTGACTGGAAGGAGAACTTCAAAGGGTAGCCACAACATATCCTTTAACTTGTTGTGGAATTAAGCAGATTATCATAGGCAACCTAATTCTGTTACCCAAATATGCACTGCCATGTGAAGGGGAGTTCTTAATTTGCCTAGGACAGGATTCCTTAGTAGGACATTGGAATGTTAAACCTTCAGTGATGGCAAGGGGGATTTACAGGAGTACATTTATTTAAGTTCTTAAAACAGCCCGTTGACTTCAAATAGCCCACCTCTGTCCTTTTCCTAGGCTTATTATGGATGATGGACAGGAGGACAAGTTATAGGAAAGAATGCTTGCTCAGTGCTCTGTATCTGTTGTTGTGTCAATAAGACTTGACATGTTGATTGTTCAGGCTTCACTAGAAATTATGATATGCAGTAAACACTATGAAATTCCAGCTTCCTTTTGTGACATTTTAGATACGCAGTCTTTGGCTGCAAGCCGAGGGGACAATTCCATGTTCTGTTTTATATCTGTGAAATACTATCTTATCATCCAGCATAATGGAAGCACAGCTCTCTATCTTTGTGCACCTTATATAGAAACAAATCTGTCATTGTGGTGAGAGCCAACTTATGTCATATTGAGTGTTGCATCATGCTTGTGCAAAATAGCAGATGTACCAAGAGAGGAAGAGTGGGGCAGGGAAAATGAGAGTGTGTCTGCTCTGCTACTTGATACCTAAAAGCAGCTGTAGATGCTTTTCAGTGCTCCCAGATTGATCACTGGGGTTTTTACAAACATAACTAGAGGCAAATATAGTAAAACTTACCAGCTGTGCTCTATTTAACTTAGCTTAGGTTGACACCCATGCAAACTGGACTACTAAAATGTAGGTATTTTCAGTACAGTACTGTTGAACCCTCTGCAAATATCTCTTATTTTTTTTTAATTATCTTGGAGGTTCAGAGAAACATGCCCCTGAAAAAAGGAATGTACTGCACATATAATCCAAGCAAAGTAAAGATATATTTTAACAATGAGGACTTTTTTGTGTTTGGGTATATGGTAAGGTAAAGAACAGTATCAAAACAAGAATTCTTGAAAAAAATATCAAAATCCGTAGCTGTTCAGAGGGGTGGCTGTGTCTCAGAAGGTAGAGCGGGGTATCCACTAATCAGAAGGTTGACGGTTTAATCCCCAGCTCTGCTGCATGGCGAAGTGTCCTTTAGCGAGATACTGAACCCCAAATTTCTCCTGATGCTGTGCATCGGTGTATGAATGCGGTGAGTGAGTTAGTTTCTGTTTTTGATGGCCTTTGTCATCACTGTATGAATGGGTGAATGTGGCATGTAGTGTACAACAAATAGACATGTATTTAACTCTGTGTAGGGTTTGAAAAAGCAACCAGTGAATGTTATCAGGGATGTAAACCTAAGAGCGGAGAACCCATGTCAAACACAGGTGAGGTCATTGTTCTTCCTTAGCTGTACTTACTGGCTTGCTTGGCCTTTTCCATGTAGGTTGTTGTAAGCTCCTCGTCAATGGGTTTATTCACAGGACCCACCATGGGCACAAGCTGGCTGCGGGAACCCAGCATCAGGGCCTCCTTTGCCCTCTCAGGGGACACCAGTGGCACGTTGGCTGGCTCGAGAAAACCACTATCCTCCTCTTGACCTCCATCCCGTGGCCCCTGGTCATCTGCGGAAGAGATGATGGAGGAGGTCTCAGTGGATGTCTGGGAGGACCACATTCCAGGAGGCTGGTAAATCACCTCCCTCCGCGCCACCCCAGGTAGCCCCCCTCCTCCATCTCCATCTCCCCCACGTCCATCCAATAAACTTTGGTAAACATGTGCATCTGGAGCGCTGTCATAGCCACTCATCTCTGACGTTTCCCCGCCCTCAGGGGAGGCTCGTCCTATTGGTTTCCCTGGGTTGGAGTTGCTGGGGCTGCGACGTTTCTGCCGGCGCTGCCTCTCATAGCCTGCCACGTCTGCATCACTGTCAGTCTCGCCGTAGTAAGCCTCACTACCAGGGGGAGATGTCAAACCACTGGTCAAGGAGGAGCGGCTACGGTGGACCTCACGGATGGGTGCATGGTGGGGGGTGGGTGGGTGACATGGCACGTAAAGCAGCGCGGTACTCTTTGTCTATACGGGGAGATGGGGCTCGGGTCACAAGCACCACAGACTGAAAACCAGCAGGCACCCTGCAAACAAGTGGATGGTTTAAAATATCTATGGGGCCAAATAAAGGCCCTTGTATGTGATATTATAATCAAAATGTCAAAATCTGGAATTCATCTTTTCTTAAAGTAGGATCTTAGCACAAGCAGCAGAAACATTTGCTAGTCCATTTTTTGGGGGGAGAATATAATATATGGTATCAAAAACATGCGTATTGTAAATAGTGTTTTGTGTCAGAGTTTAGTCTTTAAGTCTTGTGCATAATATATTTTTTTCTTGATCCATTACAATAGGTTGATAATGGTTTATCACTTGTAAGAGGATAGGTGTTTTGTTCCTCTGACCTTCTAACCCGGATGTGTAGTATCCCAGGGGAGCTGTCAATGATGTCCATGGCCTGGGCATGGGATAGCGTTCCACATGGCTGTTCGTTGATGGACACCAGCTCATCAGCCTCCCGCAGCCCAGCCCTGCATGCCTTGCTGCGTTTACGCACCTGCACAAGCAAGAAAGGCAAAATTTCACTTACACTGAGGAAAAATGTTGAGTTTTGATGGGCTGAAGCTTTTATTATCTAAATCGATAGTGATAGCTGAAGAGTGTAGAAGGAATGGAAGAGAGAGAGAAGGAATGACACGCCAGAGATCGAAGTCGAACCCCTGGCCGCTGCCCGCTGCAGCAAGGACTCAGCCGTGGTACATGGGGTGCCAGCTCTACCAGGTAAGCTGTCAGGATGCCCCATGGGTTGAGTTTTGATGCAAGTCATTAAATGGAAGGGCATATGTGCGTTTGTCTGTTCTGTGTTAATAGTGTTTTTCATCCTGCCAAGATCAAATCCTTACAATCCACAAGATTAGTGATTAAATATTTAAGGTGTGCAGCTATGCAAGGCTTGGCTGATGCTGTCATATTTATAATCTATTGATTGTTCCGTCATAATCAAAATGCTATGTAACTCAAGTCTCAAGTTTTGGTTTCCCTGCAAATTTTATTATTTCCCTTAGAATTGTGTGTTCAGCTGCAACTGCAGGGACAAAAGAAAAAAAACCTGACAGAGGTATGCTGCTGTCTTGTCTTGGTTTGTGATGGTGACTGACAGAAAGCAGATTTTGTCCTGACAGCTCAGTCTTGCTGCGGACATATGCCACATATTGCATCTCGAGTGGGGCACTCGCACACACTTTAACAGGGAAATGCCAGCCAGCAGCCATCTTCATTTGGTGCTTTGCTATTTGTGCCCAAGGTCTGTCAGGACCATGGCGTTATGCCCACCCTAAATTGCCTCAGGTCTATGCAAGCCATGTCGACATGTCCCATAATAAATTCAAAGCAGAATGACTGCAGTGTTGATTGCTCTCTGTGAGGGCACTGTCCTGTATTGAATGAATATTGAATGATATTAAATGAAATGAAGAGAGATAAGAAAGCATTGCTTTGGTTGACCTAATTTGTTTTCTTTCCAGCTATTCTGGTTAGCCTGTAATGAAATCCCACATCCGCATTTAGCTGAGCCTTTCAAAGAGGACTGTGCCTACTTGTGGTAAAGGATGTCAGTTATTTATTCAGTCAGTCACCTTGTGGTTGCAAGTCATAACAATTATAATACCCTTACATACTTGCACACACCACATGAACTGATACAAAAATACAAATAAACTCATATAAACACACAGATGCACACATATATGCCCACAGGCTGATACAGATACTGATACACTGGCTCTTTCAGTGAAGTATCAAACTGCTCCACCTGTTCTGGATGGTATTGTATGAGACCTGACAAGATAACGCCTTCCTGCTCTCAAGGGTGAAGGAGCATGCTGTTTTGGATAGTCGGACAGAAACAGCTGTCATCCACAACCATAAAGGTGATTTGGTGTCCCGTGGCTCTGTGTACATGCTACCACATTCTGCATAAGTCAACTACATGTAGGATTAACATTTTAAAGAGCAAACATACTGAAGACTTAAGTACTGTTTATAATAAGTTATTGTTTTCTGAATATGGTGATTGTCTCAGAGGTGTAATCTAGAGGTTCATGATCCTTAGCTGATGGTTTTTTTTCTGTTAACCGTAACATTACCTGATGAGAACTGTTACCGATGTCTTTTTATATAAACGTAAAGGTATATGACCCTTTTCAGTCGCATTGACCAACCAGAGGGACAGTCCTTGAAAACTCTGTATTATGTGGACAAACCCGTAAGACGTTTTAGTCTAGACCAAGTTTTTAAAGATACTAAAATTGGATTGGATTGTTTGGTAAATATGAACAAAATTATGAACAGGACATGATAAAATTTCACTGAACTGAAGTAGAAAAGAATATACTGTATATGATATTGTCATACAATTTGGGAAGAAAGTTAAAAATAAAAGCTTAAGCTACTTCAGGGAAGATTTATTTGAGAATCAGGATTGAGGTGGCTCTCTGGGTCATTCATTCACAGCCTCACAACAATATGGAGTACAAAAGACCTTTAGCAATTAGGATTTCCTTTCCATCTCAACCTGCAAAAAAGTCACAAGTTCTTCCCATAGCAGCTAGATACTAAGTAGTGCATGTACAAAAATAGTGTATGAGGTTAATTTTTGACTGAGCTGAAATACACACCTTGGCTGACCCCGTGACCTGCTGCTTCCCAACCAAAAATAGACAACTGGAAAAGTCATTCTGCTCAGTCAACAATTATTGAAAATGTGTGTAGATATGTGAGTTTGTGTGATGTGTTACATGTATTCGTGTGTGCATGCAGGTGCAGGTGTACTAACACCTGAACTATCATATCCAGTAATAAGATCTCTCTGGATAAGATTTCATAGAGGAGAAAGCTGGGCCAAGTCTCTGCCAACCAGCAAGGAAGAGGTTGGTAAAGCGAAGAGCAGTGGCTGTGGATTGATGATTCTTACATGTCACAGATCACGATGACACTGAGTATTTACTTAATATTTTGTGTCTTTTTCTCAGCTTGAAAGCCTAATTAATCCTTTTATCTAGTATATATTCCACTTTGGCTTACATGCCAATCTTTGCTTTCTCAAATGAAGATCAAGATTCAAATCTGGACTGCTTCACTGCTGCCAAATGTGGATACCAAATTCTTCTTAAGAATTTGCTCCAGGGGAGTAAAATGAGCTGAGAGGCTTTGTATGAGAGTTATAAGATTAAATATTTTGTATACAAAATTAATGTATTCTTTAAGTGGACTTTTTTGTACACAAGAAGATTCTCACAAAGCAATTTAATTTTATTTTATATCACCGACGGCAATGTGGCTTTGGTCTGGCCTGAACTACAGCCATTTTAAGAACTAAACTAAATACAGACTTTTATGACATACATTGCTCATTTGTATAGTTTCTACTTTTATAACAGTGATTCCTAATAAATCTCAGGTAACCTGCCAGTTTAAACATGACCAAGCATGGCTAGAGTGAGTTCAGTTTCTTACTGAAATGATGATGTAATGGAAACATGCTAGTTCAATAGCGCAAATATGATTGTGGTCATGGGTGAATGGTGTGTAATATCCAAACTATAAAAACAAAGTGACAGTCATTAAAATGATGACGTACCAAAAATCTTTGCTGCAGTGTGTACATTTCACTGAGTCAGTAACACAAAGTCATGTTTTTTGTCAAGAACAAACCAAGAAACCAAAGATTTCTGGTCAGCACCTCTCTAATTTCACTAGAACTTTGAGCTTTGTGTAGTTTAATAACAGAAGCAGCATTCAGTGGAAGATATGCAACATGGTTGCCCTACATTCCCAGCTGAACTTGAAGTTTAAAGTTCACCCAATCAATCATCGGTGTGCCTCTGCATGAAGACCGTTCTCAAACAAGATGATGACTCACATTCAAGCCCCAAACCAACTTGCATGACAGCCAATATTCCATGTCAACTCGGTTCACAGCTTCTTAAAACTCTGCCTAATACATCTGAGCTGATATTTCACTTCTCTTTAGCGAGGCAGTTGAATCTAACACAGTTTTCGACTCTCTACTCAGCAAACCATGAAACGACTGATTCTGTCCAACCTGCTCAGTGACCCGCCTTACCTTAGCCACCTGAAGTGGTTTCTGATGTTCCACACCTCCCTGGAGACGAAAGCCCCATGGTGCTCCACCGGACAATGTAATTATCACTTCCTCTGCAACCATTGTTCTGCTTTTTCTCTGTTTTTTTTTTTTGCTTCTCTTCTTTTTCTTGGTTATTTTCCGCTCCTCTTTGGTTTTTATATTTTGTCTGGGGGGCCCTTAGTGCATTGGCCCCATGGTCAGCAATCAGGGCCCCCTCTCAGAGCTCTGATCTGCTCTTTGTCTGCCACACTGTCCAGACGCTCACTCCTCTCTGAGTCCAGCTCCAAGGCCGACGTCCACACCTGAACACACACACATGCACACACACACTTCTGTGCACCCACCCATACCCAGAGTGGGCCAACCATCATAGGCAGGCCAAAGGAGAGAGAGAGAGAGAGAGAAGGAGAGAGAAATATGGGGGGTGGGGGGGTCTGTGTCTGCTTACACTGAGGAATGCCTGCCCCAAATGAGTGAGGGGAGGGTCCAATGCAACACTTGTCCCGTCACTCAGACCTATGTCACTAGGTTGCTGATAGCCTCTCCGAAAATAGTACACCACCACCATCTCCGTTGCTTTGCCTGTTTGTCTGCAGACCAAGGGAAAGTTAACATTCAGAACATCCAAATGGCACTGTTTCCTATCGGGCTTTACAGCATTGAGGTCATTAGTAACTTTTAGTCATAGCCAGACTCTCAAATCTCAGGGCTGAGACTTGCCGTGATAGGACATTCATCTCTTGATTAGTTACATTCAACTTTGCTTCGATTTAGTTTAGAAGTGCTTGATGTAGACAATGACTGGGCTGATCATAACTGCTGAGGCTGCTGTGTATCCTGCCAGCTGCTCTGTATCTGAAGACATTCTAGGTTGTCATCATAGAGCCTTTAGGATAAATACTTACGCAAGCTCTGGATCAACAGCCTGCATAGCTACATTGAAATATGTCCCACCTGAAGACACAAGAAAAACAAATGTTGTTTTGTGAAACGGTTTCTTGTGGTGTAGACTAAAAAATCACAGAGACATGATAATATCTCTCCTGGTAGGCCGACATAGTTTAATCCTGGCACATATTTACCTTTATATCCAGGAATCTGTCACAATCGGACCCCGCATTCTTACACCCCAGCCAAACTCTTACATGTGGTGGCAGCTGTGGAGAGTCTGAACAAAGATATTTAACACTCATACAAACAAGACTAAGGGTCTATGCCCTCAACTCTGTGAAGCTGTATGAGGCACAGTGGTACTTTGTTCTAAAATTCTAACATCAGCACGTTAGCATGCTCTTAATGACAATGCAAATGATGTTCACCATCTTAGTTAAGCATGTTAGTTACTAAACACAAAGTACAACTGAGGTTGATGACAGTATTTGTACTGGAAAAATTAAACTTTTGACCTGATGGAAAAATGAAGGGATCACCAATGTCAATATAATTCATCCTTGTGGCACCATGGATGGAATTCATACACTAGATGTTAAGATATTTAAGTCTGGACCGAAGTGTTGGAAAGACCAACAAACTGGCAGACTGACATTGCCATCCCAAGAGCTACGCTACTGGCATGGCTAAAAAACGTTTCAGATTTACAGCTCCAGTAACATTCGGTCAGGTTCAAACTGGTACATTGCCAGTTTTATGCATTTTGATTTTGAAATAATGTTGAAAACATTTTCATACGCACATTTAAACTCTCAATTTTAAGCTTATATTACATTTTCCTGCATTTTTCTTCTTAAATATAGTTGATATTGATTCTGTAGCTTATTCTAGTTGCACCCATTTTTATAACCACTGTACAGGTGAAACAAAGCAACATATGTGGTCATATCAGACAAAATGGCCATACGTTTTTGAAACATTTAAATAATGAAGCCCATGACCCACTTTTACTTTGGTTCTAACTTTTTTTTTTTAATCTTTCTCCTATCTCTTCTTCCCTCCTGGTCCTTATCGTTCTTGTTTTATGTACATCTTATGTACAACTTACACTTAAAACTCTAATTGTAATCTAAAATAAGTACTACAAAAACACAAATAAACAACGCAATCTCCATGGCACACAGTCTCAGCACGTAAATTTGCTTCGACTACATTGTATTTTCCTTTGGGGCATTGACAGTCCTTTAAACCTGTTGATTGAGGCTGGATGATCCCCCTTGCTAGAAAAGCAACGCTGCCATTATCAATGCAGCAGGAGGTTACCAATGATAGCTGCTCCCTTTGGCAGCCTTGCCCTGCAGCTGTCTCCAGACCTCAGGATAGTAACCAAGATCAGTCCTGGGTCAGACACTCTCACCCTCTCTTTATGGAGACGATATCAGAGCTAACAGAACACTGCAGTTAAAGCATAGCTTTAGTTACTAGTTACTTTGCAGATTTATATAATTCATACAAAATAAAAATCAATGAATACATTATCATATAGTTAAAGGTTAAGCTACCTAGCAGTATATAAAGTAATTCAAATTAGCCCCACATCAACCAGCTTTAGTGGGCCTTCTAGCACTTTTTATTTTTACTTAAGTAAGACTTTTACTTTTAACAGTGTTAATGAGTGTTTTTTATACTGCAGTATGTATACTTTTTATTAAGTAAAATCTGAATACTTCTTCCACCTCTGGTTTTAGCTATACTGAGATTATTAGGCTACAGACAGTGTTTTACATACATTTCTAACACTATTGTTCAAATTCTTACATCCTTCAAAATCTAAAAAACTAAACCATAATGCTGTCTCAGTATTATTGTAAGAAACTTGAAATATCCTCTAACTTTGTGAGCAATCAGACGAAAAAGTCTCCACACAAACACTGCCATTAGAGGAGTGAGAAGTCTAAGAATATACAATTCTGCTGTATGCTGTCAGTGACAGTTTCCCTGTCAAAGTAAACAAGCACTACATTGCAGAGGCTTTCAGTAGGCAGTCCCACAACAAGTCAGAAGAGGTCTGATAAGTCACTTTGCCCAGGACAGAAGTTGGCTGTCTTTCAAGAAAAATAAAAAGGTCAAAATCCATATGCAGCAGCATGGCTGAGATGTTTTACTTTCCCCTGTGGCTCCATATATTTTTGATTCCATATGCTTTCTATTGTGCTGTGGCAGCAACATTAATTACAGTGGTGCTAGGAGTAGAGCAAAGATTTGTAGATTGTTGCTTTAACACAGGAAATGGAGGAAGCTCAGTGTTTTTTCCTGTGGACATGGGAGAACTGTTAAGTGAGACGACTGCTTCACCCCTCTCATGTCCCCCTTTAATTACTTTGTGCCTGCCTATCTCTCCTTTAAAGGTTTTTGCTGTCACTGTTTCATGGTGTGTTTTATTTTCTCCTTTTCAGCCGTTTTTACTGTGAAGAGTGTTAGACAGTTTCTCTCTCTCGCTCTCATTTTTCTATTTAATGACCTCTCTGTTGGCCATCTTGCCTTCCCAAGACAACTTTGACAGACAGATTTGTTGAGTAGCAGCAGGCACATACCCAGTGGCCTTTTACTGAGGCATTTATGCCAGCATGGCAGACACGACCAACCAGCCACTGCCAGCCCTGCCCCCTGGGCCTGGATGAGGTGAAGATGAGACTTCCATACTAATAAACACAATGTAAGCTGAGCTTTTAGAAAAGTGAATAGCACATATGTTTAATAAAAGTAGAAAGTACGGATGATGACTATTTAACATTTGTGTCATTTATGTGAGACTGGTTTCTTTTAAGCAGGAATGTTTAGATTCTGTGCACATCCAAAAGGTGGAGTGAAGGTAAAACATTTAAAATTTAATTTTACTGAAGCAAAGAGAACATATTGTACTCAACACCATACTGTACCCTTTTGGGAATAGGCATTTTATATGACCCTGGAGAGTATCACTTTTTTTTAAATGTCAAATTAAAACGTTTTCCTTTTGAAGGAGGTATAATTCTGATATTTTACAATATATTTTTAAAGGTCCATATTTTGCCAGATTTCTTCTTGAGAATGAATTATATTGTTTAATCTGACTCAGATTCCATTCTCACAATACAGTTGATAGTGCCATCCTTGTTGTATTTTTTATTTTTTTTTTTGATGTCAGACTTTGTGTACAATGTAATTATACTTCTGATTCACTAAATAATAATATATGTGGAGCTTGTGATCACACCATTTCAGGCCTCTGTCACATACAGTATGTGATCTGCTCTCTTCATTGCTCACTCTTCCACTTGCAGAAAATGTTTAAATAAGTTTAGTTTGTTGGTGTCTGGCAAGCTCTTCTTTACTGTATGGGATGTGTGTTGGCAAAAAGTTATGTCTCTAATTGCAATCCCTTGATTTTTCCTTCCCACTGACTCTCTTGTTGTATGCCTCCAGCCTGTTACCCCCTCATACGCTGAACTCCTGACCCTAGTTTGAGACAGACTGTGCAGCATCTCCCAGGACTCCCAAGAGATGAGTCCTGTGTCATCTGCTTCTTGACACAGAGGCAGCATCACACCAGGTGGCCCCTCATAATCTCTGTGTGCTGCCGCCAGTGAGTCACACATACACCTGAAAACTCGCACAAAACAATGGTGGAAAAAATATGTTATGCAACATTGAACTCTAACCAAGCTATGATAGGTCAAAGACAAAACCAGATGGATAGTTCCATTCACTGGTTGCTATGGTGTGTCAGTGTCCTCCCTTCTTTCCTGCTAGATACTGTATCATTTATATGAATCTGGAAACTAATCATTGGCATAAGTAAACAATCATCCTTTATCAGTATTTGTGTATTAATGTTCTCCATGATGAATATAGTAATATTGACGTTTACTGTTTTAAATCACCCTGAACCTTGTTAGGCCAATGCTAATAAAGAGTTAACGTGACATTTTTATAAGAAAAAAATAAGAGAGAGGTGGGTGGCCGACCTCTCCCAATCTAAAATAATCTTAAATCCAGACACAAACATTCACCACACTTTATTTAAAGTTAAAATAAAGGTTACACAAAACTAAGTGACTAACTATGACTGCTGTGACAGTAGCTGCCATCACAGGTGGATGGTTTTTAGCTTTTTAATACTGAAAAAGAAAACGGGACCCTGAAGCTCCCAAACTTTGCAACATTTCGACCATCAATATCTTCATCAGGCAAACGTTCATGTGAAAGAAAAGCTATATGTGTACCGACAAAAATGACAGCTCCACTTACAATTAGATCACACAATACAAATAATTGACTGGGATAATGGGTTTTGTAGTCTGCTCTTATTTTCATATGGATGTTTGTCTGACTTTAATGGTTAGAATGTTGTCTCATTAAACTTTAAAATATTTAGTGTGAAAGCTACCTCTCTTTTTTCCTTTGTATGCTGCTTTTGTCCTTAACTAGCTGGGGTGGGGTG